ATTACCATCATTATCAAAGATTCCTGTTCCAGTTACTGTTATTGTGGTATTGGATGTGTCATCAGTTACTGTTGTAGTAACGTTATCATCTTTGCCTATGGTAATATCACCAATAGTAGTATCTGATCCTGGCACAACATCAATTTCATTACCATGTTCATCAACAATAACTGGGGTGTCAGTTGGGATTGTTGATGATGGAACTGTTACTGAAATCTCACTGCCAGATGAGTCATCATGTACAACATAGGTGTCTTGATCTACCCTTGTTATTGTTACATCATCAACAGTTTTACTACTTCCTGGTGCAACATTAACAATATTATCATTATTATCAGTAATGCCTGTGTTCTTGACAGTGATTGTGTTTCCTGATGGAGTGACAATTGTGTAGGTTCCATCACTATTATGTGTAACTGTGAAGTCATCTACAGTGCCGCTTGATCCAGGAGTAGAAACATCAACTGTATTTCCATTTTGGTCTGTGATTTCTGTATCTGTTGGGGATGTAATTATTACATCAATCTCACTTCCAGATGCATCTTCCGATATAACATAATTGGTTTCATCTACTCTTGTAATTGTGATATCACCAGATGTTGCAGTCTGTGCTGGTGAAATATTCACGACATTACCATCAGAGTTCAGTATAGCAGTTCCTGAGACTGTCACACTACTATTAGATGGAGCATGCCTTATTGTGAATGTTTCTCCATCAAGGTTATCAATTGTTAATGCACCGATCGTTGAAGTTTGACCTGGAGTGGAAATAATCTCATTTCCGTTGCTAACAGTGAAGGTAGTGTTGCCAGAGGTGCTCTCCTCAGTGTCAGTATCATCTCCAGAGTCATCACCTCCATCACCAGTGTTATCATCTGTGTTATCATCTGTTGTATCATCGTTGTCATCTCCACCAGTTGAGATCGAAACTTGGTTCACGCATGTAGAGTCTCCACAAGGTACAACTCTTATGTTAACATCAGTTTCACTACCATCTACAATCACATATTCACCTGGAGTATCAAGATCTATTTCAGTTCCATCATAATTAGTTACAGTACCATTACCACCAATACTTGTGACTGAATGGGTGGAGTTGCCATTAAATGTATCAGATGGTGGATAGTAATCATCTGTTTTTACTGTTGAAGCAGATTCTGCAGCATCATCCTTAGTGACAAGATCAATAGGGATATCATTGCCATCGCTATCTTGGAATTCATTGTCCAAATTACCATCACATGATCCTGTAAGAGTATTTGAGGAGTCAGCACATTCATCATTTGGTACTGTAACATCTATCTGTATGCTGCCTGATCCACCAGTGTTTGTTCCAGTAGAGTCACCAGTAGAGTCACCAGTTGATCCACCTGTTGAAGTGTTATCACCTGTTCCAGTTCCACTACCAGTTGTGGTAACACCTGGCACGGTTACAACAATTTCACTGTCAGATGATCCATCAGATACCACATATGTATCAGAATCCACCCGATGTATTGTAATATCTCCTAATGTGGTACTTCCACCTGGTGGGATGTTAACTACATCACCATTTGCATCATTGATTCCTGTATCTGTGATAGTAACAGTAACTCCAGAAGAGCCATCAGTTATTGATATTGAATCATCATCATTTGTTGTAATGGTCATGTCACCAACTGGTGTACTGCCATCAGAAGGTACATCAATGGGATTGCCTTGTGGATCAGTAATAACTGTTTCAGTTGATTCTATTTCTGGAACTGTTACAACTATTGTGTCATCAGATGAACTATCATGGAAGGTCAATGTGTCTTCATCAACTCTGGTTACAGTTAGATCACCATCTGTTGATGTCTGTCCTGGAGTAAGATTAACAAGATCACCATTAGAGTTGGTGACACCTGTGTCACTTGCTGTGAAGCTGCCACCTGAAGAGTTATCAGTGACAGTTACACTTCCATCATCATCTCCAGTAACAGTCATATCACCAACATCACTGCCATCACCAGTTGTGTCGAGTGTATTCCCTTGACCATCGGTAGTTGTTGTCTCAGTTGTTGGTGTAGATGGTACAGTAACTGTAACAGTGTTTCCAGATCCATCAGTGCCTTCATATGTATCATCATCAACTCTCGTTAGAGTCACATTTCCAATGGTTGTACTGTTCCCCGTGGGAAGGTTTACTAAATTACCATCACCATCTGTGACACCAGTTCCTGTGACTGTAACACTGTCTCCAGTAGTGTCATCAGTTAGAGTTACATTATTTCCTTCTCCATCTCCAGTGACAGTCATGTCACCCACAGTGGCACCACCATTTGATGTGTCAACAGGATTACCTTCTCCATCAGTCACACTTGGTTCAGTTGCAGCTGGTACAGTTACTGTTACTTCACTTCCAGGTGTACTAGTTGAGATAACATATGTATCTTCATCAATACGTGTGACGGTGATATCACCAACTGTTGTACTTGTTCCTGGTGTTAGGTTAATAGGAGTACCTTCACCACTTGTAACTCCTGATCCAGTAATTGTTACTGAATCGGACCCATCTGTTACTGTAGTAGAGCCATCATCTCCTTGAAAAACTGTCAAATCCCCAACAGTTGAGCTACCTCCTGAAGTTGTATCAATTACATTACCATCCCCATCAGTAACAACTGTTCCTGGTGTAGGCAGTGTGATTGTTACTTCACTTCCAGATGATGCATCAGTAATGACATAGGTATTTCCATCCTCTTGTTTAATTATGATTTCTCCAACTGTTGCTGTGTTCCCAGGTGAAAGAATTATTGGATTTCCTTCATGGTCTGTTATAAATGTTTTACCAGATGATGTAGGTGTTGACCCAATAACTGTTATAGTAACTTCACTTCCAGATGATTTATCAGTTATGATGTATGAACCATCTGGTCCTTGAGTGATGGTCACATCACCTACAGTTGCAGGGGAATCAGGTGTAAGATCCAGTGTATTACCATTATTGTCTGTAACAACTGTATCTCCATCTGTAGCTCCAGTAGGATCAGTACTTGTTCCATCATCATCTGAGTCACCATCAGTGTCACTATCATCCTTTGGTGGATTGACATTTACTGTAACAGAACTACCAGTAGAAGTGTCAGTAACTATAATAGTATCACCATCTTCTTTATAAACTGTCACATCACCAACAGTCTCACTTTCACCAGGTAGAAGATCGATTGGATTACCTTCATGGTCAGTGATATAAGTGTCTGTTCCTGCTGGTGGTATAGGTACTGTTACAGTAACTGTTACCTTACTTCCAGATGAACCATCAACTATATCATAAGTCAATTCATCTAACTGAGTGATAGTCATGTCTCCTACCTTTGCATTTTCAACTGGTTTAAGGTCAATAATTGTGCCATCTTTGTCTGTAATGGATTCAGGGGAAATTGTTATAATACTTCCAGAAGAGCCATCAGTTATGGTATAAATATCCCCAGATTCAGTGACAGTCAGATCACCAACTTTCTGTCCTACCCCTGGTGGCAAATTGATCACATCACCATTTCCATCAGAAATGACTGCTCCTGGGTAGTCTGTTGATGTAGTTGTGACAGTTATCTGGGCACCAGATGATTCATCAGTTAATACTTGTGTATTAGCATCTGTCTTCAGAACAGTCACATCTCCAATTGTTGTACTTTGTCCTACTGAGGTGTCAATAGAAGTGCCATCTTGATCAGTAATACTTGTACCAGTGACTGTAATATTTGCTCCAGATGATCCATCAACTACAATGACTGTGTTGTCATCAACTTGAGTTATCCTCATATCACCAACTGTTGTACTTGATCCTGGTGAGAGATCTACAATATCACCATTGTTATCGGTAATAACTGGTCCTGGTGTTTGTGGAATTGTAACTGTGACAACATCACCAGTTGTTTCATCTACTACTGTGTATGTATCTTCATCAACCTGTTTAACAGCCATATCACCAACTGGTGCGCTATCTCCCGGTGACAGATCTACATCATTGTCATTACCATCAGTAACACCAGTTCCATCAATTGTAACTGTGTTACCAGATCCATCAGATACAGTGTATGACAAGCCATCAGTTCCTTCAGAGACAGTCAAATCTCCAACAGTCTCACTTCCTCCTGGTGACAAATGAACAACATCTCCTTGTTTATCTGTTATAACAATATCATTCGATTGTGGAACTGTTACTTGCACTTGACTTCCAGATGATGCATCATTTACAACAAATGTATCTTCATCTAGTCTCGTGATAGTAACATCCTCATCAACAATATTATCTCCCGGTGAGATGTTGATTGCCACACCAGCGTGATTTGTTACACCTGTTGAAGTAAATGTAACTGTACCACCAGATGAGCTATCATCTATTGTGATTGTCTTTCCATCTGTGTTCGATACGGTAAGATCTCCAATTGGATCTGATGATTCTCCTGCAGCAAGGTCAAGGACATTGCCTTGTTGGTCTGTTACAACAATAGTTGTTGTGGCAGGAATTATGACATCTAATTCAGTGCTATCTGAACCCTCCGTTATGGTATATGTATCTTCAGCTGTTCTAGTAACAGTAACATCACCATTGGTGAAACTGCTTCCAGGCGATACATTTACCACTCTTCCAGCATCATTGGTTATACTTGTGTCTGAAACAGTTATGGTAATATCAGACGAAGTATCAGTTACTGTGAATGTGTCATCACCTGTGTTTTCAATGATGAAATCACCAACTGTTTCAGTCTGTCCCTGTGCTGGGTTGATATCATTGCCACTTTGATCTGTGATGCTTACACCTACATCAGTTGCATTTCCAGATCCAGTTCCAGACCCTGATCCACTTCCTGATCCTGATCCTGTTCCACTCCCAGAGCCAGTTCCAGATTCAGTACCAGTGCCAGTATGGATTATGACACCACCATTTTCTGTTATTACAGATGTTCCAGTGGTACACACTGTGTTGCCACAAGGTTCTTGCTCCACACTTACATCAACATTCGATGTGTTGACGAGTGTGAACTCTCCATATGTTCCAACAGGATAATTTACACCATCAAATGTAGTGACTGATCCATCATCATTGACACTTGCTGTTGATGTTGTATTTGAACCAGATGAGGTGTCCTCTAATGCAATACTACAGTCAGCACCATAGAATCCAGCTGGGCACTTTGCAACAATATTTTCAGGTTCTTTGTGTGTTGTACCATTTTCATCTGTGTAACTGTACACAAAATTAGTTTCAGATGATCCATCTCCAGATGATCCGCTTCCAGATCCAGATCCACTTCCAGATCCAGATGCTGAACCACCTACATTGTTATCATCTGCCATATTAGTTAGATCATCAGTAGTGATATCATCAGCATCAACATATCCACCATTACCATCTGGGATCTCATTATTAGTATTATCATCACAAGATCCTGACAAGCCAGAGCTAGCCGAGCAAGTGTCTGTTGGTGTAGTTATGACAACATCTAGAGATCCATCGTCATTAACACTGATAGTTGCCTCTATGCCATTATCAGAATTGGTGACAATGATCTCATCACCACTAACTTCAGTAACAGTTGTACTGTCATCAAGGTGAACAGATGATGAGTCACTGAAATCAATTACTTGTGCATCAGCATCAAATGCAACAAGATCACCACCTGGTGTATATGGTGCATGCACAATGATATCTGTATCTCCAATGCTTATTTGGGTTTGTGTTACACATGTCTTCTGACCACATGGTGTCATCCTAATATAGACACTAGTGTTAGTATCATTATTGCTGTAGAACTCATATTCTCCTCTTATTTCAATATCATATTGAACACCGTCATAAGTTGTAAAAGTACCATTAACAATTGATGTCTCTCCATGGGTGCCATTTCCACCAGGGGTAACAATCTCAACACAACAATCTTCAACATAATAGCCACATGTGCAAGAGCCTGTGAATTCCTCTGGCTCTTCATACACAACTCCAGTTGGGGTTGTATATGTATACACAAAGCTTGAGTTATCAGATGAACCAATGTTGCAAGAAGCACAGTTATCTGTACCTGGTTTATCTGTAATGTCATCCTGAGAATCCACATCATTGAATTTATTACCATCACATGTGCCTGCAAGATCTCCAGATGATTGTGCACAGCTGGTCTTGGGTATAATGGCAGAAACAGTAATGAATCCATTGGTATCTTCCTTCAAAATGATTACACTTCCTGCAGAATCAGTTATATTAAACCCATCCTTTCCAACTGGTTTAACATTCATACTTGGGTCCATTACTGTTGTAGATGTTAAATGTTGGACTGTTCCAGCTGCATCAAACACTACAATATGTCCTGCAGCAGAGTAAGGAGCGTGGAATACAACATCACTGTCATCAGTTGATAACCATACCTGGTTGACACAAGTAGCTTCACCACAAGGTACAACTCTTGCATAAACATCAATGGTATCAGTATTCACTAATGAATATTCACCAGGACTTGTCAGTGTGTATGTTGAACCATCATAGTTTGTGACTTCACTGTCACCAGTAATAGTTGTAATGGAATGAGTGCTATTTCCTGTAAAGGTATCAGAGTCTTCCGAATGATATTCATTCACAATGTTAGCAGCAGCAGATTCCTCTACTGCGTCATCATCAACAAGATCTATTGGGACATCATTTCCATCACTATCTTGGAACTCATTGTCTAGGTTGCCATCACAGGAACCAGTGAGAGTGCTTGTTGAAGCATCACACTGGTCATTGGGAACAGTAACTTGAACAGAGAGGGTAGTGTTATCAGATTCAGTACCATCACTGCCTGAGCTACCTCCAGATCCTCCAGAGCCACCACTACCTGAGCCATCACCCGAGTCACCATCTCCATGTCCAGAGACAGTTACTACACTACCTGTTGAGGTATCCTCAACCTCATAAGTGTCATCACCTGTCTTTGTTATAGTAACATCACCAACAGTTGTACTTTCTCCATCATCGAGGTCAATTATATTACCTTCATGATCAGTAACATAAGTTTCAGGCCCAGATGTTGGTGTTGTAACAGTCACTATAATCTGTGTACCAGATGAGGTGTCAGAGACAACAAATGTGTCATCAGAGGCCTGCTGAACAACTATCTCACCAACAGTTATGACTCCACCAACTGAAATACCCATCTTATTATCTTCGTGATCAGTAATAGTTGTACCCATGATATGTATGGTGCTTCCAGAAGATCCATCAGTTATAGTGTACTTGCCATTTTCATCTTGTAAAATGGTCAAGTCACCCACTGTGGTTCCATCTGTTCCTGGAGTGGTATCGACCACATCACCGTTGGAGTCTCTGATAACAGTTACTGTCTCTTCAACAAATGGAACTGTTACAGTGATTTCACTTTCAGATGATTCTTCAGAAATCTGATAAGTATCTTTATCCACACGTGTGATAGAGACATCGTCAATTGTTGTACTGCCTCCAACAGGGATATCAAGATTATTTCCAGATCCATCACTTGCGCCGGTACCATCAACAATAATAGTTACACCAGATGATCCATCCTTTACTGTGTATGATTTACCATCAGGTCCTTCGGTGATTGTCAAGTCACCCACAGTATCTTTTCCTCCTGGTGTAAGATCAATCACATTACCACCGTTATCGATGATATGTGTCTCAGTGGTTGTTGGAACAGTGACAGTAATATCATTTCCAGATCCACTAGTGATGACATAGGTATCTTCATCAATACGTTGGACAGTAAGATCACCAACTGTAGCTGTTTCACCTGGTGAAACATTTACAACTGTGCCATCATTTCCAAAGACACCAGTATCCTTGATTGTAACTGAATCATCAGATGTACTATCTGTAACAGTGATAGATCCATCCGAAGCTTCAGAGACTGTTAAATCACCAACAACAATAGAATCACCTGGGGTAGTATCTACAGGGTTACCATCACCATCAACAATGTTTGTGTCTGTTGTTTGTGGTACATTAATTGTGACTGTGCTACCAGATGTGCCATCAGTAATCACATAATTATCCTCATCAAGTCTGTATATTGCCATATCACCAACATGGGTTGTCTGATCTGGTGAAATATTAACAGCATTAGTACCATCTGTGATACCAGTTCCTGATACATTAACAGTACTACTTGAGGAGCCATCAGTTATAGTGTAAGACCCATCAGCATTTCGAGTAACAGTCATATCACCTACATCTTCACTTCCTCCAGATGGAATAGTTATTTGGTCACCATTGCTGTCAGTTACAGTTACTTCTTCACCAGTCGAGGTTGGTTTATTGGGTGTGGATGGAATTGTGACAGTTACATCATTTCCGGATCCATCAGTAATGACATGTGTATCAGAGTCCACTCTGTACACATCAAGATCACCAACAGTTGTAGTGTCTCCTGGAGTGATATCAACTGGACTACCATCTTGATCAGTAACACCAGTTGATGTAATAGTTACTGTTGTAGTTCCATCAGTCACAGTTGTTGTATCCCCATCTTTTGTGACAGTCATATCACCAACAGTTCCTGTACCTCCTGGAGTAAGATCCACTTCATTGCCTTCACCATCAGTAATGACAGTATCAGTGGGTGTTTCAACAGTAACAATTATCTCATTACCATCTCCATCAGTTACAACATAAGTGTCTTCATCAATTCGTTTGATAGTTGTATTGCCAACAGTGGTTTCATCACCAGGTGTAATGTTAATCTCATTACCATCATTATCTGTGATTCTAGTATCTGTAATGGTAATTGTGTTTCCATCACTATCTGTTATTGTGGTTGTATCATCATCTGGTTGTTCAATTGTTGTATCACCATCACCAACAGTTACGCCTCCACCTCCAGGTGTAATTGGGATCTCATTACCTTTACCATCAGTGACAACAGTCTCATTCACAGGTGTTGTAGGAACTGTAACTGTCACCTCGTTGCCATCATCATCAGAGACAACAACTGTATCTTCATCCACTCGTGTAACAGTGACACCATCTCCAACAGATGTGCCACTCCCTGGGGGAGTCTGAACAACATTGCCATCATCATCAGTAATACCTGTGTCAGTGACTGTCACAGTGGTGCCTGATGATCCATCAGTAATTGTAGTATCACCATTACTATCAGTAGTGATGGTCATATCACCTACAGTGCCTGTTGATCCTGGTGTGGTACCAATAGGATTCCCTTCGTTATCTGTGATAACTGTATCAGTAGGCTTGGATACTGTTACAGTAACTGAATCACCAGAGGTAGTACTTACTACATATGTAAGTTCATCCTTTCTTGTGACAGTCATATCGCCAATTGTAGTCGTTCCACCTGGTGATATATTAACCACAGTTCCAGAATTATCAATGATACTAACATCTGTGATTGTTACTGTGTTTCCAGAACCATCGGTTACAATCCATGCAGTTCCATCAGCATTCTTGGTTACAGTCAAATCACCCTCACTGTGACTTCCACCTGGGGTTACATCGACCGGGTTTCCTTCACCATCAGTGACAGTTGTACCACCACCAGTTCCAGGTGGGAGTCCATCTGTAAGATTTCCAGTTGAAGGAGGTGGAGTGCCAGTGTGAATGATGACTCCACCATTGTCTGTCACTACAGTTGTTTCTGTAGTACACACTGAATCGCCACATGGAGTTTGTGTAACAGTGACATTCATATCAGTTGTGTTAACCAGAGGGAATTCACCAGGCTGATCAAGGTCATATGTAACACCATCAAATGTGGTAATGGTACCATCAGGATTAACACCAGCTGTAGAGTTGTCATCATTGTTGGGTGATTCTTCCTCTAAGAAAATGCTACAATCAGTACCAAAGTAACCAGCTGGGCAAGTGGGTGTGAGATCTTCAGGTTCATGATAAGTTGTACCATTTTCATCTTCATATTCATAGACAAATTTAGTACCATCATCTCCAGATCCTGTTCCTGATCCAGATCCAGATCCAGATCCACTTCCAGATCCAGATCCACTTCCAGATCCAGATCCTGAACCACCAACATTACTATCATTTGCCATATTGGTAAGATCATCAGTAGTGATATCGTCAGCATCAACATATCCACCATTACCATCTGGGATCTCATTATCAGTATCACCATCACAAGATCCTGCCATGCCAGTTACACCAGCTGAGCAAGTGTCTGTTGGAGTGGTGATTTCTACATCTAAGTCTCCGTTATCATTTACAGTAACAGTTGTCTCAGTGCCATCATCAGTGTTGGTAATAATAACTGTGTTACCATCTGTATTAGTAACAGTAGTTGAATTATCAAGTGCTACAGTTGAATCATTGCTACTTGAGAAGTCAAGCTCATTGCCCTCACCATCGAACACAACAACATCAGAGTTATTAGTGTAAGGTGCATGGACAACAACATCAGAATCACCTGTACCAACCTGTACCTGTGTAACACATGTTTCTTGACCACATGGTGTCATCCTGATGTATACATCAGTGTCAGATCCATTATAGAACTCATACTCTCCTCTGACATCCAAATCATACTCAACACCATCAAATGTAGTGAATGTGCCGTTTGTGATTGTTGTTGTTCCATGGGTGTCATTACCACCTGGGGTGCCTACTTGAATGCAGCAGTTATCAAGGTAATATCCACATGTGCAAGATCCAGTGAAGTTCTGTGGTTCTTCATAGGTGACACCTGTGGGAGTAGTGTAGGTGTAAACAAAGCCATCCTCACTATTAGGGTCTACAGTACAACCTGTACAGTTTGGATGAGTGACATCATCTCCTGATGCAGGATCATTGGTTGTATCACCATCACATGTACCAGCTATATCATTTGTATTCCGGCTACAGACAGTATCAAATGTATCAACAGTTACATCTAGGAACCCATTGTCATCCTTCACGACAACAATTGTAAGATCTGCATTATCAGTGATATGATACTCATTTCCTCCTACTTTAGTAACTGTGAAATCATCAGCCAAATCAGTTGTACCTGTTAGAGTAGTTCTGTTGCCTTCACCATCAAACACAACTAGATCACCTCCAGATGAATATGGTGTATGGATAACAACATCATGGTTTTCAGTAGCTAACCAAACCTGGTTAACACAAGTGGGGCTTGAAGCTTCTGGACATGGTACAACTCTGACTTTCACATCAATTGTACCAGTGTTAATGAATACAAACTCTCCAGTTGTGTTAAGTGGGTATGTAGTACCATCATAAGTTGTGATGGTTCCATCCCCAGTGATACCTGTAGTAGCCTCTACAGGTGGAGGCAAAGTTGGGCGCTCAATGAATGTATCAAGTATCTGGCATTGAGCTGCAAAGGCGTAAGCAACTTCTAATGTGTATGAGGTATTGCCATAAAGGACCCCATTGTATTCACACTGTTGTTGGTAGAAAGAGAATGTTGCATTGTCAACCTTTGAACAGAGTGTCTTAAAAGATTCAGCTCCAAAGACACTTGCGCAGAAGGCCTCAACTTCATCTTTGTAGTCATCATCTGCATTATCAATGACATCATAGACATTGTATTCCTCATATTCAGGTAGTGTGAAGGTGTATGTAGTGTACTCATACTCTGGATGCCTCCAAGGTTTTTTGCTCATGTGAAGGTACACACTATTCACAGAATCCTCTGAGTAGCCCTTATAGCCCTCATTGAATTTCCAGTAGTTGGCCAAGTCCTCTGTTGTTGTTGGGATGTACTTCCAGATGTTGTCCTTAATAGTGGAAACTGAGAGACGAGCATTCCATATACGGAACTCATCAATGCAGCCTAAGTAGTTGTAGTAATACATTCCACTACTGCCGCTACCTGTTGTGGGTGGGTTCCACTGGCCTAAGGCTAGGGTACCACCAGGCTGCAGGATGTTGTATGGAACATCATTCAAGGTCTGGATATCAGAGTTGTATTCACCAGCTTCATCATAAAGATAAAAGATCAAGAATCCATCATCTTTTTGCAAGATAATTGCCAAGTGGTACCATGTGCCATAGTCAACATCGATTCCATTTGATGTCTTGGTTTCACTGTTGTAATATGTAGTGAGCTTATTGTCGCATACCATTACTGTAAACTCGTCATCAACTCGGTATGAGAGCAGAATTCCACATCCCACTTGTGACTCATCCACCTTAAAGATGAATTCAATTGTGACATCATAGTTGGAGAAACTGTATAGAGGATCAGAAATTGCATTGGAATCTTCAAAGCAAATACATAAACCTCCGGGGGTAGATGTCAAAATGTCTTCCTCGGTGGGCTGTTCAAACTTAGATTCATTACTAGGTACAACCCAGGATGGTCCAAAGACACTGTAGACATCATCATCAGTCAAAGTGCCATTAGTTGCAGATGCGAGTTCTTCACCTGATTGCAAATTGAAATCATTTGTGATATTGCCATCGCAGTTCCCAAGTAGTCCTTTGCTGATGGAACATATGGCAGGCTTGGAAAGCACTTGTACATTGAGGAATCTTCTGCTATTCTGGATGGTAACCTCAAAGTCACCATTAGTGACTACATAGAGTCCAGCAGAGTCCTGTCTCCATACAAAGTCATCTGTTCCAGGGATTGCTTTCTGTGATCCAACATATGTCAGCTTATCATCCAGCCAGGTTGCTCCAGTCTTATTGGATTCCTTATCACCACCATAGAAAGCTACCTCAACTTCCCCTATGGTCATAGAGAAACCAGCCAATCCAATACCAAGTCCATCTTCTGAAGAAATCACATTGTAGATATGACCCTTTAGAGGAACACCTTCAGCAGTGGTTGTATCAAATAAGACATACTCGCCTAGAGTTGGTAAGTTGTAACTGGCGCCATCAAAAGTCATGTAATGACCTCCGTAGTACACCACACCCATGGAGTCTCCATCAGCGGTCAGGATAAGATCGGTACTGGAAATTGAGCAGTCAGTGCCAGTCCAGCCAGGCATACATTCCAGACAGTCGGTTTCCTCAGTAAAACGAGAGATACATGTACATACCCCTGTGGTTTTGTCACAATTACCGTGTCCGAAACATGGGTTGTTACCTCCACCTGGGCACTCATTCTGGCAGGACTCTCCCCAGTAACCATGGATACACTCACACACACCAACTTCTGGATCACTCTCATTGACATCCTGAAATAAATTATCTTAAAATCAAATATCTGAAGAAATTGGCTTGTGAAACTGTGACAAAATAATTTGCACAAAAGTGAAACATAATAAAAAGTAATTTTCAAAGTTTCTTTTCTGGTAAAAACAAATGATTTAATGGTGCATGATGTAAAAAATCAACAAAAAAGTTGAAAAAAGTTTTCTCCATATTTCTTTTCTGATAAAATGAATAATTTGCTCGTGAAATAAAAGACTGGATTTAATAAGTAGTATATGTTTATATTTAATTTTTAGATCTGAAAATACTCACATAAACTGGTGTCTCTGAGCACAGATTGTCAGCGCTAATATCAGCTGTGACATCATAGAATGTATTAGATGCTTTATAGGCCAAGCTCCAAGAAACTGTAGCATTAGACAAAGCTGGTCTGAAAGTATAACACCAAGATTCACAGTGTATGTATTCATTTAGTTGATTTAAAACCTTAAGCAGAATGTATTCTGTGCCAAATATGCTTCAAATATGATGTTTCTTGGTGACACAAACAATGTAACAGTACAATGAGCAATTTTACTAATCCCTAAATTGGTCCTTACATCAATGTACACTTATACTCAAGCACTACATCATAAGAAATTGTATTTTACAGATTTTACTTACCCTATACCGAAGGCATATTTGTGCTGTCCAGGTCTGAACAATGTTCTCTGTTTGCCATCAGCAAATGTTGTAACACCATTCAGCATATTATCTGGTCCAGCATCCACATACACGTTATGTGTGTTTTTGTTATCATAGCCAAAGTATACCACATATTTCCCATCATCTTGCTGTACTACACAGTTGAACTCTGGGACAAGGGGTTCTATACCTCCTGTGCCATCATAGATCTCTTTGTAGACTCCCTGGTTGTTGATGCAAGGGATTGTACAGTGATGTGGGCCAACATAATCTAAAAGAAACATCATGATCAAAAATCAGTCAACCATATGGACAGTTCTTCAATTTTGGAATCTTAATGATATTAAAATCTCAATGATCCTATAAGTAGCCGACATGACATTTTATGGGAATTTGATTGTAAAACAATGTCAGCTACTCATGAAAGCTTAAAATTTAGCAACCAATTCTGATTGGGTAACAGGATTCTGATCGACTTATTCTCATAGACCAATGCTAGATCAAAGAGTTACCTCCCATTCAAAGGCATATAGATCATGAGATGAAGCTCTCTTTTAAGGAAGTGTAATCAAACTATTGAAAATGTGCTTACCTGGATGACAGTCAATACAGGTAGGGAGGTTGAAGCCATGTTCACACTGATCACAAGCAGCTCCCACCCAGTGTCCATTAGTGATATCATCATAACAGATACATTCTCGACCACCTGGAAAATTGTGTTGCAATATAGTTTAATGGGTGTTGTACTATTTTGATATTGTTCATTGTGTTTGATCATTGATTAAACAATAGATAGCAGTATAAACCACAATTGCTTTAGATTAATGAATATGCTAAAGCAAAGTACAAAAAGAAAGGATGATTTCAACATATATGATCAACTCAATTTGGGGAATCCTTGGAGGCTGTGCGTTAACTACAGTAATAACTATATGTTTAGTCCATTATAAAGTCAACTTACCAACATCAGGTGGAGCACCATTTAGACAAAGTACTCCACAGTCAGTGTTGTAGCCTATGTATCCATCCTGGCATCTTTCGCAGTCATCTCCTACAAACTTGTCCACACATCTATCACAAGCGTCTCCATCAAATCCATGGTCACAAACACAACGTGGAGATATGGCACCATCAGGAAGGGCACAGTCACCTGGTAGGAAAATAAAGTCAAAATTTTGTAATGTATCATTCTGACTTGAGACATTATATTCTTAGTGAAATCAGTGATAGTTCAATTCTTATTTTGCTGATATTGTTTGATTCATTATAAATGCATAGTCATATTATTTTCAACTTTAATGTAAATTACATGAAATGGCTAATTATCATAATTCTGCATATACATGTTTTTCACTTACCTCTGTCACTACAGTATGGTGTTCCAGGACAAATGAACTCAGAGCAATCGTCACCTTGGAAACCAGGGTTACATACACACAGTGATTCGTTGTTCTTTCTCAGACACGTACCATATGTAGAACAATCTGGCTCTCCTGTAATCAGATATTGTTGATGCTATATATGTAGTTACTGAATAATCAAATTGCCAAATTACATTTTTGCAATTATTAGACTCTTTATCTCTTTAGTTTTACAAATCAAACATTCTAAATGACATATTTGATATAGCTATGGCTTATGTTCAAACAGAGCATCATACTAACTATTATATTAATCCAAAGCATAACAGGATGGCATACATGTATGTACATGTATTATTTCCTACTTGTATTTCATATTTTTTCTCTTGAATAGGTATGACATTCAAATATCAGATTTAATTTATAGAAGACTCAAAACACAGATACAGTTGTTTTTAACAAAAACAAACATAAACTTACCAGGGCAGTTAATCAGTTCGCAGACATCTCCTTTGAATCCATAGTCACATTCACAGGCTCCATTGGTACAGTTTCCAACATTGGAGCACTCAGTCTCACAGCCAGCATCAGAGTAGCAGGAATCACACTCACAGAGTGCACTGAATGGTGGGTTTTCTTCACCATGTACGCAGGGCAGCTCACACTTGTCTCCCATAGATAGAGTACAGTTAGTACACCTGGGAGGGTCATACTGGTTACCATCACAATAACCTAAAAAAATAAAATGAGTTGTTATTTTACGAAATGTTTTCTTTTTGTAAAAATGAATAACATGATGGTACAAAGGAACCGAAAGGTATTAGATGTGTTTCCCATTCTTTAAAATACAAACATTTTCATTACCATTCAGTATAAAGCAGTCTACAGTACACAAATCTATAATATGATTTGAGAAAGTAGAAAAACTCTTTATTTGTCTACAACAGTTCGTATCATTCATAAATGACAATAGATCAAATATCCTTCTTTTGTTCCCTAGTTTGTTGCTATAAAGATTATATCTTACCTCTGCCATCACAGTCAGCCATTCCTGCAGAGTTTGGACAATCGGGTATGTGACATCCGTCTCCCTTCCATCCAGCGTCACAATCGCAAGATTGATCAGCCAGGGTACAGTAACCATGGTCAGAACAACTGCTTCCAATACCTGGGCAACCCCTTATAGTACACTCAATGCCTGAAAAGTTTTAGTATTTTTCAATTTTGTACATTTATATTTGTAAAGAATCCATATCATGCATTTTTAGCTGCATACTGAGTATATATCCAAAAGTCCCAAGTGGTAGGTGACACAAAAATATCCTATTCTTATAACAACATTGCTGATACAATACTTTGTACAAGAGCAAAATTTTATGAAATGTGTAACATTTATTTCTTCTGTATTATATTATATGTGTATGCAAGTTGACATTGCCTTTCATGTCAAGTGATGAGTAAAAGATTATTAAAAGTATGATTTCCTCTATTTGGTCCCGATAAACTTCTTGTTTGCCATACATTGAGAATGAAGAATTCTTACCCCACCATCCTGAGTCACAGGAACATGTGTCCTTGAATGTCTCTACATCAGAGTATGTCGTGTTTGGATCAGACGCATTAACAGCCACGCTGACAATGACAGACTCATTGCTGCAGGAACCATGATCGGCACATGTGGAATTACAGTCAGGTCCAGTAAAGCAATCAAAGCAGGCACAGGTGCCATTCTCATAGCCAATGCCTAAAATAGAAACAAATAAACTTTGATTAAATTCCTTGAACTTTAAGTTTTCTAGATCATTTCACTGAATCTGAACATGTGGTCTATGAATGGCCACTTGAAGGTAGGTGTAATACTATATCTACTATAGTAAAATGAGATCCCCTTACACATAGGCTTATATTTGATGTTATACTCAAAGTGATCACACTCTGCCTTCCTAACTGCATGTAATACTAAAATACATTTCTAGAAAAAAACTTACCATTAACACATGCTATATTACAACCTAGACCCATCCATCCCATGCCGCAGATACATTTTGGTTGATCAGAGGTACTTGAGGCATCACAGATACCATTGCCGTTGCAGTCAGGCTCACCGGGGCAGTCTGGGACGCTACATGCCTCTCCGTACCAACCTAAGATGAGATGAGAGAGACTTTATCATACAATTTTCAAACACTGGCATGAATGTGGCAGATACAGTTATATTCTGAGCAATATTTTTTATCTAAAATGAAATCCCATTATTTGAACGTTTATTACTTTAAGTACACAAGAATACTAAATATGGTAATTCTTAATTCAAAACAGAAATTCTGAAGTATAAATTTTATGTAGTTTTCATAAGATTTCAACATACCTCCATCACAAACACAGGTCCTAGAGGCCTTGTTACATGTGCCATGTCCACTGCAGATTTTGTCATTTGTGCCAGGGCAGTTTGCCTCAGTACAGTAAGTACCCCACCATCCTGGGTTAACGCCAGTTGTTGTGTTCTCACATATACAGCTATCATCGTAACACGTGCCAACGTTGTTACATGAGATATCACAGGCATCTCCATGGGAACATCCGCTGTCGCAAGCACAAATGCCACTATCCATAGGTGTTTGGGTGCCATTACATACAACATCACATCCCTCTCCCATCCAGCCTTTCTCGCAATTTGAACAATAGGGGACGCGTTGGTCAGTTGCACATATACCTCGGCCATTACAATCCTCAGGGCAGCTTGCTTCTTCACATCCTACACCTATCCATCCTTGGTTGCAGATACATTGTTGTGTTGCTAGGATACAGCTTCCATGTCCTGAGCAGTCTGTGCTGTAAAGACCGGGACAGCCTGGTTCATCACAGTAATCACCTCTGCCTCCATCGAAGCCACAATCGCAGACACCATCAGTGCAGTTTCCGCGACCAGAACAAAGGATGTCGCACTCAAATCCATGGTAGCAATCCTGACATGTACAGTTTGTGCCTTCTGCATTCACTGTACCATAGAGACAGCCATACTGACAAGATGTTCCAAAGAATCCTTCATCGCACTCACAGTAAGGTTGGTCTGATTCTACATCCACTTCACAAGCGCCTCTTTGGTTACAGTTGTCAGGGCAGACTGCAACATCGCAGCCTCGTCCAGCCCAACCATCCCCGCAGATACACTCTCCAGTGGCTCCATTACAGCTACCACGTCCAGTACAGTCCTCACCCCAACCTGGGCAGCCATCAAGGTCGCAGAGATCGCCTCTGTTCCCTTCATAGCCACATTCACAGGTTCCATTGGTGCAAGCTGTGCCAATACCATTGCAGAAGACATCACAGCTGGTGCCGCCATAGCAATCATCACAAGTGCAGATCCATTCATTTGATTCCAGGTCCCTGGAGGCTGTACCATGTACACATGTGTACTCACATCCATCTCCCATATAGGGGTCCTCACAGTTGTAACAGATAGGTGTCTCTGAGTCAGCAGTCACACCACATGAAGCATTAACACCATTACAATCTGGAGTTCCTGGGCAATCAGGTACCTCGCATCCAAGTCCCATCCAACCGGGTATACAGTCACACTCACCTGTTGCCTGGTTACACGTGCCTCGACCCATACAGTCTTCTGGCCAACCGGGACAACTGGGAACATCACATATGATACCCTTAAAGCCCTCATAGAAGTCACATTCGCATTTACCATCAGCATCACAAGCACCGTGTCCACTACATTCGTGATGACAGGAGATACCTGAGATGCATTCTTTGTCGCATACACAAGTGCCATCCCCACTGTGGGTACCATTGTAACATGGAATTTCACAGATTTCACCTATCCAGTCATTGTTACATAGACAAGCACCACCACCTTGGCAGATACCGTGATCAGGACCTAAAATGAAATTGTGGTAATAATCACCAAACTAAACTTACTTTTCATTTTCTAAATAATGAATGAATAAAAAAGTGTATTTTAGACAATGAACATAAAATAAATATTTAATGATTGCTACTTATTGAAGCACACAGATTATACTAAGTTTAATTTTAAGCTATACATTAGTCTCTAATTCTCTTGTCAGCAATATGTCAAAGAAATCAGCAGAAAATATCTCACCTCCACATTCTGGATCTCCAGGACATTTTGGCACATCACATGCATCAGACTGCCATCCAGGGTAACAAGTACACTCTCCAAGCAGAGAGTTACATTCACCATGACCGCTGCATGTAGATTCAAGTCCAGGACATCCAGTCTCCTCACATTTGGGACCAGCCCAGGAATTGCCTAGAAATCAGCGAACATGTGTTATATATCATAAATCAAAAATTGAGGTCAAAATTAGAAAAGTAGAATTTCCATCTATCCGTCTATAAGATGATAAAATAAGTCAAAAGAATTTAGGAGTAGCTAATTTTGAATCAACAGTAAGTGTTTAAGGTTTATACAGCAGCTCCAATACATCAAAGTGGTGTAAAATCTTGAAAAACAAAATTGCACTAGATACTGTATACTGAATAGCTGTATGTCAAGCCCATTTTTGGTATCATGTCTGATTCGGTGATGTTGTATCTTACCTACATACTCTCTCTCACAGTCACATGTGCCATTGACACAAGTTCCATGTCCAGAGCACTCCAAGTCACAGAATTCTCCAGCATGACATGATTCACACTCGCAGTATTGTATTGCCTCGGTTTCAATAATCCAGGTACCATACTCACAACGAGATTGACAATCAAGATCAAACCATCCCTAAAAATAATATTTATATTAAACAAGATACAGGATGCAGTTATTGTTAAATTAACAACAAATCACATAATCTTGTTCCTCATAACATATTTCGAGTTTGAACTTTGAAATAATCTGGGAGATTGCACTGTAGCAACCCAATATACCCTAGATACTAATTAGTCTATAGGTTTGTTTAATTAGTCACCAATCATTTTTGAGTTTTCCATATTGAAAGAGGTATTACACGTGTATTTAACAGTGATATTTAACTTACCTCAAGACATTCACAGACTGGGAGGTCACGATCAGTTCCATTACAGTAACCATTTCCACCACAGCCATCTGGGCAGTCAGGGATGTCACATGCAGCACCAGTCCATCCTAAAATACAATTTGGAACGTGTACATCATGACAGAATTACACATATGGTTAAAGTAAAGCAAGTGAGACAACCTTTACATGTAAGTTCTTGTAGCTTAGAAAGATTACTCATTCTACTCAGTTTACCTTAACAAAGATTATCATACTATGAACTGGTCAAACTCAAATGTTATAAATTATGTTTTGTGGCGATATTGAAATATTGCTCTGGTCTCTAACTCAAAAGCAGTCTTTAGATGATTTCACTTGATTTGAACGTTTGGGCTATTATTTTTTGTCAACTGAAACCAGGGAAAGGCCAATTTTGAGAAAGAGTTAACTGTACACAGTTCTTACCTGGGATGCAAGCACACTCATTGGTAGCACTGTTACATACACCATGCAAAGAGCAGTCGTGTGTTTCTCCTGGACAGCCCTGTACTTCACATAGGGAGCCTCTCCATGTTTCATCACAAACACATTCTCCATCCACACATGAACCGTGGTCGGAGCACTCGGAGTTACAGCTGGATCCTGCCCAGCATGCATCACAGGCACAAATTCCACTATTTGGTGGGTCCTGCTCTCCGTGTGTACATTCTGTGTTACAGTCTAGTCCCATATAGCCCATGACGCAGTCGATACAAATTGGTGCTGGCCCTGATGTGTCACATGTACCTTGACCACTGCAGTCAGGGTCACCTGGGCAATCAGTTGTGGCACAATCATCTCCAGTCCAGCCGGGGAAACATGAGCACTCGTGGGTAGCAGCATTACATTCTCCATTGCCAGTACAGTCCAAAGTGTCACCAGGGCAACCTGGGATGTCACAAACATCACCACGCCAACCGACATCACAATCACAGCCATCTTGTGCACTGTTGATTGAACCATGCTCAGAGCACTCAGAGTTGCATTCTATTGTACTCCAGCCTGGGTCACACACACAGTTTGATGATTCTGGGGGATCTTTGTGTCCATTAGCACATTCTAGTGTGCACTCATGGCCCATCCAGCCACTGTCACACTCACATACTGGGGGACTAAAATTATAAAACAAGACAAAATCTTAATGCCTGGTTTTGTGCTTTAGGGGTAACAAGCAAATGTTTTATGTGCAGATATTTTGAAGTGAATGCAGAGTAACATAGACATTGTCAAGACACACAGTTGGACTGAATGATGTACCTCAATGGATTGTGACAATGGTTATTTAATATTTGATAGTTGTGTGTTTGCTGGAAAAATGATATTTTACTGTTTCATTTCAACTGTTTCTTTAATCGATTTATTGTTTTCCATAAAGGCCATTTTGCTTACATATTTAGTATTGTACACAGATAAACATATATGTCTACTCACTTCATTGTAGCATTACAGAATCCATGATCATTACAATCAGGTGTACCAGGACAATCTGCATCCTCACAGCCAATGTTTTGCCAGCCTGGCTCACATGTACAAGTATGGGTGCTACTTTCACAGCCACCTAATGATAAAGAAATATTGTTGTTAAATGCCTTGTTACACCCACTTGCTCAATGTGTTATGAGTGAATGCACTTTTTTCCAATATGTGATATTATGAAATAAACTGTGTAACTATTTGAAATGACATCCATTTTTGTGTAATCGTGGATATAATAAAATTGCCTACTTGAAAGAAACTAAAATATCTTTAAAATAACCCATAAAAATAACCACATTAGCTCATTTGTAAAATGTTTACAACAAGTAGTACCATAGTAGTGGGTCATTTTATGTGCTTTTGTTAAAATAGCAGAGTATATACATACCTCTACCACTGCAATCCAGGTTAAAGAGACCAGGACAGCCAGGAACATCACAGAGGTCACCTTTCCAGCCTGTCACATAGTCACAGACACAGATGCTATCTACAATGTTGCCATGATCTGAACACTCCGAGTCACAGCCTACACCTGCCCAGCCCTGGAGAGCAGAACACATGTAATTCAAATAGCAATATAATTTTATGCAGGGGGGGGGGCATAAAATGAGAGAGGTATCATTTTCACAATATATTAGTATATTTTGTTTGGGTGTATTGGTAGTATGTACTTACTGGTTCACACAAGCAATTTCCAGAATTGGCAGGAGTTTGTGTACCATGAAGACATGGGTCATCGCAAGCAGGTCCCATCCAGTCTGCATGACAATCCAAACACAATGGAGGGCTATATGATGTATCACATGTACCCCTATCCATGCAGTTTGGCTCTCCAGGACAATCAGGGATGTGACAGTAAACTCCAGTCCAGCCAGCAAAACATTCACACTCCATCGTGTCACTGTTACACTCTCCTTGGCTGCTACATTCAAGTCCTGTTTCAGGATCCCATGGGCATCCGGGGACCTCACAGTATGTTCCATGCCAGCCAATCAAGTGACTGCACTCACAATTTCCATCTGGATTACAATTGCCATGATTGGTACACTCAACATTACAGCCATCACCATGCCAACATATTTGATCGCAGACGCATTCGGTGTTGTCAGCATTAGCAGAGCCCTCTATACAGGGATCATTACAAGCAGGACCATACCAGTCACCCTGGCAGTTCATGCATACAGGTACTTCAGCCGAAAGGTCACAAGTACCTCGTCCCATACAGTCAGGCTCACCAGGGCAGTCCTCAGTGCTACAGTCAATACCTAGGAATGAAACCATTCAAAATTAAACATTTTGATATATCAAAGAGAAGTAGTGTACAATGCACCTAAGCTAATAGAAATCAAGAGAATAATCAGTATTTAATTTTCATAAGGAATTACTAATTGGTTTGTCAAGGTTTATGTTCATAAAATACTGGCAAAAATACTTAAAGTAAATTACCTGACCATCCTGGGTCACAGAAACAGGTGTGAATGGCGGCATTACAGATACCATGTCCAGAGCACTCCGTGTCACCAGGGCAAGATGGGTAGGTACATTTGAAGCCACGCCAGTTGTTGTCACATTCACACAGCCCACTTGCGTTACATGATCCATGACTGTTACACTCTGATTCACAGTAGTCTCCTAGATGGCAGTTATCACAAAGACAGTAGTCATCCTGGCATGTGCCTTGACCTCCACACATCTGTGAACAATCGTTACCATGGTAACAAGGATCACATACACATGTTCCACAAGAAGAGCAAGTGCCATGACCGCTACAGCTACTGGTTTCATCACAGAAGAAAGCACAGTTATAACCTGTGTATCCCGCATCACAATCGCAGCCTCCATATTGGTTACATTCTCCATTTCCACTACAGGTCTCATCTCTACCACACTGTACCTCACAGTATGACCCCATGTAGCCAGAATCACATTCACATTCTGAGCCAGACCAAGTACCATGTCCACTACAGATGTTGTCATCAGTGCTAGCTATTGATCCTGTATTACCAGTTCTATAACCACCACCAGCATTTGTGTATCGGTTCTTTTCAATAACCAGGTCAACGAAATTATCTCCAAAGGTTCTGATACGGCCACCACCGCCACCACTACCATAGCAATAATTACAGCAACCGCCGCAACCACTTTGATAGCATACTGTGTTTCCTGTGCCACCATTGGCTGCTAAAGATCCACGTCCTTGAATGATTTTACCATCTATCCAGACTGAACCTCCACTACCGCCACCAGCTCCAGATCCGCCATTAGCACCAGACATCGAAATAGACCCCTCAAGGGAAATCAAATTCTTGCCGATGAACTTAAAGGCATCACCTCCGCTGCCACCAGGTTGGTTGTTTTCACAATTTCCACCACCACTACCAACAGTGTAAGGTAGGGCATCACTGTCATATACAGTACCACCTGAACATGACTGAGATTGTCCACCAGCACCACCGTGACCGCCACCACTGCCTCCTTTGTTTTGGCAACCTGCTCCTGGGCCAGATTGAGCTTCATATCCAGCTGCCTGTCCTTCAATGGATGCTTCTTTCTCCACATCAACAGTTCCACCGAATATTGAGAATGCTCCCAAGACCTTTACAACAGCTCTATGTCTTACACGGAACTCATCAGCAGTGAATTTCATTCCATCATCGAGAGTTCTCACACCCGAAGCTTCAGCTTCAAGTATACCCTCATCCAGTACATTGACAGAATCGAACCAATAATGCCCTGGTTCAGATTCGGATCCTTCTTGACAGAGACTGTATCCAGTGGGATTTATGATCATTTTCCCAGTAATAACTAGGTCCTTTATTCCATTAAGACCACCTTGTACATCAACTGTCTCCATAACATAGGTGTAACCAGCGGTGTCAATAAGACCACCATCATGGACACGTAAGTTAGCCTTGATAGACACACGTGGTGCCTCAGAGTCTAAGTCCAATGTTTGGCCATTTTGAATCTCAAGCAATCCTGTACCATCTCCACTCAGTTCTTTCAACATCATATCACCCTGAAACAATACATCAAACTTACCAAAAATTCTTTACCAGATCATTATCAGACCCACCATCAAATTGTATTTCTCTACATTAATATGATCTTGGCATGAAAATAAACATAGGCTCTTCCATATAGCTATCATTGATGTAACTATTAATGTATTAGTAACTATTGATCACTACAAAGCAATTTTAAAGGATAACAAATCTGCCAGTATTAATTCATTTTTGTATTAAGATCTTAACTTACATCTAGTTGTACGCAGGCATGGCCACTGATGTGGAATTGGTCGAAGATGTACTGTGTGCCAATATCATTTGCCTCACTTAATACTGTTGGATAGGTGCAGACATTCTCAGTGCCTCTGTCAGATCCATCAAAGATCATTTGTCTGTGAACAGTGTCACCAATGGTCTGTTGTACATAGACAGTTCCACAGGAGCCGTGCCTATTGTGAGCACCAGTTCCACCAAGGGCCTCAGCTACACCAAGGAACCACTTATATGGATCTGTAAGATGTATCGCTACACGACCTCCTGCTCCACCGCCACTGCCTAACAACACAGAGAGAAATAAGTTAGACTTAAATTCTGACTCTCTCGATAAAAAGAATCTTTCAAAGAGAAAGTACAAGTAGATGCCATTTATTTGAATACAGCTCAACTTACAATGGCCAAATTAAATATACTGTAACTTAAATGGTATTGAAAATGCATCAGATACCATCAGATTTGAATGAAACAGATGTAAATTTTAACTTTTCAGTCATATTAATCTAAACCTGGAATCAAATTACAATTACATATGAAATATGCCATAATGAGATTATTTAACAAACCACAGGTATTAAGCTATTTCCTTACCCCAGTTTCCATCATAGTAACGTCCCTCGCCTCCATTGGCTTGTATGGTGCCATGACCTCTGATATGTACAGTGGTGATCATGATGGTGCCACCTGCGCCTCCAGCTCCTTGGTGGTTATTGGTTCCAATAACACCAGCAGATGTCACTGTACCGTCAACCACCATTTTCTAGATAAGAAAAAACAACTGGTCATTTTTGGGCAAATCTGTGAATAGATCAATTTAGATAAACCTCAAATATAGTAAATTCCATCTACTTGAAAATATTAATGTAAAATGCTATTGTTTAAATCGAAAATATTAAGATATAGATATTTAGAAAATACCTATGACTAAAATAGTAAATAATGATTATTTATTAGACTTAAAAATAAAAATATTTCATACTGTCATATATGATTATTTTCGCTAAGTGCAGTAGAGAGTGTGTGTTATAAATTTATGTTTCCTTACTAAGGCAGCATCTATCATAATGGCAGCTCCACCACTTCCAGCATAAGCGCCACCTCCACCACTACCAGGCTCAGTGGGCTCATAAAGTGTGTCATAGATTTCACCAACATCTACATTACCAGGCTTGTTGGTACCACCTGTGAAAGGATCAAGTAGCAATTGTTAAATTATTTTACGCCACACATAATAGTAAAAATCATGAATATCTAAATGGTATCAATTTATTCCAGTGTACCGTGTGTTATATTATATTTGACCAACAACTTGTCATAAATTGCATATGGAATTGTTTAAATATAATACTCATATTAAAACTTTGAATGTGCAAGGGAATGTTTACTTACCATTAGCACCATGTCCACCTCCTGATCCATCATAGGTTGAAGCAGTACCAGCTCCAGGGCCCTCATTCTTTGCATAACCATATCCATCTCCAGTCATTGTTCCATCAAACTCAATATCAAATAGAGAAGCATTGAAACTAGCCCTATTACAAGCAACAGTGATTGTACCACCATTCTTGAGATAGATATCACCAATGTTCACCAATGGGTGAATATCACCCATTTCAACTTTGAATTCACCAAGGTTATTAACTCTAAGATCCATAAGTTCAAACAATCCTGCTGTGTATGTGTCTTCAAAGGCCTCGGTATACCAAATGTCTGTGTGGGGAACATCGCCTGTGTGGGCACTCTCATCAATGTAGAAGCTACCACCACGTTCAACGATGAGGTTTTCAACACCAGTCATCCTACCTCCAATAGTAACACGCTCAGAGCGCACAATAACTTCTGTTGTTAGAACAACTTCACCACCAGCATCAACATGGAAGCCAGCAGGGCAGTCAAGGTATGTATGAGTTTCAACCACAAAGTGTACAACAAGTCTTTGATGATCCTGGACTCTGACAAGACCTTTCTTGTTGCCAATCATCTCATGTGCAATTATGGTAACATTATCAGAATTGTCTGGATGATAGAAGTGGATGTATGCATACCCCTCAATATCAATCTCATCAAACTCGTAGTAGTCACTATCTTCCTCCATTACAAGTGCATAGTTGGTCGTGTCCAAATCAGCATTCTCAACACGTAGGGAGCTGTGTTCTGGTTCAACCATTGTGACGTCCAATCTTGGGTTGTACTTAAGTTCTCTGTATTGAGGACCACGTGATGACTCATATTTGTAAATTGTCCCTGGGCCACCATCTCCAGTTGTATGACTCAAGGATGTTCCGCAGACACCACCACTTGCACGGTACAATCCACCAAACTTATTTTTGTATTCAATCTCAAGGGATATTCTGCCTCCACTTCCAGCTCCACCATTGCCGTAACCATCACCACCACTTGCATCAAATGCACCATGTCCAGATACATTAAAAGCCTTGATAAGGATGCTACCACCACTGCCACCACCACTGTTTCCAGAAGTGCAGTCTTCACCAAGTGTCCTGATCTCTCCATTCACATGAAGATCTCGTCCTATTTTGATATCGACAAATCCACCACCAGCTCCTCCAGATGCACCACCCCCACCACTACCTAAGTCTATAGGAGTAAATAGGGAGCCATATGGAGTGCCAGCATTGGAGCCACCTCCTAGACCACCATAGCTTCCACCTGATGATCCAGTGCTAGCTCCAGGGCCAGCCTCAGCTTCATGACCTTTACCATCAAGAGCTAAGGCTCCTTCAGATTCAACATCCATGTCACCAATCTCAAGGTAGCCATGATTCATCAACATAAGACCCTGATATTTGATCTCCAACCAGGCAGTAGTTACAGTCAAGCTACTTTCAATCTTTACAAATTCAAGCTCTCCATGTCTGCGGATATTAATTGTTGGCAAGGAGAAGTTCCCTTCCTCAGTGACCATTATGTAAGTGCCATTTTCCATAAGTGCAGTCTGAGCTGTTGATGAGACATCAACCACACCACCAGATTCAACATATATATGATGGACTCCTGTTAATTTACCATGGAGTTCCGAATTGACACCATGTAGATGAACTTCTGTAGGCCAGAATATTTCAGCTTCATAGTCGATGATGAAAGCGCAGGGAGCTTCAGTTTTGTTGCTTACTGATTCAACAACCTCAGCCCAGACTTCCTGGTTGCTTCTAATGTGAAGCTGTCCAGTCTTGTCTCCTATGAAGTGATGTGCAACTACAGATATGAGGTCTGTATTGTTGGGGTGGTATATGAGCAGTCTTGAACATCCTGTTAGTTCTAACTCATCAAATTCAAAGGATTCTGCGTCACCTTCCATCATCATAGTGGCTACAGGGACACATCTTCCAGTATTGTCAACATGAGTATATCTGAAGTCAACTTGGAAGTATTCTGCACCAGTTTCCTCACTGAATTTAAGTTCTCTGTATTGTAGTGGTCGCATGTTCTGTTCAACATAAATTGTACCAGCTGCAGCTCCATGAGTGAAGTCATTGCCTCCCTCACCAGCTCCACCACGGTCGGTTAATTTACCACCATAGCTGTAGCGGAATCGGCAATGGACACTGACTCTTCCTCCAGCGCCTCCACCACCAGATCCTGTTGCATCTCCTCCTCTGACATTGATCTCTCCATGTCCAGTCATATTAGTGGTCTGAATTAGAGCACCTCCACCACTGCCACCACCAGCATTGCTTCCAGTGCCATCAGCTCCACGTGCTCCGAGAAGTCCATTGAGTTCAATACGTTCAGCAATACTCCAGAATAAGAGACCTCCACCAGCACCTCCAGTCCCTTGGCCATTGCCTCCACCACTTCCAAACTCTTTGGAGTTGTAGACAAAGCCATATGGCTGGGCAACTTGAGTTATATCAGCGCCACCACCTTCTCCACCATGTGCAGCACCATAACCTATATTATCAACTGTGGAACCTCCTCCTGGACCTTGTTCAGCAGGGTAACCCTTTCCATCAAGGTGGAAAACACCTTCACTTTCAATCCAGGCCCAAGTTGAGAAAATATCAGCATGGTTCATGTAGAGATTACCTTGGTATTTAACCTTGAATTCACCAACCTCAAGTGTCATTTCATCAGTTATTCTTTCAAAGCCAGCAACTCCTCCTCTCTTAACAGTGAAGGTGCTGAATGAAAAGTTTCCAGGTTCAGTGATCCATAAATAGGTACCATTGTCCAAGAGGCCAACCTGTGCAGTGGAGTGGAACTCCGCTGTGCAGTCATCCTCAATGAACAAATGCTGCACACTGGTAAGTAAACCAGCAAATGTACTGTCAATTCCATGAAGATGGGTCTCAGTTGGCATTATGATTTCAGCTCCATCATCAACAATGAAACTACATGGAGCCTCAGTTCTATTGGACTCTGATTCAATGTACTCAATCCAAGCCTGTTGTGCCTTCCTGAGATGAAGTTGGCCTGTTCTGTCTCCAATGAATTTATGAGCTATTAATTCAATTTCAGTCACATTGTCTGGGTGATGAAGCCACAAGATGGTTGATCCAGTAATCTCCATTTCATCAAACTCATAGTTCTCTCTAGAATAATCCATAATGAGTGTTTGCCTTGGACCGAATTTCAGCTTGTTGTCTGCATGGACATAAGTATGATCAACAGCTAGCATAGTTGTATTGAGATATGGGTCGTATTTCTTGAATCTGTATTCAAGCTCTCTGTAGTTCTCTTCCTTGTAGGTTGTACCGGCAGCTCCTGCATGTGTTTGTTCGTAACCACCGACACCATCACCTCCATAGTTGTGATACTCTCCACCATATTGGTAGCGCCATCTACAATGAACTCCAATACGACCTCCAGAGCCTCCACCACCTGAGCCAGCGGCTGAACCTCCATTAACAGATATCACACCATGACCAGTCATATTGGTTGTCTTTATGAGAACACTTCCTCCACTGCCACCTCCTGCATTGCCACCAGAGCCATCATTTCCTCTCAGTGCCAACTCACCATCCATCTCAATCTTTTCAGCTACCTCCCACAAAAGTAAACCACCACCAGCTCCTCCAGTACCGCCACCATTGCCACCACCGCTTCCAAGGTCGCGAGGTGAGTAGACGTTACCGTAGGGTTCGGTGATTGATTCAGAACCACCACCATATCCACCATAAGCGGCTCCAAGACCAAGGTCAGTATTGTCTGTAGGTGGTGCTCCAACACCAGCTTCAGCCTCATGTCCTTTACCACTCATGTGGAAGATACCTTCACTTTCTACTATGGCATTTGTGGAGTATATGATCACTTCATCCATGTAGAGACTACCTTGGTACATGACTGTGAACTCAGCAGATGTAATGGACATGGGGTAATCAGGATGTTGATTGAATTCACATTTAGAATTCCTCTCTACTGTTAGAGTGGAGAAAGTGAAGTTTCCTTGTTCAGTAACCATGATATATTCTTGGTTTTCAATTAGGGCAATTTGAGCAGTTGACATCAAGATGACATCTGCACCCTCAGCAATGAGCAAGTCCTGGCATCCAGTGAGCATACCAGCAAGCCATGTTCGACTACCTAAGAGGTTCACGATTTTGGGCATGTGGATTTCAGCACCATCTTCTACCCTGAAGCTGCATGGAGCCACTGTCTCATTGGTCTGAGACTCTACTACCTCCACTATCAACTTCTGGTTATTACGAAGATGGAACAGTCCAGTTCTGTCTCCTTCAAAGAGGTCCACTTGGACTGTTACACTGTCTTTACCAGTTGGGTAATCCACTCTTAGATTAGAGTGACCTGTCATCATCATTTCTTCAAATTCATAGAATTCCTTGTCACCTTCATTGAGAACAGTGAATAGCCAAGGCTCTTCATGCTCTTGGTAGAGCTCCCTGTTAATGTGTTCATTATCAACTTCAATACGTCGATGGCTGGCTGTAGTGTACTCCTGTCCCTCTGCATCATACTTAATATCAGCGTATTTAGGTCCTCTTGATGTTTCTTCCATGTAGACAGTACCAGCTGCTCCACCAAGTCCATTGTTTCTGCCAAGGCCACCAGTTGATAGGAAGTCTCCAGCGTATTTGTATTTGAATCGAATCCAAATAGCCATACGACCTCCAGCTCCTCCACAGCCATGGCCATCACTTCCAGCATCTCCTCCAGACACATCAATCAATCCAAAGCCAGTGAAATTAAGTGTCTCAATGAGGATACTACCACCACTGCCTCCACCAGAGCTGTAACCCGAACCAGCAGCCCCAACAAGAGTGATCAAACCATCAACTAGAAGCTCTTTGCCATTTTTCCAGTGGAGTAGACCACCACCACTACCACCAGTGCCACCTTGTCCATTACCACCACCACTACCAAGCTCAGTTGGATAGTACAGTGATCCATATGCCTCACCACCAGTATATGGATAGGGTGCTCCACCATGTCCACCATGGGCAGCTCCAAATCCTATATTATTTGTGGTATTACCAGCACCAGGGCCACTCTCAGCAGTGTTTCCTTTGTAGTTCAGGCTCAAAACACCAAGGCTTTCTATCACACCATCATTGCTGTCGATGGTTCCACGGTTCATGTTTAGTAAACCTTCATACTTGAGGCGGAATTTATTAACCTTAAGTGTGAGGTCACCAACAACGTGTGTAAGTTCCATGACAGAGCCTCGTTGAATGGTGAGCATGGTGAAAGATATACTACCAGGATCAGTCAAGTAGACATGTGTCTCATTTTCCAATCTGGCAGTCTGTGCGGTGGAATACACAACAATGTTAGCTCCTTCTGCTATTGTCATATTCTGAACATTTGTCATTAGACCCTTGACTACAGTACGGGTACCCAGCATTGTCACGTCAGATGGGAATATAATCTCAGAATCTGTGTCAATTTCATAACTGACTGGAGCAATTGTGTAGCCAGTCTCTGAGATTCTGTATTCAACATACATAGTCTGATTGGCTCGCAAATGGAACAACCCTGTGCGATCTCCTGCAAACTTATGAACAGTCATCTCAGCAAGACCTTCTTTCATCTGCAGTTTAACATGGTTATGGGCCTCAACTTCATCAAATTCAAATTCATGTCCATCTTCACTTTCTATAACTGTAGCGAGGAAGTCATTCCTGTTGTCATTATCAAGCAGTAGTTTTCTATGACCATCAGCAAGCTCTAGACCCTCAGTAGTGTTTACAAGCACAAGACCTCTCTCTGAGTATGTGAAGTAGGCTGTTCCTGCTGCAGCATTACCATGGCCTCCACTTGTCCTAGATTCACCTCCGTAGCCACCATAAGCCAAGTACTCTCCACTGTATTCTCTAAGCCACAGTACATTTACTGCAATACGACCACCAGCCCCTCCATAACCCCAGCCATTGCCATTACCACCTTCAACAGTGATGTTACCATGACCAGAGAAGTTCATGACATGGACATATATACTACCTCCACTGCCACCTCCAGAGTTGGAACCTGTAGCATCAGCACCAAAGGCATTAATGAAGCCATCAAGATGTAAGGCACGGCTGACATTCAATTTGATTGTGCTCCCGCCAGCTCCACCATGTGAGCCACCTCCACCACTGCCCATGTGGTTTGGTGTTGCATAGGAACCATATGTAGTACCTATAACAACGAAGTAATTTTTTATTTTCACATTAAATAAAACACATTTAACTGAGGTTACAAAATAAGGCTTTCTGGAATTAGCATACTTTTAACAAAGTCTACAGAGTCAAACTGACAACTTTAGATTTTCTTTCATATATCCTAAATTCTATTACTATAACATTAGATTTGACTGACCTTCAGTAAAGTCATCAATATCAGCTCCACCACCGTATCCACCGTGGCCAGCACCGACACCATATCCTTCTGAGTTAACATCACCTGCACCAAGTCCTTGTTCTGCAGCTGGTCCAACACCACTGGAATCATTAATAATTATATAATGCTATAATACAATACTATTAGACCCTATTGTACAAGCAGAGAACATAAATTTTGGCAAATCAAATTTTCATGAAAGAATTGCCTATATAGTGCTATTATTTTTTACATATAGGTTTGCAGTTAGGAGAGTGTAGGCATATGGGGAGAACATTAACAAAGTGAACACTGTGCCCTACCTGACATCAAGTTTAGCTTCACCCTCAAGATGGATGTCCCCAGCCTCAATGAGGATGGTTTTTGCCATAAACTCTGAGGCATAACGCATCATCAGATCAGAGGTCTGTAGCTTTAGGTTACTATTGTGAACCATCCTTGATTCTGCTTCAAGTGTTACTCTGCTGAACACCTGGAAACCTGGAATACAGATTTATAGTTTTAGAGTAAACTGATCGACATGAAGACATTTTTTATATAATTTTCATAGTTTAACTAATGATTAATGAAAAAAGTAATATTTTTTCATATTTTGTGCTCACAAATAAAAATTGTTGTTATTCCTGTTTATGTCCAACCTGAAGAAAGTGTTTCAGACTAATAACCTTTTATGTATCTTAATTTGTTATATTCGCATGCAATTTTCTTGTGAAGCCAAATAATTATGTTAGTTACCTGCAGGAGAGTTGACATATTCACCACGGAACATTCTCGAGTTGGATGCATTAGCGCCAATGTGCATCTCAGTCTCTTCACTCAGTGTAAGATTGTAGATACCAGCGATGTGTCCCTCGAGAAGGAACGCAGGATCAGCTGTACCAATCACACGGAAGTCCTGAGACAACCAGATTTCACTGCCAAGGTCAACGCGGAAGTTGACAGGTGGGTAGGTTCTCACAGAGGCAAACTCAGAGAATTCAATAAAGAATTTGTCTCCATCTTGGGGATGTAGGAAGCCTGTCTTGTCACCAAGTATTACAGGGATGTTGATTGTTGTGATCACATCATCTTCACTGTCTGAGATCTCAAGCATAGCCTGAAATATAGTGGTCAATGTTTATTACATACACTGTACTAGAATTAAGTCATGGCTTGAATGGTCCTTGTATTCAACATAGTTCTTTGATCATGCTTTTTCACTGCAGTATTTACTGACTATTGAGCATCCTCAATCAACAAAATCTGAAATCTTAACAAAAAATCTGATTATTTAAATTAACATACCATTTTTTCGAGAAGAACTGTGTCAAAATGCAAAGCTGCTCCATTGTCTATCTCAAGATCAAAGATGTCAATCTTAGGATTTCGCTCATAAATCACCAAAGGTTTTGGTGTGGCTAGATTCTGCCCATTCACATAAAGTCGTGTGTGCCATTCCAGATCCCTGATGATTGTGTCCTCTACGAAGATACTTCCAGGACCTCCAGTGTCACCAGATGTTGATCCTGGTGCTCCATAGGCCATCATACCTCCGTGGTAGTCATTGTCTACTTGTGTGTGTAAGGAGATGCGACCTCCTGCACCACCACCAGCATATTGGTCACCCTTGCCACCACTAGAAGAGATATCACCATGACCACGCATGTCACCTGAAATAGAACAGGATGCAAATAGCAATAGGATGATACAATAGCCTCTATGCAGATACTATTGAAGAGTTTGGCTGACACTTAATGTTGCTGTTTTGGAATGCCCATACAATTGTTGACATTTAAAATTGTTATCTTTGCATCAATCAAATCAAAAAAGATTTTCATCTAGTCTTCACAAAAGCAATACATGGCAATGTTTATAGCTAAATATGATATAAAAACAACAAACTATTCCTTAACATACCAGCTTTGATCCATACAGATCCACCACTACCGCCACCGCAGCCATGAGCCCCATCATTGCCGTCAACTTCAACTAAGCCGTCCAATAGGAACACAGAGCCAATGTTGATCTTTATCTTGCCACCACCTTTACCACCGTTAGTGCCACCTCCTGTGGAACCTTCAAGGGTGGGTTCATATAGAGAACCATAGGCTATACCACCTGCTCCGCCACCATTGTCTGCAAATAAAATAAAATGAACATTGAGGCAAGGGAAATTTACTAAATAATGATTTTTTTACGAGGATGTACCATATACATGCTGTAACGAATCATTAACAATAAACATTCCAATTAAACCATTATCAACAGACAATACTAGGCTAAACTTACTGTTTCCACCATAAGAGGCGTGACCAGCTCCAGCATTGCCAGTAGCTTGACCAGGCAAATCATCCAAGCCTCCACCATTACTGTCCAGTAAGGCAAGGGGCTCTAGGTAGAAAGTTGTAGCAGCCACTTCAAATGCAATGGCTTCCATACTAGCTTCATATTTGATATCCTGTAAAATAGTGAGTATTGAAATGTAGTAGTAACAAAATCTAACAAAGAAAAAGTAATGAAATTCAAATTAGAGATTTTATTAAAAATCAACTTAATATTCTTTGTTTTATTCAGGTAGTAAAGCAAATTATCCACCAATTGATTTTGTAAATTCTAATTTGTGTGTTGAGTTCTGTTTTAGCATCAATAACTACAAAGGACTTACCAGTAAGCCGACTGTCAGTTTTGGTGTCATAGGTGGAGGGAAGGATAGCTGAACAACAGCACCCAGCTCAAGACTGGAGAACTTGAAGTTGCCTCCATCTCCTTGTTCATAGACTCCCTGCTTGAAGAGACTGACAGTTGCATATGGTCCAATGGTTACGACTCTTCCTGGAACAATACGCAAGTGATCCACATTGATCATCTCACCATTCCATCTCAGTGCAACCTCCCCTTCACCCAGGATGTACACCATGGTTGCAAGGTAGGCCTTAGCTCCCTCATCAATCCACAGATTGACTGGGGTCTTCATGGTTGTAGCGGTTGACTGGGCTTGCTCAATGAAAGCTGTGTGTCTGGCATTGAAGTGCAGTCTACCGGTGCGATCTCCATAGACTTTAGTGACAGTCAGAGTTCTGTTGCTAGAATCAGACTTCAGTGCTAGAGATGCCTTGTTATAAACGAATAGGTCCTTAAATGTGTAGTCATAGTAACCATCCTCATCCAGGGTGTAATATTGGTCCCAGTCGTGGCCGCCTTGATCCAGATAGAACTGGCTGTAGGGCCTAGTGTTCCTGATCTCCTCAATGTACACAGAGCCAGGGCCACCATCTGATCTATAACCAACATTACCTGTACCACTGACAGCTAGATAATCACCTACAAACTGATTCTTCACTTTCAGATAAAGAGCAATTCGTCCTCCAGAAGCTCCGGCTGTATTTGAACCACCATTAGCTCTGAAAGAACCCTTGCCTTCTATGTCATAGGCCTCGATCCATATAGAACCAGCACTTCCAGATCCACTGTCGCCAGTACCATCACCACCATCGGTCTTAATGTTACCATCAACATACAGTTGACTGGATACAACAATCCTAATCTTGCCACCTCCTTTGCCAGGAGAGCCTGATGTTCCCTGACCTCCTTTGCTACCTCTCTCAGTAGGTTCAAAGAGACTACCATAGTAGTCTCCACCATCAGTCCAAACAGATGTGGTTGATCCAGTGGCATAGACAAAGCCTCCTCTACTGGCATGACCAGCTCCAGAGGCTCGATTGGATGTTCCAGTGTTACTGATTCCATTTCCTTCACTTGAGTCAAGAGTATCTAATAGCCTGTCTTCAGCAGATACTGAAATATTGCCACCAGCCTCTACATTCAAGTTACTAACCAATAGGTCAATAGTTTCAGAACTGACTACAGCTTCATAACGTACATCAAGTCTGCCAATAGAAGCCTTAAATTCCATGTCAGGAGCAAATTTCAATAGAGATTGACTCTTCAAGTCAAGTTCTCCAAATCTCAACTCTCCATCATTGTTCTTGTATAGATATGTTCCATTGCTGAGCATAGCAGTGTGTCCATTTTCATCCACATACATAGTTGTGCCACGTCCTAAGTATAGAGTAGAGGCACCAGTTAACATACCTCCAATCTCAAGAGAACGAACTTCGGGGTAACCAGGTAACATAACACCAAATCCATAGATGTAGAATGTCTGTGGGATGATAAGCTCGGCTCCTTCATCAATAATGAAATTGATACCAGATGTGAATGTTTTAGGATTTGCATCTTCATATTCAACAATATATTTATGTGTGTTATGTAGCTGGAATAATCCAGTGCGATCACCGATCAACTCACGTATATCAACTGTGATGTCTGTGATATCAGGGTTAACACGCATGGAACCAGAACGAGTGATTGTTAAGCGATCAAAGAAGAAGGTATCTGTATCATCATCTTCAATGGTTGCGAAACATTCAGGAGGGTTATCATCATTGCTTATGATGAGTGACTCAAAAGGCAAGCCATTGATGTACTCCTTCACATAGGCAGTTCCACCTCCACCACTGTATCCTGACACTGCTGATTTTCCACCATTAATGCTAAAGTCTCCAGCATACATGCTCTCGAAGAGTGTGTGTACAGCTACCCTACCAGCAGATCCTGCCCCAGTGCTACTGAGGCCATCTCCACCTTTCACAGACATAGTACCATAACCTTCAATCTTCCTAGCATCAATCAGGATAGAGCCACCACTACCACCTCCCTGGTCACCTGAAGCCCCATCAGCGATAAGTTCTCCATCCATGATGATCTCATTACCAACATTAAGGTATATACAACCACCACCAAGAGCACCTGTGGGATGTGACCTAGAGCCAGGGAATTCAGGCCTGTATATGGAGCCATATGGAAGACCACCAGCATTGGAGTTACCAGTTATACCACCAACACCACCATGGCCAGCTCCTCCATAGTTAGCTCTAGATGATCCTGTATCAATATCAAGGAGGGTAGAACTAGCTCTGTCATCAGCTCCTACAGTAATGGTTGTTCCAGATTCAAAGTTAACATTAGAGCAAGTGACATTGTAGAAATCAGCAGTCATTTTAGCTCCATATTTGATGTTCCAATCACCAACGATCATGTTGGCACCAGAATCTGGATCAAACTCGACCGTACTGCCAGGCTCAAGCTGGAGGAACCCGAATGTTACTCTTGCCTTTTTGCTTATCTCAGTTTCAACCATGGGGACAATACGAGCACTATCACCCATTCTCATTTTCCTCTTTTCACCAACAATCAGGTTCATTGCTCCTCTCATGATACCATTGAGATCCAATGCAACAGGAGCTTTGCCAAGGACTGTAGTAGTCTCAGACATAATGAACTCTCCTTCATTATGAAGCTCAAGATTGAGGTAGAGTTTGGAGTTAGTGGTGCCATTGCTGGATGATGGTGCTCTTTCTAGAGTACCTATCTGGTTTTTACGCACTCTTAACAGTCCAGTACCGTCTCCATGCACCTTGTTCAGCTTTATGGTTCGATTCTGTCCATCAGAAACAACTTGCACCTTTGCCAAATCAGAGATGTAGATATTGTCAAATTCCAAATCAAGATTTTCCTCATCAAGGGTACAGTAGTGAGAACCTTGACGATTGCGATTGTCCACAATGAATGATTCAACCAAAGTGTTGTCAATCTCCTTGCCAATCTTTGTGAAGACTGAGCCAGGCCCTCCAGGTCCATGAGTGGCAGGTGAATCTCCACCAACAGCCTCGTATGTCCCTATAAAGAGATCCTCAGCAGCTTCTACAGCTACACGACCCCCAGAGCCTCCACCAGCAGCTGAATTTTCAGTGGCACCTCCATTGGCTGAGACGGAGCCAAGACCTTTGATCTTGACATCAGCAGTGAGCCATACACTGCCTCCACTGCCTCCTCCTCCTGTAGCATGGTCAGCACCATTTGCATTGAGGATGCCATCAAGATGGAGTGTATCTGTGAGCAGTCTGATTGTACTACCACCTGCACCTCCGCTACCACCACTTGCACCATTTGTTACAGGTTGGTAGAGGGTTCCATAGGGTGTAGAAACAGTGGATAGATCAACACCTTCACCAACACCCCCAGAGGCAGAATGAGCTCCTCCACCAAGGCCAACACCTGTCTGTGGAGAGCTGGATGTTGTGGTGGATTCACCTAATACACTTAGCTGTGCACCACGCTCCAAGGTCAACTCCCCAGCAGTTAGATCAATGTAGGTAGCCTGGAGAACAACATAGCGCTTCATCTCCATAACACCTACTTGCAGAATCAGTGGACCTTCAGGTTTAAACACAGAGTCTTGCTTGAGGCTTACATATCCGAAGAAGTATGCACCAGGCTCACTTGTAGTTTTGTACTCTCCCTGTTGGAAAAGTGCAGTCTGGGATGTACTTGCAAGGTTGAGCTCTCCACCTTTCTCAATGACAAGATTGTTGAATGTACACTTCCCAGCAAGGTTAATAATAGTACCATCAATAGTCATATTAATAGGCACATGGAGGATAGCATCAACTGCAATGTCCAAATTCACTGATGTGGTGGTACTTGAAACGACACCCTCGGTAAACTCAGCCTGGAGGATCTGTTGATCTCGTACATACATCCATCCAGTCTTGTCACCAACCATCTTAGCAACTTGGAATGTCCTGTCAGAACCATCATATTCCACTTGGGCATATCCTGAAAGTCATAAGAGTTTCAATAGTTATTCTTATTGGAATGACTATTATACAAACGATTGTTGAAAAACTTAGGGAAGTCAACATTCAAAATAAGAAAATAAACATAGCTGAACAAGAAGCCATATAAATTACTTGAGAAGATTCAGGTACAATACAAACTCATACCTTTTATTTCCATGTAGTCATACATGAAGTCGGAATCTTCAGCACCAGTGATCTGTACTCTAGTCTGCTTTGGCAAGGCACCTTCAGTATCACCAATGATGAAGAGTTTCTTTGGTGGGCTGGACAATGTGGCAACACCTTCTATGGTATATACTGTACCAGGACCAGCCTTGACTGATAGGAGGTTATCATTACCACCACCAAATACAGTGATTGTACCAGAGAAGTCATAGCTGGAAATACATAGAAGAATGTTGATTGTCAAGGAGGTTTTTATAAAATGTGTTCCACCTAACAATGAATATTCATTTGAGATTGAGTTTGTACAATATGGTGATGAGAAATCTTATTCAATTGTGATAATGTTGATCATTTAATAACTAGATTCATGTTGCTTGCTTATTTCACCCAATTGTTTTCCATAGTTTTTACTTCTTTTATTTGAGTTAATGATATTGGGTTTCTATTGGGACTATTTGTACGAAATTCATTTTTTATAAAACTCACATGTCATCTAATGTGATCCTAATTCGACCACCACTTCCACCGCCACCATTGCCAGATCCATATCCACCATTGGCAGAGATGAGGCCATGTCCGGTAAACTTGACTGCCTCAACTAACACACAACCACCACTACCTCCACCTCCATTGTTTGTACCATCTGCACCATTGACGTTGATTGTACCTGGCAAGAGAGTAAGTATTTTAATGGCAACGTTTTGTAACAGGTTGAGAATAAGAAAATTCAATGATAATATTTACAATTAGAGAAACTGCTCTATACAATTATCTAAAGTCAATGTACCAAGAATAAAATATGTTGATATCTAACATAAATAATACATGAATAATATGAGAGTGAAGTCAAAATGACTTTATCCTTGGGAGTCAACTTAGAAACTTAGTACGATCTTACATATTTATGATAGATGAACTCTTGATACAACATGAATTGTTGTAAGCATAATATCAAAGATGGTTGAACTTACCTTCAACATTGAGCTCTTGGCTGACTTTAAGAGTGAGTAAACCACCACCAGCACCTCCAGTTCCTGCACCTGAGTTGGAGTTACCTCCTCCACTTCCCATGCTGGCTGGGTCACGTACAAGACCAAAGGATGGGCCACCTGAGTAGCCTGCACTAGGAGAACCACCCTCTGAACCATAGCCACCTCCGGTACCAACACCACTTACCTAAAAGCAAACCCCGATAGAGTTAAGGCTTTTAATCACCAGGGGAAGGGGGCTCCAGACATGAGGTACATTAGCCAGTACGGTACACAAGCAAAATAAATATTTATAATAATTTGTTGTATTTTAGATGTAAGACACACAAAATCATAAGAGGTATAAGATGCTGTAAAAAGATGACCCCCCCCAATGATATTGGAACTCATCCTGGGACTGATGATGTCACATTTCAAAGTAATTTACATGGTACAAAAAATCAAACCTTCCAGTTTTGAAATAATTTTCTCAATCATGACAAAATGTACAAAATGCACTTACTGTTGCTCCAGCTCCCTCTCCTTGAGCACTTCCATAACCACCACCAACCATATCAATCTTGGCTCCAGGGTGAAGTATAATGTCATTGCTCTGTAGGGTCAACTCCTGCATTCCCCACAATATAGAGCCATAGCTCATCTCTAGAGTACCTAGCAAAAGTGGTTTGTCGGAACCCTCAAAGGTCACCTGAGCATAAGCCTTGATGGTAAATGTGGCAAACCTGTAGGCTCCACGCTCACTGATAAAGGTGTATTCTCCGTCAACTCTAGTTGCTGTTCTGGTCTGAGGGGAGAAGACTGTTGTCATGTTTGGGGCGATAATCAAGTCACGCACATTGGTGATCAATCCTACAAACATGAAACAATGGATAAATACACTGATTTTAGTTAACAATGAGTTTTATTCCAGTATGCTAAAATCTTAATTCAATTCTAAATGTCAAAAACAAGACAAAAATATTAAGTTTATATTGCATTGATATATTGGTAAAGGATGATAACATACCTTCAAAGACATTGCCTGATCCCACCAGTGTAAGCTTAAGTGGAAGAATAACCTCTCCCTCAGAGCTGACTTTGAAACTGCAAGGAATAGTTGTCTCATCTTTACCATCATCTCCATGGAAAGTAACATTGTCTGGGATGTGTATGGTACTGGACTGGTCACACTGTAGGTCACTTGTCACAATGAAAGCATTTTCACGGACAATGTAGAGCTCTACATTGTTATGGATGTGGAGTTCATTGTAGGCAATACTGTCATCTTCATCGAGATATGTGGCTTCCATTGATTCACCAGCAGCAAATTCATTGTTGATGTAGAGGGAGTAGTAAGGTCTGTTCTTAACCATAGTGATTATGAATGCAGTACCTGAACCACCAGCTTGGGAATTTACAGCATTAGTATTAGCACTTGCATCACCTCCACTGATGAAATAGTTACCTTTGAATTTGTCTTCACCAGTGATCTCTACCCTGAGACGTCCACCACCACCACCACTACCTGCGAGTGTACCAGCATCACCTCCGAGTACAGACAGGTCGCCAGTTCCACTCATGTCTTCAGTGACTATCTTGATAGCTCCTCCAGAGCCACCACCACCGTATGCAAGACCTGCACCAGCATTGGCAGTTATATTACCATCAAGTTGTAGATCAGATGTAATCTTCAGGTTCATAATTCCACCACCGCTGCCACCAGCATTTGTGTTGGTTGGATTAAGTGTACCACTACCACCTCCAGATCCTGGCGTTGTGGCATCAAACAAGCTACCAATAGTCTCAGCAGGTTGAGAGCCATCTTGGGCTGAACCACCACGTCCTCCATAAGTAGCTCCTGATCCACCACTGTTGTGTTGTACACCTTTACCAGGCCCAGTATCTGCTGCACTACCAGCACCATCAACATCTATGTGTCCCATAAATGCCACTTGAAGGCTTGGGGTTTCAATGTACAAGTTAGTTGCTTTCACATAGCCATCATAATGTACAGTGAACTTAGTGAGGGCAATTAAATTGAATGGGTTATCAGGATCTTCAGAGACATCCAGTTTTCCAGTGCTCAGAACATCAATATTAGTGAAAGAGAGAGTTCCTGGAGGGTCAGATATTGTTGAACCAAGTGCAGTGTTGGAATCTTTGCCAAATATGACTTCTGAATTTTCTCCAACCTTCAGCTCACGTACGTTATCTATTGTACCATAAACTTCAAGATTGGGACGTCTTTCATCAACAAGATATGGATCAGTCAGCAAAAGCTTGGGTGGAAGGGAAACAGTTGCACCATTTTCAATATACACACGGCATGGTAAAGCATATGCTTGTTGGATACCATATGTTGTTACCATGGAAACAACTTGATTCTCTTTGAAGTATACGGTTCCAGTGTAATCTCCAAATAATTTCTCAATGGTGATTTCACTACCAGTATCTTCAAACTCCACAACAGAGTCACCTCTAAGATCCATCTTAATCTGTCCAGAGAGGCCACTAAGTATGGTCCTTCCTTCAGTTAGAAGTCCATTATTGTTGACAGTGAGAAGGGTCTTTGCGATCCCAAGCTCAGTGTATTCAACAAAGACGGTACCTGCTGCTCCATGCGTGGAACCTTCAGCACCATATGTGGTGATCTTACCATTAAAGTCAGACATGATTGTGCAGTAGATTGCAATTCTACCTCCAGCGCCTCCTCCAGCATTACTTGCCCCAGAGCCGCCATCAGCAGTAATACTTCCATGTCCAGTTAACACATTTGTATCAAGCCATATGGTACCACCACTAGTTCCTCCTGCGTTGGTCACATCAGTACCATCTACACCAAGTGTACCATCTATGGATAAGGTTCCAGTGGCTGTTATCTTGATGATACCTCCTCCCCTGTAAGAGCCTGAGCCACTTCCAGCTTGGGTGGGTTCAAGACAAGAGTCATAGTGATTGCCTGTATCTCCACCACCATCTCCACCATGACTGGCTCCTTTAGAGCTTGACCCAGCTCCAGGACCTTGTTGGAGACCACCCTTGTTGGCATCTATAACAGCCTCATCACTGATGGTGATGTCAGTACCAGAGATGTAGAAATACTTCTCAGCAGTTGTGGTGGTGAGGATTGACTCAGCATGCATGTAGAAAGTAGTTGCCTCAAGTGTGTTGCTTGTCTTGGTGAAGTACAAAGCACTCTTGGGTCCAAGAATGAGGTCATCAAGCTTGAAAGCATCTTCACTTTTCCCAACAATAACATCATCCTCCACAAATATTGTCACATTTTCATAAGTTTCAAGACCGTTGACATAAAGTTCAGCTGCATCTCTCAAATAAAACTTTGCAAATCTACCAACAGTGAGTTTATCAGCAGCGATTTTTCCATTGACTTGGAGTAATTCTCCACTAATCAAGTAGTTTGGAACTGCTTCAGTGTTCAGTGTAGCACCGTCCTCAATGATAAAGTCACATCTCACACCCCTGATGTCATCAGCTGTTCCTGTAACAGTCAGAGTTGCTCCTGATTTGATGGTGATCTCACCAGTACCATCACCCTGGAGAGCACCAACAGTTTTGTCAGATTTGATCTCCAGTTTTGCATTGTTGATGATATCCATGGTAAGACCAGAAGGCAGAGGGATCTGCTCAACGAGAGGCACTGCTGCAGTAGTGGCACCTATTGACAGTTTGTTCCTGGTCTGTCCATTATAATAATCCCGGATAAAGATGGTTCCATCTGAGGCTTTCTGGGAAGCACCAGTTGCTCCATTTACTGTGACATCTCCCTTGAAGGTGTATTCAGTATTGAGCTTAATTGAGATCCTTCCTCCACTGCCGCCTCTAGATGCTCCATCAGCTTTGATTGTACCTATACCAGTGAGAGTGTTGGAATCAATGCGGATACTTCCTCCACTTCCACCCCCATAATAACTAGTTGAAGCACTCATACCACTCATATCAATGGTACCATCAACTATGAGATCGGTTGTGACCTTAATCCAGACCTGGCCTCCACCACGTCCCTGATCCTCATTTGCCATATAACCATTACTACCATAGTCCATAGGGTTCTCTATATCTCCATAGAGTTTACTGTTATTTGTCACAGTCCCAGCAAGACCACCATAGCTTCCACCTTGATTGTTGCCTTCACCAAATCCAGGACCATTCTCTTTATACCCAGTGCCCATACCTGTCATCTTAGCATTTGGTCTGATGGTTAGTGTACCAACATTGATGATAGTCTTGTTGAAGCCATCAACAGTTGTACCATCAATTCTTAACTCGCCACCAGTTTCAATGTAGATAGAGTCATATGTGTATTCGGTGATATTAGCTGTGGGTAGATAGCAGTACTGCCCATTCAAGATCCTTAGATCACCTTCATAAGGGAAGCAAGTGTGGTTGACGTAGTCTCCCATACCTGTGGGATACAGCTGTGTTGTATCATAGCTGCCTTGTAAATGGTAGTAGCTACCATGAAGGTTGAAATCACTGCGTTTGATCAGTTCATCAACATATAGGTTAACATGGGCTCGTGGCTGACCACCACAAGATCCTGAATTAACCATATTACCATTGTAATCAATAGTAACACTGGTAAGCTTCACCTCTCCATCTCCATCCTCATTGGTGCTTGCTGGGTAGTGCATCTTAATCGTACCTTGATCTCGAACTTCGAGATTCTCCACATTACCCATAACACCGCAAACATCCAAGATGGTGCCTCGCTGGACAACAACTGTTGCTGGCATATCTACAGTCGCTCCAACCCTGACTAACATATCCACCTCAAGGTCAAGTGTAGATGATGGTGAAGTTGCCCTGGTATTCCAGAAGAAAGATAACCTGTTACCAATTTCAAGGGTTGTGTCCTTGTTACCATGGATCTGTCCGATTCTAGCAGTAAGAATTGGGTCACTGTCACCACGCGCTTTGAATGACACCCACTCGTTCTTTGTCATGGTGAGTTCATCCATGCTGAAGAGGTATGTATCGTCATTGACAGTGAGGATTGTTCGAGCATTTGTACTAACCTCATTGTTGTCAACTATAGCCTGAAATCACAAATATACAAGGTCTTCAATAGTACAGTTGTTCAATTACTGTAATTGCTTATTGAAATGCTTAACCTTATGTCCAACTTGCAAATGCTTACAAAACTGCAACTCTGACAACAAATTCTATATATTGGTTACAAAAATCAGTGATCTCAACTTTTTGGTGGAGAAATAATTATACTGTAGACCAGTTAAATGCGACATTACTAAATCCCAATAGCTAGAAATGCTGAATATAGCTCACTGACTTTTTGAGTTTGTACACTCAAATATTGCCCATTATTGCTTTAAAATTGGTGAAACAATGCTATGATTAACAACGATTCGCATATATTCTTACCCGAGACCATGTATTCAATGGATCATTGACACTAATGTAGACGGTTCCAGCAGCACCCTTCTCTTGATTGGCTGTGCCACCATATGTAGTGACGGTGCCTCCGATACCACCATATTTGTAGTAAAGGGCAATGAGACCTCCACCACCCCCGCCTCCATATGAGCCATAGCCATTACCACCATTGGCAGTTATAGAGCCTGAATTATAAATATTAAAGAGCCATATCAATCATACATGTAATGTCACTTATTTACAGAATATAGAACTATACCTTAATAGTACTTAAAAATATTTGGAAAGATTATGTCACATTTGTACGTCAACAATGAGACAGTGTTTCCCAAATACTATCACGAAACATAGAACTCTGTATTCTCACTTAATTCAACAATAGCGTCAAGACAAGCATTGAACAGAGTGTTCGATATTAGATTTTTATATTCTTTCAATTTTCTGTATTTTTCCATAACCAGCTTACCTGTTACAAGGATGTTCTCTGATGCAGTGATCCAGATACTTCCTCCAGCTGCGCCACCACAGTCACATGTAGCTGTCTTGCCACTAGATGAAGAGAAAAAGATACATATATTATCTGTTGATAGGTTTTTCACAATATTCAATCAATTTTCTTTAATTTGCAAAAAATGGTTATTCACATTTTCATGAAAATTAATTTCTTTATCAAAAGTCCATTTTTCTGTATTTTCATCATTATAAGTTTTGATATGAATGCATCATTGAACACTTATCCAAGCTTTAGTCTACCTAATGAACTGATTAAAATTTACCTTTTTGAAAAATATTTTAAGCAAATGTGATTGATAGTGAAACATACTTAGCTGTGATGACACCATATACATTTGCATTGGTTGTCATAATCTTGATGGCTCCTCCACCAGCAGTGTTACCAGGTGTACCAGAACCCACCTCAGTAGGCTCATAGAACTGATCATAGGGAGTACCACGTACAGAGTAGCCATATCCTCGACCTCCCTCTCCACCATGAGTAGCTCCACTGCGCTGGGCATAGTAGCCTGGAATTTTTAATCATCATTAATGTGTTATCATTTATTTGATTAACTTGCTCAAAGGTGATTAGGTTTTGGGTATGTTGGCTCAATCATGGTAGCAATTTTGAATGTTTGAGAAAAGTCAATGTGGGTGGCATAATTTCTAATGCTCTTGTTCATTTGATTATTACCCATACATAATTGTACAAAGGATTCTGATATTGATTTTACTTTTAACCTTTCATATATCATTTAATTTATTATGCCTGTTTATTTGATGAACAGTTATTTCATACATCAACCTTATGAGCAATTCTTACCAGGTCCATCTTGCACTTGTCCCATTTGATCCAGATCTATAATACCCTTTTCTTCAACAAGGACATCAGTGGATGTGATGACAATCTTGCGTGCATTCAGGGTACCATCATTGCCAACAGTGAGTGAGGCTGAGGTTATCGCTGAGGAATCAAGTGCTGTGAGGTCAAATACACCAGATGTCAAAAGGCTGAAACTTGTTTCGAACACAAATTCTCCAGCATTTCCTTGTCCGGTTGTTTTTGCATTTGCTCCCATAGTGACAGTTGAATGTTGGATGGTGAACTCATCGGGGCCAGTGATAGCGCCATCGATGTAAGCATCAACATTGTACAGTTTAACCTGGTCAGGGAAGCTGATAGAGCCACCAGTGTAGACATTCAGGTTCAATGGGAAGTACAAGTTGCTCTGAGTGATGAAAACACTCTGTGCATTACCTACATGGAGGGTACCAAGTAGGGAGTCATCTGTGACATCACTGCCAGATAAGGTGTGCACATTCAGACTGGCAGTACCTGCTGATAATGGCTGTAGGGCCACATGGGCACCATTCAGTATGATCAGTTGTTCCAGTGCGTGACTTGTAGTGCCTGAGGGGTAAGGGATCCATGTCCTACTGCTATCTTGTTGGAATACATAAGCGTAGTTGTTGATCTTGGCCTGTAGGAGAAATAAATGTTCATGCAATTTTTCTTCTGTGACACAGCAAAAGCAATCATGGTTTTACATAAAATCAATTTTAAAGTATTTAACCCATTCAAGATTTTCATCGATTGAAAAATTCAAATTATCTATTATCTATATCTTTTAGCATTCAATCAAAGAAAATATGATAAAAATGCATACCGTAACATCGTAAGGTTCTCCATTGTCCACAATGAGTGTTCTGTCATTGAGGAGTGGGTCTTCTTTCTCAATGTACACTGTACCAGCAGCACCTACTTTCCCAGAATTCCCTTTGCCACCATATGTTGTGTGACTACCCTGGAACTCTGTGCTAGTGTAGTAGATTGCTATACGCCCCCCACTACCACCTCCTGTGTTACCAGATGTACTTCCTGGGAATCACAATAAAAAGCAAGGTGACTAGGCTTTCAAAGGTACACAATGGTAACATAGAAAATTCATTCAGATTACCAAAACCTACAAGATGTCTTTTTTAATCAATCAATTATCTTAATATATCTATCAATATACACTTTCGCAAGTTTTAGTGATAATGATCTTTCTGTGAATTCAAAAAAGTAACTGACCTTTGCCACCATGACTGCGAATGATACCCTTTCCATGGAATGAACCACATCTGAGGTATATACTGCCACCACTGGCACCACCTGATGCACCATGGTCATCTATGCCATCAGCTCCATCAACACTGATTGTTCCTGCAACAGTATGGACTCATTCAATATGTGTCGCAAAGATTGGTTAAGGTTAAATGGTATAACTGAGGAATAGCAATATTGCATATTTGACAAATAATAAGATTGAATTGAAACTTTTTTTCATGACAAATATGACTGGTTTCCTCTTAAATACGGATTAGAAAAGTGTCAAAACTCATTACGTTACACTACAAAAATAGTTTAGTGCACTTCACTTACCGTCAACAGTAGCATCTCCGGTGGCTTCAATCTGAATTCGTCCACCACCATAGGCATAGAAATAGTCTCCGTAGTATTCCCTGTAGGCATAGCTACCAAAGTCTGTTGGTTCTAGCATGTTACCATAGTAAATACCAGCACCACCTCCTGCATTGTTACGACCTCCCTGTCCACCATGGCCTGCACCCATTCCTTGGGCACCATAGCCTGTATTGGTATTCCCAGTCACTCCAGACTGAAAATGAACATAAAACATGCACAATTTATTTACAATTGAAATATGTTTGTATGACTGTTGTCTTCTTAAATCCAATATGGATCTTTAATAAAAGAACAGATCTTATCGTCTTTGGTTTAACTGAAACCTATTCACAGCAATTGCTAGCAAAATAATTTCATAATATCAATATCTAATTTTGTTCATGTGAACTCACACCAGTCTCATATAACAAGCCAAACAAATCTAAAACTTGTTTACCAAAAAAAGTTCAAATGGTTCAGACTTCTATGAGTTAAGCAGTTGTGTTTATGATGTCATACCTTATAGTCAGCAGTGATGTAACCAGATTGGTGTACATTCAGGTCCACAACATTGATGATACAGTTGTCCACCTCTAGCCTGCCTCCACTCTCCACACTGAGACTGGTACCACTGAGGATCAAGGGGAACTTGCTGTTGGTCTCAACAATCATGGTTCCACCACCTTGCACTGTTATACTGCTGAACGTGAGAGTCTTTGATTCAGTCTCAATGCCAGTAGGTCTAGAATGCAGAAAGTGCATGCTTAATACGTGAATGCAGAAAGTGCATGCTTAATACGTGAAAGGGAGAAAGCAGGGGAGTGGCGAGGGTTCAATAATTGGTGAGGCAATCTAAATAGGTAAAACAATAAAAGACTCAAAGTGAAATAGCATGGGAGTAGTAAGGATTTAATGAAAAGCATGGGTAAATAGCTGAGAAATATAACACTAAGCAAAAGAGGACATTATACTAATATGGAAGATAATTTTCACATTAAGTATCAGTTGGAATATTGGCTCGAGTATATGAAAGTTAGCATTTACATACATGGTAAATGAGAACATAATCTTTACCATTTTTTACAATATTCATGCAAAAAAACAAAGTAATGAATATATCTTTACCTTATGACAATGGTTGAGTCTCTTCCAATGATGAGGTCCTCCACACCAGAGACCTGACCCTCAACATCAAGGGTAATATTGTTGATGTAGAGCTGTCTCTTCATCTGGACAACACCCTCTGGGTAGATGTGTAAGCTGAACATCAACTCAGGACTGTCTGGGGGCAAGTCGACTTCAAGTTTCTGGAAATATACAAGGTTCAGTAAAAAACTGATATCTTAGTAAATCTGAACACCTGAAAATAGACTAATGATGGCTATAGTTGTAAAGTGTACAGCTGCATTGAACAGATTTAATTACCACCTTTTAACTGAGAAAAATGAGTAAATCATGACAATCTTAAATGTACATTACAACAGAATGAAAAATACAATTTAAAATTTGTGTTCTTTGCTTCATATCAGTAAATGTGAATGCAGTTTTTGTCGCAATATTGCAATGAACAGAGGCTCTAGAATATTTAAGCTTACCTGAGTTGGTCCTATATGGAAGAGACCACTCTTATCACCACTAGTTTTCTCAACAAGGACAGACTGGTTAAATGTGTCAGTGTTAGCCCTATAGATGGCCAACTCAGCACTTCCACTGATCTCCAGCTCTGCAAACTCGTGAGTCTTGCCATCTTCTTCATCAAACAGCCAGGTCCTGAAGCTATCTCTGCCAATATTGAGGTTATCAAGTTGGCTATATGTGATTGCAGGGACTTTGGGTTTACAAACATTGTTGTTGTTTACAACCAGCTTGTTGGTGTCATTAGTTATGTAGTGCCACAGAACTGTTCCCGCGCCTCCACACTCATACTGACCCCAACCTCCCTGGGCAGCCACTGAACCGATGAAGTTGTTGGTGTCATACTCGATAGCGATACGACCACCGCCGCCACCACCACCACCACAGTTAGTGTCAGTGTCATCAACAGCGCCACCTATTGCAGACATTGTGCCGAGACCAGCAAATTCTGTAGCGGCAGATAGGAAAATACTTCCACCAGCCCCTCCTCCAGCTCTGTAAGATAGATAAGGCAGATTGTATGTAGTAATATGTTATTCATAAAGAAAAACACTATAAATAGCCATCTATGAACCAAATAAATCTTTTTTACATTACATGTTACTCAAAAATTAATTGCAAAATTATAAGGCAAAGTGCAAAGTATAGTATATATACACCAAGATAATAGCTAAGATAACGACAATGGAGATATGCTTAAAAAGCAAGTTCCCAGTTCTTAAACCTAACTAACCTTGGTCCTTGAGAATCTTCGCCATTAGCAAATAGGTCTCCATCAATCTCAATTGATCCAGTAGCTGTGAGCTGAATGATTCCACCACCTCTGCCTGCTGCGGGCACATCATCCTCTGAGCTATAGAGGGGGTAGCAGTCACCAGTTGTAGCCGCTCCTCCGATACCTCCCTGACTTCCAAAGTCTGAGGGTTCGTAGAGGATACCATGAGGGTGCCCGACCATAGTCTGACCCACTCCATTGCCACCACAAGCTCCATGACCACCACCAGAGCCACCTATTAGTGAGAAATGTACAGGTTATAAGCAGGTTAAATACATATCAGAAGGGCGATAGCTGCCCACTCCTGGCTTAGGCAAGAATTATATGTTCACACTATCCACATATACTATATTCAGCCTACTCATCAGATATGACATATATTCAGAGTTACTTCAAACCAATAAGTAGTGAGTAAACTGGCATATCTTACCTCCAGCAGGTGTATCTCTACCACCATCAGACCTAGTGGGGGCTCTTGCATTTGTCTGTATAAATGAGGCACTCTCCAGTAACACACTCCCTGTATCTGCACGGATCCAGTTAGTCTAGAAAAAGATAGAAATATAGTATCATACATGTACTTTATAGGTGCATCCACCATTTTTCAACATCTGATTATAGCATGATCTGCATACCATAAATCATACACAGGAAAATTGATTTCTATGAGAATAAGACATTTTGAACCTTGATGGGGATTTACACCTAGGGCAGGAGTTTTACTTATATCTGTAAAAATGTAACACAATTTCACGCACCTGTATAACGCCACCAGAGTGCAGTCTGAGTTCCTCAGTCAATGTGAGACCCAAGGAAGGCCGGCTAGTTGTTGCGCCCTCTCCATATAAGGAAGTAAGCACACCATCAGCGTAGATATTCACTGAGTTCATAGTGAACTCCTGCTTGTCCAGGCCGGCACTTTGACCCTCAGGTCCAATAACAATATTGACTCCTTCTCCAATGTGAAGGTCTTGGATGCCTGTCAGGATTCCATTGATCTCCACATCCTTGTAGTCCAAACCACTTAGGAATACCTCTGCAATGTTTTTAACATAAATCATAATTGATTATACCCAACATGTAAACCTTGGGTATCTGTTTACAGGATTAAAGAATAATTATAACAAGTCTGTATTTGGACTAAACTGAACTGAAATGGTCCATTAAAACCATACAAGTAGGGGAACATGGGGCAAAACGGCCCTCTGGGGCAAAGTGGCCCATCGAAATATCTTTTGAACTATAAAAAGATGGTTCTTCAAAAGTCACAAAATCGAATTTTGAAATATCTGCCACCTTCTCGAGCGTCCATTTTTAACCAAGCAGCGTCTCGCTTTACGTAAGAGGTAATTCTACTTTTCACCCTCTTTTTTGGAAATTACCCCTCTCACGAGAATCTCTAAAAAATCCGGCAACAATAGAATATCGTTTTGATTTAACATTTTACATAGAGTGTGCACATTTATTATTTATTTGTAAAAATTTCGAGCTTCAAATATAAGGCAAATTAAAATGACGTCTATTTGAAAATTCACATGTCTTTGGGGCAAAACGGCCCACACATGTTATAACATACAAAAATCTTATTGTGCAAGAACAATTGGTTTTCAAATGTAACAATTTTAACATCTGGCTTGTGCCTAATTTCCTTCCGACATATATCGAATGACTAGAATTATGGTAGGGGTTAAGAATACTTTATCTGTCAAAGGTTTGAACGTCTGAGATAAGATGTTTGTGGACGAGTCTTGTAATTGATTAATTTTGGTTTCAAAACCCATGTAACAGAGGGTGGGCCGTTTTGCCCCACCCATGGGCCGTTTTGCCCCACTCTCGACAATATTTTTGACCATTGAAAAATCACAGAAGATGGTCCTAGGAAAGTATAAAACACTCGAAAAATGTAAACCACAAACCATTAATAAAGTGGAACATCAAAGTGCGCGATGATTGACAGATACGAAAATACCCCGTACAGAACAACTTAAAATTAAATTTTTTGGGCCGCTTTGCCCCATGTTCCCTTATTTTAATTAATAAATTGTCAAAAATTAAATAAAAACATTCCAAAATAGGAAATAGGAGATAGGAAATTTATATTCATATCAAGAATTCTTGTATCTTACCTGCAGGGAGTTGTAACTGTGCACTCTCATACAAGAAGAATGAGGCTGGCATTGGACTGTCACCATCTACTATCTCTACAGGCATACCCTGTAGTACATGCAACAGACCAGTCAGGTCTCCATGAAGCATCTGGAAGGTCACAGTAATTGTAGATCCTCCGTTGCTCCTGAAGGCAAGATGAGCACTACCAGTGATAGTCACCTCATCAAAATCGAAAGTAGATACACCAAAGCTGTTATCAGCCACGACGTATGCTCTACAGCTATCCTGGGTGGAATCTGCGATTAAATCATTGACTGGTTGCTTGCCTCCGTTGTCAACAAACAAGCTTGATGTGGTCACTTCTGTTTCTGGATCAGTGGCAAAGACGACAACTGTTCCAGGGCCACCATACTCACTTGGGGACCTGCCACCAATTGATCTGTAGGAGCCAGTATAGGTGAAGGATTCAGAGGCGAATATAGCTATACGACCACCTGCTCCACCACCACCAAGAGTCTGGAGTACAAATAAAAACCAAGTTATTGAAGCATGTAAAATTTTATTATTTCAGCAAACTGTATTGTAATGGGGTATGACTAAAGTCTGTGTGTAGTGTAACTAGCTAGATAAAGACATAGAGAAAGTGTGTTCAATGCCCCATGTAGGAATCGAATCCAGGACCCTTAGATCCAGAGCCTGATGCTCTAAACACCGAGCTATAAAAGCTTAAACTAGTTGTGCTGTAGGAGCAAATTACGATCAAGGGTCATTACAATATTTCATCATTCAAACTCTTCAAACTACTGTCCAGCCACAGGAAATGCCTCAACTTCAGAAATTGTCTTATTAATTAATTAATTGTCTTATTAATTGATTAATTAACATTAATCTTATTGAGTCCTTCAATTTCCTAATTGCCTTCTCTTATGTTGTCCCTTTTCACCAATAACACAGAATTACTTACTTTACTATCGGCAGGACTTGATTCTCCTTTACATGTACGACCAATGGGATCACAATAATTGAAGTTGAAGTAACCATTACTCCTACAGTGTGCGTCACTATCTAGACATGCATCATGGCTGCCCACACATGCGTCATTATATTTGTCTTGATCACAGCACTCATTGGACGTATGTTGGCAGCTGGCAACACAGTTATAATCCGACCAATAGTAGCCATTGTTACATTCTTCACAGCGAAGGTTTTCGTCATATTTGTTACAGAACGAAACTGTAGCGCCATCTCCTCCGCTGGAGACAACAGAACCAGAACCTGCGCAAGAAATAATGATCTTCATAAGTGTGCGTAAAATACTGTAAAACTTATTCAATTCACAAAAAGTTCCTGATGGTTCATTACCTGAATTTAGGGGGTCATAATTTAAGAGTTTTACAATAGATTTCAATTGACAAAGTTCATTTCTAAAAAACAAAATAATCCTAATAATAGTTGTAAAAATATGTGAATCATTAAAAGATGATTTTTACCTGAAACTTGTTTGGCTTTAACGACGATGCTACCACCAGCTCCTCCACCACAGCCTTTAGTGTAGGAAGTTGAGCCATTAGACTTAATCTCACCATCGATGACAATTCTGTCGGCAGATAGCAGGATTACACCACCTCCTTGACCTCCAACCTATTGAACACATGGAATGGTTTAATCATAAAATGGATTCACTAAAGATCTGGTTTTAATCTGTTATGATTTTTATTAACTATACATGTTAGTACAAATGTTATAAATTCAATGAAATTTATTTCTAAATCATTTCACGATGAGTTGTTGGTGTGCTGAGCTGTTACCCTTCCGTATGGGGATCATAGCACAATTACTATTCCAAAGGAAGGGATGCAGTATGAATGGTCAGTTATGGTATTGTGTAATATTGTATTTCTTACCTGTTCACTGTTGATTTTATTTCCTCCACTACCATAGTCAGTTGGTTCCATGACGTTATCATAAGCCATGCTAGAGTATGTCGTGTGACTGCCCTGACCTCCAACACCGCCATGAGAGCCACCTGAGCCTCCCTTGAATTCGGCATCAGAGATTCCGGCACCTGAACCTTCACCAGGTTCATAACCACGTCCCGAAGCATCAATTACTCCTTGTCCGTCGATCTCAATAGTTTTAGCTGAAATTAATAAAGAACAAGTTCATAAAAGCTGGTTGGTAATTTGGAGAGCATGTTAGCTCGTTTGTCCAAAAAGGCCTAGATTTAGAAAATCTACATCACCCAAAATAAGGCATATTTTTAGGCCAAAATTAAGTACAAGTGAAATTTCCTGTTTATTTGTGTGTGATAATGATGCTCAATATATTAAGTGTCTTACCTGTAAGGTCGAGTTTGTTTGCATAGAATAAGCCACCACCCCTAACTATAAGAGCATCAAGGCTCATGGTCATGACATCTTCAGCTGCTGCGGTTCCCTCAAAGCCGAGTATACCACCATCCAACACCAAATGGCACAAAAAAACTTTATATAAGCAAAATACATATAAAAATGAGGTTGTATAGTACTTAACATTGCTGTGCCTGTGAGCATTTTATCCCAATTTTTGGTTCGATTTGATCATGACATTTTTCACAAAATCTAAAATTCAAGATGTCTAATATATAAAATCAAATAACTGTATTGAAAATAAAATAAATGGTCATATAAACTGTGCAGTACAAGTACTGTAAAACTTTTACCTCAATGCTCTCCAAGTTGAACTCGCTGTCATAATCAGCAAACAGACGTGCCTCGGGGTATGCTATGAATTCTCCATTGAGAGATACATTTAGTTTTTTCAAACCAAGCAACTCTCCACCATATAAGATAACTCTAGAGTCTTTCAAGTAAGTCTCAAATGGCAAGTTAATTTTAGCATCCTGGAACAAATAGGAGCATATTTTTCAGGTCAAACATCTTATAAGCATACATTTGTAAATAGTTAATTAAAAGGCAGTCAGTTAGTTAAATTATGTATTTTCTACCCTGGAATGAACACCAAACACATTCTTGAAGTTGACTAAATATTCATTTTTTCATAAAATTAATCACTCTGTATACCCTCTGCAGAAATGTAAAACAAGGAGCAACATAAAGAAGAGTACAATATAAGAGCTAAAGATACATTTCATCACATTCTACATCATTACGTTACTTTACGCTACATTACATATCACTATACCTTATATTACATGTACTTACATCATAGAGGGTAACATGGAAGGATAGAACAGCAGAATCATTGAACTGAATATTCAGCCACATTCCAGGCTCCACATGGACACCAGCAGTGTGGTCACCATCAACTGTGAGAACCTGAAGCTCCCTGTCTCCAGTAGTTGGTATACTATTAGCATCAACAGCTACAAGACCAACCTGAGCATAGTCACCCAGATCTAACACCTGGACATTATGATCTTCAGTCTTCACCGCGGGAATTGTGACTCTGGTACGACGAAGCTATAAATAGAAAATATTCATACTGACGTGACAAGTGATCATGATTTAAAAGTGTCAGGCAAGTCTTGGGCCAAATAGGGTATTAGACTTTGATGGGACATGATTTTCAGTTTTAGTCAAAAAAAAGTCCAAAAACTTTTTTTTGTAAAATGTTGGTTACCTGCCTAATAGCTAGCTACATCCATAAATAATGCAAAGCTCTTACCCCTTGAACTCCATTTGGGTTATTGTAGACCTGTAGCCTTTTCTCCTCAGTAGTCTTGTCACTGAGGAACACAGTTCCTGCAGCACCTGTCTCTCCTCCAGAATGACTACCACCACTAGATGAGAACTCTCCTATATAGTAGCTGGTGTCATAGTAGGCAGATATGCGGCCTCCTGAGCCACCATTGCGACCATCTCCTCCAACAACCTGTACAACCAAATGGATGGTGTGAATTTCCTATTCTATATATTACAAAAATTTAGTCTTCATTGCTGTCCTTTAGTTGATATCCTCTGAGTGGATACAATGTTGGAGAAAAATTGTATGAATGAATGAATTTTGGAACTCCTTCAGTAGGCTTCAGTGTTTCCTCTTGAAACTTGGTCACAGTTTCCACCACATACATAGGAAGTTAGGAACCATCCTCGTAAGTTTCATAATTAGTCCATATTATTTTTAGTGAGAGAAAAACTAAGTTGATCACTAAATATTCACTCCATAGGAGTGAGAGGAGTACAAGTGCTCCAACTGCACTTGTACCCAAATATACAACAAAAAGATTGACATACCCCAACAATGCCAACGCCATCTAGTTCACTGGTGTTGAGGTATACACTGCCCCCAGCACCACCACCAGACCATGTTCCGCTGACACCATCTGCACCACTAGCAGTGACATTGCCATCTATCTTCAAGACATTTTTGGCTTCAATTTTGATAGCACCACCTCCAGCGCCACCTATATAACAATAATGAGTTTATATGAACTATAAATAATAAAGAAAACAAAAATGATTTAAAAAATCAGTTTAGTGGAAAAGCTAGCACAACTCGTTATTTATCAATTCCATTTACAATAATCTATAGGTTTCATTTCTATAAAGTCTGTGAATAGTGTTAGGCATTCTTATTATAAAATTGAAACAAGGGGATTACCATCATAGTTGTATCCTAACGTGTCTGTGCCGTGACCACCTCCACTACCAAAGTCACGTGGGTAAGTGAATGAGCCATAGCCAATAGGAGCCTCATTTCCTGTGGACTCACTGCCAGCCTCACCACCGTGACTTCCACCTGAGCCATAGTTAGCCCCTATTCTGGATCCTTTTCCTGGCCCAGCTATAATAAAATGTTTTGTGTGTTAGTGACTAGTTTGGGATATTAGGTTTTTTGCCATGTTTCTAATATTCTGCTCTTTTGTACTTTTGGCACTTGTATCTTTTTCATATTCATGAATTCCAGATTTATTGTTGAAATGGCATTGTTCACATTGATAAATGTTTTAATTTACTCATTTATCATGAATATGAGTAATTATGATGAGTTTGTATATATTTTACATGCAAGAAACTGATCCCATCTTGCATTACCTTAAAACAATATTTACATTAATTACAATCATCAAACATATTTCTCTTGTCATTGAAAGTTAATTGGCTGGACTCTAAAATTACAAACCTTCAGAAGCGTAACCGAGGCCATCAGATACAATAGAAGCAAGTGTGTCGACGTAAACTTCATCGGCGATGATCTCCAAGTTGTTTGACTCTAGCATACCACCAGGGAAAACATGAAGACTCTTGCCCTTCAAAATACGCACATCAATTCCATTGTTTGCTACCATTTTTCCATTGTTACGGATGTTGATCGCAATGAAGGGAATAGTATCTTTACGGTCTCCGTTGAGATCAACCATCTCGCTTACAAAAAGGGTACCTAGAAGTAAAAAGTTTTTTTTCATTATATGAATGAGTATTTGAATAAATAAATCGATTTCTAAACAGTGATGATTTACATATTTAAGTAAATATGATTCAATAAGATTTTCATTGTCCTATTAATTCTCTGGAAAACCTAATATCAGTATTTATTGAAAAATATGGAACTATTTTGATTATGATTACGCTAAAATAATCTTACCTCCTTCTACAATTGTCATGTTCTCCACATCTTTGAGGACACCTTCAATTCTGACAGTGACCCCAATGACCCTGAGCTCACCCTGTAGGGTACCCTCACCCCCTCTGTAGATAGCCATATCAATAGGGAGGCGTCCATCAGCAATGAACAAGGTCTGGTTGAACCCAATATGGATCCTGCCTTGTCTGTTGCCTTGAATACCGACAAGTCTGATGTCTATGTTACACGTGCTGCAGTCTTCTTGGATGAAAGCAATATGGCCACCTCCGTAAACTTGGATCTCATCAAGGACTACATCAGGTTTTTCTTCTGTATCAAACTCAGTAGCAACAACACTGGATGGATAGCTTCCCGGTAAAGCCCAGGCTGTAGCTGATCCTTGCCTCATGTCATCATAACCATCAGTCAAGTTACGATTCTGATCCAATGGGAATCGGCCACGGTTGTCAATATATAGAGTTCGGTTTGCAATCTCAATATTATCATAGCCAGTTGTGTCTTCATAGATCTCCTCGTAGTTTGCCTTGGTTTTGTCAATCAGAAGTGTTGTTTCTGAACGTGGCAGCTTGTGGAGGTAAATTGTACCTGGGCCACCATTCTCAGAGTTGGCGCCACCCTCACCACCAGCGGCAATATATGCACCTGTTCAAAGAGAAGAATGTCTTAGATTTAACATTTTTCCTGCTTCTCAAACTCATCATTGAATACATTTGCAAAATTGTACAAAACACACATCATTGAAAATTAGTAGACCACAGGTTTACAACCAGGGGAATGGTCCAGATGGCTAAAGAGTCAATTAAATATCTAAATGATCACTGATTTAACAGTGAATTTAACACCTCAGTTTGAAAAATCTTACAAAGATCCTGAACAAGATCATAACAAAAATATAAAGACAAAATAGAATAATAGTCATTTTAATGTGAATTTAAGTTACAACATTAATATAATAGATGTGAAAAAATACTAACCAACAAAGTCGTTGTCAACGTAGTAAAGGGCTATTCTCCCTGCGCCACCGCCACCACCATGGTTTGAGTAGGAGCCGTCATAACCCTGACCCCCGGAGGCATCAATAGTTCCATCCCCACCAAGGATCTTGGCTTCAATGAACAGACTTCCACCACTACCGCCACCTGCCTGGACAGATCTGTACTGCCCACCACGGCTGGTGAGATAGCCATCAAGCATGAATGTGTTAGAGATTTCTAGGTGGATCCTACCAGCACCTAGTCCACCCATATGGGGGAAGATACTGTGGCCACCATTGTAGCCAAAGGAGGTGGGTTGAAGGAAGGATCCATGGGCTTTCCCGGCGTAAATCTGACCTTGGCCTTGACCTCCGCCTCCTCCTCCGCCAGCACCAGAGGAGCCACTAGTACTCCTGTACCCGACTCCAACACCTGGAAGAGTATTTGCTGTTTTATTTAGCTTATTCCAAACCAATGATTGTAAATCATCGGAGCCGCACTCACATAGTAGAGTATAACTGAACTGAGATGTTTAGTTTTTTGTGGAGCATTCCTCCAATTATCTTCTTATTTATTGTGATATATATAAGTCACATATTTTGGAAAATGAATAAAGAAAATAAATGTCACTGTGTCATTACAGAATTCCATGTGGATTCAAAATATGACAAACTTTTTCAGACCTTGATTTAAATAAAACCGAATAAAATGTTCATGGTAAATAAAATTTTAATACATACCTGTTTCGGCAATGTCGTAAGGAACACCCTCATCTGCAGTGAGGTAGCCATTGGGCTCAACAGTAATATTAGTGTACCTCAACTCCAAATCTTGAGACTTCAGCTAAAAGTACAAGTTAAAATGATTTAAAAACAGCTCCATCAGACACAGACTGCATCATGTGGACTTAAACATACTCCTTCTGGTGAAAATATATTAAATGTTCCACTGTACTCAATGTTGTACACAATGTTAACTGAATGCATGTTGTTAACTATGGCAACTTCTGCTTAGGGAGATAATTTGACATTCAATGATATCCTTGCTATACAATAAAAATCCATGATAAGTTTCGAGGATGCACCTATTCAAATTAACTACAGTCTAATTTTTGTATATCTTTACATTGAACAAAACTATCACAATATAGCACCTATGGGTGCAATAAAAGGTTGTTCTTACCCATCCACCACTTCGCACTGTGAGCACTGTACCCACAAGTGTAGTAGTTGCAGCATCTGCAGTGGTCACTTCAACCTCTGCGAATGTCTTGATGTCAAAGAAGTCAATCTCATTGGTCTTTGGCTCATGATGATCAATGGTCAGTTTACATTCAGCACTAACTGTTACATTGGTCATCTTGGAGAATGTACCTAAAAGAACAGAAAATATTGCTTTGCTGTTAGAGTAAAATTTAACAAGCATATTAAGTTGAGACATGTTTCATTGATGCTTTTGTCAAAATATTTATATTTCCTATTTTGTAGCATCATCATATTTTATGAATCATATGTGCTATAAAGCTAAGACCATGTTCATCAACATGCAGCCAGGATCTTGCTTCATCAATGTTGTAAAAATGCCACTTTCCCATTTTTCTTCCAATATAACACATTAGTAAATCTTCCTACCTTTGATGGTGACATCCAAGTCCTTGCAGTCATATTTGGGTGGTAAAACAAGATCAGAGTCTCTCTGGGCAAGAATTGCAAATGGCTGAACGACTCTATCTTGTGATGTATGGAATATCTGGTCTTTCCTGACCTCTAACCTTGCAGAGCTGTCACCCTCTATTGAGTGTGCCAAGATCTTGGTGTCAGTTCCTGTCATGGCAAGACTTGCTCCTCCAAGGAGGTGGATCTACAACATCAAACATGACTCTTATATTGTATTGCATTGTATTTTGTTTTACAAGAAATACAGATTTTGTGAACTAACTGATCTCTTAAGTTAAATTATGCAAGACAAACCTAGGAACCCTTCTGTAAAGATATAAGCTAATAACAGGCTCTATAAGTTAATTATCCAACGTTTACTGGACCTCAATTTTCTACTATTAATTCTAAATGCCAGATCTTATTCAAATAGTGACTTCCTATAAAAAATGTTTTCTTATAAATTTTTTCTTTAAAAATAAATTTTAAGCAAAACAAACCTCTTCAAACTCAAATTCGGAGACATCCTCATCCTCAGTTGTGATCCAGCCAGAGCCAGGGGTAGTAACATAGTTTCTCTGTACATTAATCCCTGGTTGCTCGCTCAGGTACACCTCCAGTTCATTGACACCAATATGGCTGCCACTAGACTTCCAGTTTAGGGTGATCTAAAATTAGAAATATTATTATGACTGATTTGAAAAAGAAAATTCTATAATGTTTTCCTAAATATGTCCTACTAACAATATCTAGTTAAATTCAGAAAAGATTAAGAACAATATGTTCTTTTAATCTTACTTTTATTCTAACCTGGGTTACATTTTAAAGAGGTAACAATCCCAAGGAAAAAGTATGATCAGTGCATTTAAAGGAACTATTAAGTTTTGTGCACATTCTCTATTATTTGCTTCCCCTTTAATCTCATGTACCTTATTGACATTCCTGTCAATCCTGACAGTGCCAAAGTGATCGGGTTCATCCTGGACTCTGCAGTGAGCAGTGCTCCAGAAGCTGTCCAAGTGATTGTCCTCATCCCCATCTAGTGTACTGGACACCATGAATGTATTGGTGAATGTATCTTCAGTTGTAGTGCTACACAAATACAAAGTGAGGTTAAATATGATGCAATTGACACAATATAGAGACCATGGTTCAATATTTAAAGTTATCCAAGGATTTGGTTTAAAACATGATTTCTGGTAAAATTAAAAATGTGATTAATGAATCTTTAACCCCTTAACCCCACAACCCTCAAATTAAAATGGTTTTAAAAACAGAATAGCCTTAATCATAATGCAATAACCAAATACTAATGAATGAAATAACAAAATGAAATAAATTTTTCAGAGATGGTAATGCTCCTTTGTGCACTTGGAAGTCTATTCCAACAAAATTAAAAGAAACTAGATAAAGTTGTACTCACTCTTCACACTGTGGATATATGCGTACATGATCAACATAAGTCTCATATGGGAACTCAATGTCAATGTCAATGTTCTGGTAGGTGGTTCGATAGTAGCCATCAGTTGGTGCACCAGACACGAGGTTATAGAAAGGGAACCATACTTGGTGATGAACATATGGCCAATATGAGTAGACGTTCCCTGTGGTAGTAAACTTCACATTTCCATATGTGTAATAAGTCTGTGATGAACTATCAACGCCATAGCCCCTTGTGTCCAGTTTTTCAACCTCAGCGATCCTCTCAGTAGAGCTATAGCCAGCATTATCACTGATGAATGTACGGTGAGGTTCTTCTGGCGTGGTGCGGTCCTCAATGAAGACGGTTCCAGCTCCACCATATTGGTCTCTGCTTGAGCCACCATGGACGATGTATTCTCCAATGTAGTAGTTGTCACCTTTGTAGTAAAGTGCAATCCTACCACCACCACCACCGCCGCCCAAATCAGACTGACCTATAGACAAATAAAGTCATAAAAGTGACAGCATTGGATCTGCAAACCCCATTATTTTAAGATTAACTTTAAGACTGTTGTCAGAACATACAAATTTCCCTATATTGAACAATGTATGTTGCATGTTTATTATGGCATACATTGAGTGCTATATGAACTTTTTTTAAAATGAAATTGATCACTGACCTGCTCCGCCTGTTGCTTCTATTGATCCACCGCCATCAAGGTTGTGGGTGTAGACAAGGATACTACCCCCGGCACCACCCCCTCCAGAACCATGGGTACCCTGACCTGCCTCACCATTGGAGTGCAAACGACCTTCAATGCGCATTGTTTCATGGACCTCAATCAGGAAGATACCTAAACACAAAAAAACAATCATTTATTATGGTACAGTAATTTTGTCAACCATGATTTGTTACAACTTACGTTCTCTCTTGTTTTAGCCTTCTTGAACACCAAAGCTAAATTATCACCCATTTAATCATTGTGTAATTAATTTTCAAATGTTTTACCACTAACCCTTAAAAAATTAGTATAATATGATAAATAATATAATTTTTGATTTTATTTAAGAATGAAACAATAGTGACCTCAGATTTGGTAAAAAAAACAATATTATAGTTTATTGAAATGAGACTTTTAATGAACTTGCTCAGATAATCATAATTTCTATCATAATATAGTTTGCATAACATCTCACCTCCTCCCCTGCCAGCAAGTCCATGTACAGGAGCACCACCACCGCTACCTTTTGTGTTAGGCAGGTAGATGGAACCATAAGACATAGCAGAGTAGTATCCACTGGCTGGACGACCTCCACGACCTCCGTGAGCACCACCAGAGCCACCTAGTGTACGCCCATTTATCTGATCAATTCCCTGGCCATCTCCATCAGATGATGCGAAGCCAGTGAAATCAGCATGGACCTCACCTGTAATAGATAGTTTCAATATTCATGAAATTGTAGCAATATTCACAGACCAATCTCAAATTTCTACAATTTCCGTTGCATAAAGAGGTTTTCAAGCTTGATATTTGTGAAAATCATTTATGTTATGTATTTACCTGAAAGGTCGACAGTCATATTCTCCATCTCCATGTGGATATCATTACATCTCATAACACCGCGTCCATTAACTGTTAACCTTGTCATATTCAAGGCCATTCTTGATGCCCCATCAGCTGTCAATGGTTCAAACAATCCTCCTGCACGAATGGAGATATTTTCAAAGCGATAAGCTCCGTTTGGCTCTCCTTCCTTATGTCCTAAAGACCACAGGTGCATTTTACCACCATTTTCAATGCCAATGTCCTCGACTTGTTTAATAGTGCCGTTGTTCTCCATCCAGACATCACGGAGCGTAATGCGGACAGGCATCTTATTGGTACTACCACTGCAATCAACAAAACAAAGGTTGATACTAGAAAGCCTTAGAAAAAAGTTGATACTGTGAGGCCCATGACATGGCTAATGCAAGGCTAAATGCCAAGACAAAAAGTTCACCTTGTACTTGAATATCTGCAGTTTGAGCATCAAAAATAAGTATAATTATTTTCAAATAGGATGATTTTTTGAAAAGAACTGAATTTAAGTACACTATTGCACTAATTATTCAAGTCATGTTGAGTTCAACTTGATTCTGGACCATTTGAACCCATGGCCTAGCTCATAGCTGTTAAAACAGAGAGGCCCTTTTTTGAGCACATGTATACTCCATTACAGACTTATGAAAGTGATACTTACGGGTATGCCATGATGTTAACAGGAAGGTAGACATTCAGGTTCTCAAATGTAAACGACTGTTTGTTGGCAGTGTGGAGGATACCACTCTTGTCTCCAAGCATACGTTCTGCTTGAACCACTACATCGTCGTTGTCAGTGTCACTGAGGATTGCAACGTGAGCATTACCTCTCACGATGATATCATCAAAAACATAATTCTGAGACTCATGGAACAGCCATGTAACTCCACCAACTCTTGATATATCGCTGTAGTCTCCTTGGTGAATATTTTTCAGGGGTCCTGTCCAGTCCAGTGCTTGTGGGTATTCCCTGTTGTGGTTGTCTATTATTATAACTCTGTTGGTGATATCTCCGGTGGTAGCGTTAGCTGTCTGAAGGTATACTGTACCAGCACCTCCAGATTCTCTACTACTCGCACCTAAAAGCACAATATTACAACATTTAAAAACATCAGTGTATCAATCACATAAAATATATACAGCAGATCAAACACATACATGTACACTGTACCTGAATAGTCAATAAAAGAAATATAATTTATACAAACTGCTGTCCTAAAGCATTTGTCATTTATCAGATTCAGCTAAAATTAAGATTACCCTTTTGGCTCATGTTAAATCATTTTATCATGTTTGGTTATAATTAAGATTACTTTTCATATTTGGTGTTATACATGTACATGTTTCAGTATTTTGCAAATGACTGCAAAACCTACCTCCATAGGCCTTAGTAGTGACATTGAACTTGTCCATGCTATCACATTGCACGGAGATTCTTCCTCCGCTACCTCCTCCACCATTGCTGTCTCCGGAACCTCCGAGGGCATAGATGCCACCGTGTCCAGCAATGATGTCACATTCAATAAGGATCGAGCCACCAGAGCCGCCACCTTAATAAAAATAAAAATGATATTTTTATGAATCAGGATTATTTTTATAACAGTACATGTTAAATACATGTACATGTTTGGTAAAATGTACATGTACATGTGTTGTATAACACGATGCATGGATAACAACAGATGTACATGCAATGTACATGTATACTGTACATGTATATACCTTAACTGGTAATGAACAACTGCATATCCCTATGGTTAATATTAATTAGCAGGATAAAACCATAATCACTGTCAGCTACTTGATCACTGGTTTAATGTCACAAATTTTGTAGTCTAATTAGCATAACTGTCAAAGACCATTTAGGAAATCCAAGCTTGATTATATTTATCAAGCCAATTATCATCAGGTCTATGAACATCTTTAAGGAAGGCAGAGTGCAGTGAATAAGTAAGCTATCATATTGACATTGAATATGCACATTGTTCCAAATTTCATCGCACTGGACCCACCTTAAGATATTGTTCTCTTCATTTTCAAAACATAATGAATATTTGGATAATTCCATTAATATCAATCATACCTGCAAGGCTTTGGTAGGTACTGTGAGGAACTTCTCCATCTGCAGTGATTTTACCATCAAGCTCAACATGGAAGGCGTCTATGTGTATAGCTCCTCCTCCACGGCCTCCTAGACCCTGGACAACAACCAAGTTCTCTAGGTCCTCGTCACCAAAGTATAATGTACCTGTAAACAGGAAAGTGAATACATATAAAATACATAATGCATTATCCTTTTGAATAGTTTGATTTCATGTCTGTAAAAGAGTTTCACCTGCACTCTTTGTTAATAACCATTACATGTATCTTAGCTGTACCTAGATAAGTTGATCAAAATTAAAATACCTCATACCTTTATTTGGAGCGACACATCTAGGATATACAAGTACCTGTATTCAGCCAGTCATGATTCACTTAAATATATTTAATCTCAGAATATTCTCAGACTTACCATGTGAGGCTCCATAGCCACCAGGACTACCATAGTGTATAGGTGAGTAAAGAGAGTCATAGCTTTCTCCTACTATGTCAGTACCACCACCTCTTCCACCACTGCCACCATGGCAACCACCGCTGCCTCCATAATGGGCACCTACAATAACAGTGTACAATAATAATTGTGTAGAATAATAAGTGTGTACTATAATATTTGTGTAATGTAATAATTGTGTAAAATAATAATTGTGTATTATTATAATTTTGTACAATAACAATTGTGTACACAGACAGGTAACACATATCATATCATACATCATGATACATGATATATATTTTGGAAAGTATATGGGCTTATACATGTATTCATGGGCTTTTCTGAAATACATGATGTATTGTGTCATCAAAGAACAACATAATTTTGTGATAAATACATGGTAGTTATGAAATATTTCATACCAGTTCCTTTGCCGAATCCCTCTCCAGGTAGGAAACCTCCATGATCGAGGTCTATTCGACCACCTGAGTAGATAGCAAACAGATGGGTGGCTGTCACATTCAGCTGGGCATTGGCCTTGAAGTGACCTCCACCATATACCTAAAAATACATAAATAAATAATATTCAATTTTGAGCTTCTTAAATTACATCTTACAAGGAGAAATCATTTTGATAAATAAGCTACAAATGATGATGATTTAAACCATGGGCTTTCAACTAGATTGAAAGCCCATGTTTAAACATATTCAAGATTTTTATTTGTAGAGAATTTAAATAAGCTATTGGCCCTTTAAGATACTTACAGTTATGTTGACGACATCTAATTCCCATGCATCGTTGTTGTCATAAGATTTCAGCTCAAATGTGCCTCCATCTTGAACATGTACTGTCTCAATGTTGACTTGACCTGCTACAGAGTTCTCACCAACACTGCTGTTGGAGTCTATCACGACCATGCCTCCATCAAACACATAGACATCTTCCAGGCCAGTGATCTATACAAAACATATTTGATTTCAAAATATAATGTACAATGTCAGGCAAACATGTATGTTTGAAATAGTTTTTGGATGAGTGTAAAATATGAATACAACTATATACAATACAATATCAATTCATTACTGACAGTGTTTTAGTATACTAGTAGTGTACAGTATTGGGCAATATTATAAGTAATTCTAAATTGAGTTGTATACGGTTTTATTTGACTTTATCATAAAATTAAATTGAACTGAATATTGGTAAGTAAATCATTTACTTCTGCTGTGATCATGTACTTACATGGCCTGCACTGTACAATTTAGTCTTCATGAAGAATGCCCTGGCAGGAAGGTCAGCAGAGCCACTCTCATAGACATGCATGTTGAATGGGATGTCAATCGCAGTCTCATTGATAACCACAGACTGTTCATAGCCAATGTGGAGGTGACCTGGAACATACAGCAATATCATATCACTGTTATTGGGCGATATTCACCAGATATATACATATCATGACATGCATTGGGATATATACAAAATCTGCATTATCTCAGAAGAACTCAAAGTTGATCAAGTCTCAACAAGAAGACTCGTCTGGGAGAGTATCAGAAAAATCCATTTTCAATATTTACAATAGAGATTTTTGTTATGTCTAATATAGTATGATACAATACATTCCTTAATTATGTCATTACTTTTAATTCAAAAATTGATAATAAATATTATGTAATAATATTCAAGATTGTACAAAATTGTCACTAAAACTGCTATACACTATATATGACATCCACATACCTGATTTGTCACCATTGAGGTTTCCAATATATATATCGACTGGTGTGGTTAAGGAGGTCATTGGGTAGAATGCCAAGTGGGCTCCCCCAGTTAAGTAGACTTCATCAAAATCGTAACTGTTAGTCCCAGATTCTGGCTCAATCCAAGTACGAATTCCATCCAACTCACGGTGTTCATATCTACAAGTAAATGTACATGGTTGTATTTTTTATTTGATATAGATAAAAATCTATATTTATTCTTAATTTTTCATAAATCCTACACTATCAAATGCTTAGGGACTGATACAATCAATATAAACAGTTTAACAAATGGCCAAATGAGAAGCCAAGGTTCTTTTTTTGCAATTGAAAAAAATACCAAATTAAAAATTGTTCCCAATTTCTTCCAATCATTTGAAATAAACAGACACTTTTACCAAAGTTTTTAATTGGACTGACCTTGATTCTGCATTTTCACCTTCCACCCAGATCTCCAGCTCACTAAGTGAGGCATAATCATCTAGAACATTTACATGGTCACTACGAGTTGTCTCTATATATATTTCAACCTTTTCCAAACTGATCATAGCTGGAACCCTCAGGAATGAACCATATTTGATGGAGCTTGCAGGGCTAACAGTAGTGGATGTTAGGTCAAAAGAAGAGCTTCCAAGCGCACCAGTAACCTGAAATACACAAACAGTTGCATGAATTGGCAATTCTTGTTTGCATTATTAAAATAAAATAAATATAATGTCTAAACAATATAATATGAACTGAAAAATATGAAGATATGATCATGATCCCAAGTTGTCACAAAATGGATAATTTGAATCAGACAATCATATCAAAATCAATCATTACACATTATTAGAACAAGTCAGATACTCTTCCCACTTGGCCTCCCCAAGGCCCTTATTATTCACATGTAATTGTCTGTTTAACGTGCATACATCCATAAACCCCCCTAGTCATACCATTTTACTTTCATTTTAAGAAATTTTCCTTCATGTTGACATTTTACAAATAAAATGGAAGGTCCGGTCACCATGGTGAGGATAAAGTAATTCCTGCTTAACAGACAAGTAACCTTAACTTACCCTGAATCTTGAAGGGTATGCAGCATTTGGGAATACTCTAATATGGTTCACAAAGTATGTCTCAGGGAAGGTTATAGTCAGTGTAGTAGACCTGCCCCAAGCCATAAACTGTTGATACTCGCTGTTTTGGAAAGTCTGGTCAAACAGATTGGGCAGTTTATACATGTTGCCGTCATTGTTGCGTGGATAGTACTGCCATTGGTAGTTGGTGTGATATTCGCCATTGCTTGAGCGAACAGTGCATCCACTTGCTGTAGTGTAAGTCCTTGCTGATTGGGTCTTGCTGTAGCCAACCCCAGCGGCAAGACTCAGATCCAGTCTCCGACCTACATGAGATAACAATGAAGGTGTTTATTAAACACAATATATGTAATGAATAGTACTACATATTTCAACATAAGATTCAAGTGTAAAGTCAGAGAACTGGTGAACCTCTGTAACAAAGGAGATAAAAGCACAGTTATTTTTTACAAAATCCATATTTTATAATGAGTTCAATGTTACAAAAATATTGGTCTAATGTGTTCCACTAACCTTGATTCCTGATAGGGTCATCAAGGACTGTTGGGAATTGATCTCTGTTGTCTACTCTCAATGTGATATGGTCGTCTTCAGTGTGTTTTACGAATGCTGTCCCAGAAGCTCCAGGCTCAGCATAAGTGCTTGGGCTACCACCCTGGAGATCGTAATATCCCCTGTATGGTCGACTGGTTATGTGGTTGTAGTGATAGATGGCGATACGTCCTCCTGAACCACCGCCACCTTTTGCAACATCACCAGCGCCACCTAGTGCCTGAATATGACCAGTGTGGCTACCTGTGAAGTAAAAGAAATATTTTTTTCATTATGTGTTTTCATTCATTTTTGTTACATAATATTGATCAATTATTAATCATTGTTTGTTACAACAGATACCATTGTCATGTCGAAAAATTCAATCATTATATGTTTATCTGAATTCTTTGTGATGTGAAGAATGCATGTGAAGAATACATTGAAATATGTTATATATTAGGTTGGTCTACTCACCAGAGAAGTTTCCAGTGTTGATAAAGATACTTCCACCGCTACCACCACTAGAGCCATCATTTACACTAGACCCTATATCATTACTGTTAGAGCTGATATACCCATCAACAGTTAGTGTTCCTGTGACATCAATCTCAAGAATACCACCACCATTTCCTCCGTTACCCCCAGCTCCACCACTGCCAAATTTCTTTGGCTCGTACAAGTTGCCATAGGGCATGCTTCGGTCTAGTCTACAGGATTTGTAGCCTGAGCATCCACCTCTGCCACCTGTGCCAGCGTGGGAGGCCCCACTGTTACCCTGGCTATGAGCTATACCAACACCTAGAACAAGTAATGGAATGATGATGGTCTCAGGTTTTATCAATGTATGTTTTTTTCGTTTTTGTTTTTTCTTGCCCATCTCTATGTGCATTGCTATTGCTACTTGGGTTCTCTTGCCCATCACCATAAACTTATGATATAAAGTATTCACAAAATATCAATGTGCACTAGAATTTTTATCTTTAGTCCATTAGGGAAAACATTCTGGTATGAATGACAATAATGCTACCTCACCAAATTTGAACAATAATCAGTTCAGCACAGAAAATTGTAAAATTAATCTTGAAGCAGTCTGGTTTAGTGAGCTAAATTCAACTCATATAAGATAATTTATGCATACCTTCTCCATTATTAGCTGTCTCTCCACCATCGCTGACATCAATGAGTCCTCCATCATCCACAGTCAGTTCATTAGCATTCACCAATATGTGTTTCCCTTGTATGTAACCACCACCCTCTACTGTGAGGTAGTTGAACATCAGGTTGAACTGCTCACTGTGAGCAGCAGGGCCATTACAAGTGATGCCAGATTCTGCCTTAATGATGGCTGTACCATTAAATTCATAGTCCAAGCTTTGGTAGTTGTTGGTTGATCCAGTGAGGAACATACGTAGCTCACCTCCTTGAACAAGTGTTAGGTTGACAATATGATCTAAGGTACCCTCAATATGCACAAACACACTGTTGAGGTCAGTCACTGGAGCCAACCCAAGGTAACCTCCGTCATAGACGTAGGTGCTAAAGGGTGTGTCCAAATATGGGCGTTCCAAATCCATCGACTGATCGGGTCCAATATGTACATGTCCAGTCCTGTCACCAATCATGAAAACAAAGTACAAAGTGGCTCCAGATTCAAGTGGCTCGGGTAGGATAGCTAAATGAGCATTGCCATAAATATGGAACTCATCAAAATTATACTGGTGATTACCAGCTGCTAGCCAGTGTTCTCCAGCGGCTGGTAGCATCCATGCCTTGAAGCTGTCTGTTGACAAGTCACTATAGCTGTCTAGAGTGTCAACATGGTGACTCACTAGGTCGTTGTTATTGATGTACAGTGTGGTGTGATCATGTGCCTCAGCAAACATGAGGACTGTACCAGGACCACCAGGTTCAGTGTTGTAATAGGGGTGATGACCAGCGATGTAGTTGGAATCACCACCGTGACATTGCCAGCCTCCAAGATAGGTGAAATTGGTCATGAAATAGATGGCAATTCTACCTCCTGAGCCACCTCCCCCTGTGTAGCCACTGCTGCCTATTGAACCTCCGCCATTGGCTGTTACGTTACCAGTACCACGGATCAGTTCAGTGTGGATCCATACAGAACCTCCAGAACCTCCACCGCCATAGTAATTCACTGCATCAGCACCATTAGATCTAATCTCACCATCTAGATGAAGAATATTGGTAACATTCATCCAAATGACTCCACCACCATTGCCTCCATAATTTTGACCACCTCCACCAGAGCTACCAATTAAGGTTGGCTCAAAGAGATTGCCATATGGCTGCCCAGTGCTGGCTGTGCCACCACCACGTCCACTAGTACCACCATGTCCACCACCGGAAGATCCACTACCAGAAGTAGTTCCAGTACCAAGGTTGACGCCAGTGTCAGTGTTCTTCTGATCAGTTGGTCTGTAGCCTTGACCATCAGACTGGATCTCGCCACCATCATCAATGGTAATATTGATTGCATTGATATACATCTGGGTGCCGATCATCTTAGCTCCACCCTCAACGAACAAATCGAACATGTAGAATGTTACTAGGTTCTCAGTTGCTGGATCAGTGATAGCTTGCACAATAGAGTCATCCTGAACACGGACCCAGTCTATCCTCATTACATTGGAATCCTCATTTAAAGTATGGCCACCTTCGAAAACTCCAAGGAATCCACCATGGTGTAATGTGACATCTTCAATGTGAGCTAGGGTACTGTGCAGCCAGACACTGACGCCATGTATGACAGTGCTATAGGCCAGACCCAACCAAGCATGGGAATAAACACGAACACTGAATGGCAGATCTATCTCTTCTCTTTCAAGATCCATTGTCTGGTTGGCTCCTAAATGCACCGTTCCAGTCCTGTCACCAATCATGTATAGGAAGTGAACATCTGTTTCCTCATTTGGTGGATCGGTCATAATAGCAAAATGAGCATGGCCGTACATTTGAATTTCCTCAAAGTGGTAATCATGTACATCAGCACCACCTGAAAATATGTGTCCCCCAGATTGTGGGTGAATCCAAGTTCTACAACCATCAGTTGAGATGTCTTCATAGTTTCCAAGAACGTGTTCAACATCCTTAGGATCTTGGCCACCATTGTCAATGATGAGAGTCCTGTGGGTTTGAACCATGGCATAGATGAAGACAGTGCCGGCACCACCGGGTTCAGCATTTGCTCCTCCAGTAGCTCCGCCCCATGCGTGATAGTTGAATCCAGTCATAGTTTCATTGACATTGAAATAGATAGCAATACGACCACCACCTCCACCAGCACCTCTATAGTTGGAATCTGATCCATCTGAGCCTGCACCACCATTAGCCTTGATGCTACCATATCCCTTAATGAGTTCAGTATACATCCATATGCTGCCTCCACTTCCGCCACCACCTCCGAATCCATCTGCCACATCGCCACCATGACATGTGACTTCTCCGTCAATATGAATCATGTTAGTGACGTTCATCCAGATCATACCTCCACCAGTGCCACCAGGAACTCCACCTTCAACACTAGCACCACCTGCACTACCAAACACATATGGTTCATAGAGATCACCATATGCATAGCCGGAATTGTGATTACTGTTGAAAGTCCCTCTGCCTCCACTTCCACCATGGCCTCCTCCAGAACCTCGGCCAGTTGAAGCATCAGTTGGTATACCAACATTAACTGAACCATGTAAGGAGTCTTCACCATGGGAGTCGTTTCTGTGAGTAAAGTAATAACCAAGCCCATCAGCTGCAATAAGACCACCGTCATCAACTGTGATGTTCTCCACATTAAATGTCATGAAGGTGCCATGTAAGGTGCCACCTCCTTCGACAGTAAATGCGCCAACATCGAATGTGATACCTGGTTCAGAGACAGGATCAGTTGTGGCATTCATGCTTGAGTCATCCTGTATACGGACTTGGTAAAAGGAGTATGTATTGTTGATATCCCCTGTGGTGTGACCTAAATGCTTACACCAGAAGAAACCTTCGTGGTGTAGAGTCAAGTTCCTAACATAGGAGAGGCGACCAGCCATATGGATATCAACTCCATGTACATAGGTATCTGGGGCCAAACCAAGGTGGCCACCATCATATACATAAGTGTTGAAAGGAAGATCAATCTCATCACGCTGGAGATCCAAGTCTTGACGATCATACACATGCATTGTGCCACTTCTGTCTCCAATCATATAATTGAAGAATATACTCACATTATAGGCAGATGAGGAGGTAAATGTTGGGTTACCATCGACAAATTGTGGAGAAATAATGTAGTTCTCTCCATCGTATGTGACATCAGGAGGCATAACTGCAAGGTGAGCATTGCCATAGATCTGAAGCTCTTCAAAATGGAAGTTATGTTGTCCAGATGCGAAATCATGTACACCAGACAAGGGCATGATCCATGTCCTGCCACCATCCCTGGTGGTGTCTTCCCAGTTGACGTAAATCTGATCTGGGTGAGGAGCATTATCATTGTCAATAACAAGAGTGCGATGATTCTCCAACATGTTGTAGATGAACACTGTACCAGCGCCACCTGCCTCACATTGATGGCACAAGTGACCCGGGAGTCCACCAGCGGGTAGATACCGGAAATCACTAAAGGTGTCATTCTGTTGGAAATACAGAGCTACCCTTCCTCCAGAGCCTCCACCACCGCACCTATCATTCACAGTAGATCCTGCACCACCCTTGGCTTGCAGCTGTCCATAGCCAGTGATTCTCATAGCATGCATCCACACTGAGCCACCACTGCCTCCTCCAGATACAGCAGTGCCACTTGAAATTCCAGCACCACCATTGGATGACACAACACCATCTATGTGGATGGTGTCAGTGACGTTGAACCAGATTTTTCCACCGCCACGTCCACCAGCAGGACCACCTCCAGCACTTCCAAAGTCTGTTGGCTCATAGAGATCATCATATGCTTGCCCAGCAGTCTCAACCACTACAATGAATGAGAACATTATGACATATACATAATGTACTACATGAACAATGAATGCAATTTAGCTCTGCAATCTGACTCAGAAAATGGGAAATAGCCACACCCAAATTGTAATCCGACCTGAATTTTCGATGGCTTTTTAAAATCATGAAGCCGTAACAGGGGCTCAGATAAAATATAGTCTTATTTTATTGGACTATTGTTTTATAATTTAAGTAGATCATATACACTTAATAAAAAAAGAGAATTAACTTACATCCATCGTGTCCATAGAACTGCATACCAAGACCAATAATATTTGACCAGGCAATGGGGTAGATCCAAACCTGACTTGTGTAGATTGGTTCATCAAATTCCTGTTTGAGATATGTGCTCGTATCCGTATTACCAGGAAATCTCCATGTGTCTAAACTGTCCTTTTTCTAAAACATAACAAGTCATTAGCTATCAATATACATGTATGACAAACAAAAGAAAATAACATCATTTAAAATGCACATGACAGGCATGAGATAAACATGAATTTAATTATGAAAGCAGCATAAAACAATTTAAAGTATATTTTTTGAAACAATGCATACACTGGTCAACAAGAACAAAGACAGAAATATCTAGTCTAGTAAGCTGTATGTTACCTTATATGTAACTTTTTGTCCTGTCTCGGCATCGATGTAATGAACCTCATATTGAGTTACCCATCCACCAAAGTGAGGGTTTCCCCTGGTTTCAACATGGGTGAAATAGTAAGCTTTACTGTATGTTGTCTTCAGCCATCTACCACTGCTGGTATAGTGATATGGACACCAAGTGTAACTGTGACTGGAGTACAGGTTTCCCCAACTTGTACTAGAGCCACTCCTAGTGCCACTAGATGAGATACCATTGGGTGCAATCACATCTGCATCACCTCGTCCACGACCGCCACTTCCACCATGGCCTCCACCTGATGCATAGTAGTTAGTACTAGTACCTTTTCCAGGATTTACGATGCCATGTAAACCGGCGTTTTCATCATAATTATCTGAGGTTCTGTAGCCAAGGCTATCAGCATGTAGAGCGCCACCAGCATCAACTGTGATGTTCTCAGCATGGATATAGACGTGTGTACCACCGACATCTCCACCACCATCAATGTGCATAAAAGTGACAATGAAATTCACACCTGGTTCATTGACAGGATCAGAGACCATATCAATGTAGCCAAGATCTTGTACATGCACCCAATGGAAGTTGTAGTATGTGGCATCATTTCCTTCTGTTCTTCCAAGCTGATGGAGCAGCATCTGTCCTCCATGGTGTATGGTAAGATTCTCCACATGGGCCAAAATACCACTTATCCAGATATCAACACCATGTACAATGGTGTCTGGGGCAAGCCCAAGGAAACCACCATCATAAATATGGGCACCAAATGGAAGATCAATCTGTGGTCTTTCCAAATCCATTATCTACAAAACATGTTTAGATTAATGTTTTTTCCACAGAAATACAATGCTACAGGAAAAATGGACATAATGTGTTTGACCAAATCAGTATTTTATGTTAGATTTTTGGGATTATCTTCAGGAGAATACCATTTATGAAGAATCAAATTAATATATAATTTCACAAAAGGAATTCTTACTTGGTTAGGTCCAACATGAATAGCTCCAGTGCGGTCACCAATCATGTTGTCAAAGAAAATTGTCGCATTTGAATCCACAGGCTCAGTGAGGATCGCAAGCTGACCTTGACCCCAGATTTGCATTTCATCAAATTTGTAATCATTGTCACCTGAAAGATATAATCACGATTATAAAACTGCACACGCATTTTAAGCATAAGAAAACACCTCTATAAGATTTGAAGTTCAATAAACATAAACCAACTTTATGATAAATTATTGGTCAAATACTTGTAGAAACATCTTGTAATAAGACATCGATCCAACTCAACTGAAAAAATACATTAACAAATTGTTCACCTGAGAAAGTGTGATCTCCACTGATTGGTAGGAACCAAGTCTTTCCCTGATCGGTTGACAGACTGGTGTAGTCTCCATTTCCAATAGCAACTTCTGTTGTCGTGGCAGCACCACGCATGTTATTATTGATCAACAGAGTTGTATGATCATGCACTGAAATAACAGACTCAAAGTATCATACTCAAATTCAAGACAATATTTCTCATTTCGAATGATGTCATTCTGCTTTTAAGGATAACTTCACCTTAGCATTATGGGACCTTTTTTCGATATACAATATGTGGAATGAAACATGTATTGATTGCTGAGAAACAAATAAAGATTTTACCGACTAAAATCCTACTATAATACACATGGGCCTTACTCACGCTATATGGGTATATTTAAAGATAAACTACAGGACACATAAATTGACACATAAATTGTACCTTGATGGTAGAAGAATGCAGTTCCTGAAGCTCCATCATATGCTGACCCATAACCACCACCGAGTCCTCCATAGAGGTCCCAGCTTCCTGCATAGGTCTTGTTGGAGTTGAAGTACATTGCGATACGACCACCTGAGCCGCCACCACCACTGTGTGAACTATGGACAAAGCCATCACCCCCTATCACTTGGAATGCTCCATAACCCTTGATATGGTGTAGATCCAGATATATACTTCCACCACTGCCTCCGCCACCATAGTGAGGGGTGCTACTGGCATGGCCACCATTACAGTGTATGGTACCATCATTCTGTAGTGTTTCAGTAATGGTTAGTCTCATCTTGCCACCACCTTTACCACCGTTAGTAGCTGAATTGCCACCACCTCCTTGACAACCATGATCAGTAGGCTCAAAGACATCGCCATAGGCATGACCTGTTAATGTTTGCCATTGGCCTTGGCCACCCATGCCTCCGTGTCCAGCACCTTGAGTAAGAAAAACATGCAATTATAATTTTGACAATCCAACAGAGTTGTAAAATAAAATATGAAGCAATTTTTTGTCAGCACACAGCGGTCGTCATCAACACAACATGCCATAACATATCCAAACAACACAACATCACACAACACAAAACTACACAACATTACATGTTGATCCCATCAAATTCTCAACATAAACAGAACATTATAAAAATGCATGACAGTAAAAAATAATAAGTAAAATTAGGATGTCTACCTGATCCTCCATTTGAAACTGTTGATCTGACACCATTGCCAACTGAACAGGGTCTTGTGTGCACATCTCCTTGTACTATACCCAAGTCATCAACAATCATATTCTGAGCATTGATGTTTAGCTCAACAGCATGGAGGTGTCCACCACCTTTGACATGGATCTGGGTAGCCTGCAAGTATGAAAATACATGTATTAAAAGTAAAGCATGATAATACATGTATTAAAAGTAAAGCTTGATAATACATGTATTAAAAGTAAAGCATGATAATACATGTATTAAAAGTAAAGCTTGATAATACATGTATTAAAAGTAAAGCTTGATAACCTGAATTTAATGATCTTTAATATTTGGTATTGATACATACATATAACTTGATCTTATTATGATTTGCCCATGACTGGTTTTAGATGGGCATTGGGCCTAATTTTCAATCCGAAAATTCAAACAGCGTTCTCTAAGATGAAACCAAGACAACTCTTAGCTGTCAAAAAGTCACGTTAGAGGTACAATATTTGGTTGTAACTTACCTCAAGGTTCAAGGTCTTGTCTGCATCGCCAAGTGATGTGATCATGGTCACTTCACCACCTGCAGCCACCGTCAGCCACTCAAAGCCATAGGTTCCAGCAGTGCCTGACTCTCCAGACATTCGAGTGGTACCTGTTGGACTGAGGTAAAGTTTGCACCCTGTTCCAACAGTCAGGTTGTGAATACCCAGTGTACCTCTGCAAAAAGCAATATACATGTACAGTATACTGTATGTTTAAAGTCAGCTACAGGTATGTAAAAGTCATTTTGTTTTTGTGTAAAACGAACAATATACAAGCTACATGTATATATGATTTTCTAAGCTTTAAATGGTATTATTTGTGATGTGATTGAACAAATGATGATTCACTCCTGAGAATTAATATCTGTTCCCCTGGCAAACATATAAGGGCAAAACCATTGAGTAAAAGGGAGATTCAAATCCATTTCCTGAAGTCAAATATAATAACAACCGTGAGATTATCGAAACCTTACCTGATAGAGAGTGAGATGCCATAACATGTAAAGTCTGGAGGTAAGAGAAGTTGACCATTCTCATAAACATAGACATTAGAGACAAACTCCAAGCCATCTGAAGCCTCAACAACTGCATATTGGTTTGGTCCTATGTGGAAGTTACCAGAAGTGTCACTCACAAATTTACGAGTCATCAACTCAAAGTCCCTGAAAAAACATAGCATCATGATATTATTCAAAATTCACATTTACCCATTTAGCGGGGTCAGATGTCCTTTTTTTGTTCGGCTTTTTCAGGAAAGCAACAAACTTGGCACAGTTGTAGAATCATATGATATGAGTAAAAAATGATTTCAGGGCAAGTGATTTGGGGTGGTCTTCATGGATTTTTTAGCCTCTGACCCCCCATCCCTACCAGACTGGGAGGGGTATATTATTAAAATTAAATAAAAATGGTTTTAAAGTATTTTTTCTTTAAATGACTTCATTTGCTGATTGCTTTGAGCCTTGAAATTGTGTAAAACCCAATTAAGAAGTTGTCTGTAGCAAGAAAAACTCATTTTAACCCAATTATCTAAGAATAATTCGTTGTTTAAAGGGCCAAATATGGAACATCCAGTACTGTATTTCAAGAATGTGATGTCTGATAGTCCTGAAAAAATTCATAGTAGTAGAGGTTTAAGTGTTTATCACAGATAGAAAATATACCATGGGTGGCTCATGTATTTTTTGAGAAAAAAATTCTCGAAATTTCAATTTTTAAGTGCTTGCAGCTCAGGGGTAACCTTATTTTACCATAATAATTTTTAAAATATGCAATGTATGCATCTCATATGAGGTCAAAATGATGCATAGAGCATTGTTTTGTCATATTATTCCTAATAAAGTGTAAAAAAATTATTGGGAATTTTTCAAAAATCCAAATTTTCATTTTCGCTTCTAAAAGGCCAGGGGTAACCATATTTTACCTTAATAATTTTCAAGATATGTAATATATGAATCTCAAATTAGCTCAAAATGGTGCATATAGCTTTGTTTTATCAGATTACCCTTGATTAGATGTAGAAAAATGATTTTACATTTCTTAAAAATCTAAATTTCCATTTTAGCTTATTGTGGCCTATGGGTAGCCATATTTTACCTTAATCATTTTCAAAGTACAAGACATATGCATCTCAAATGAGCTTTAAAGGTTTTTTTAATCTTCTTTTGTCATATATTATTTCTAGGGAATGTAAAAAATGTTTGGAAACTTGAAAAAATGATATTTTCATATTAGGCCATAAGAATTAGATTCTCTGGTTTGCGTCCTGGCAAAATCCAAATCATGCAAGGGTACAAGGAAACAAACACAAACTCAAAAAAACACAAACTTGTTTGCTGAGAAATGTATACATTTTATGGGCATTAAAAGGAATGACATATCAATTTGCAGTGATACAAACACAGATCTATACATTTATACAATATATTTAAATATAGGTATTATTCAAGGGTAAAAATAAAAAAATGTATGCCTAAGTAATCAATAACACTGTCAATTTTGACGCACATCAATTTATCCGCCATTTCGTCATTCTATAGTTGGGTCATATGTAAGATTCCTACATGCAAAATAGTAAAGTACAAATGATTATGCATACTATATTCCAATTAAAAAGTTTTTAAATGGCTATAGAAAACAAAATCTCATTTATGATATGAATGAAATATGAATGCTTGAAATAATACAGTCTTTAAAGGCCCCATGTAAAGTTTAAACCACTTTGGCTTATATTGTAGTCTTACCCAATGTTATCAAAGTGTGATATGTGAAACTTTTTTTTTAAATTTCAAAAAGTAGTTTTTGATAGACTTTTTGTTCCAAAATTTGTGAATTTATTTAAAACCAACTTTTAGAGGTCACTCATATCTTCTAATAAGCCACAATTCATACCAAAGCATAGTATACATCCTCCCATGTTTTTTTGCCGAAAAAATTAAGAAAATCGGTTGATAAACAAGCGAGAAATGAACTTATCAGTGCATGAAAATGGTTCTGAGAAAAATGCATTTCAAAATTTTAGTTCTCATAGAAACCAATGGTACAATGATATCTAAAACATAATTTATTCTTCCTTTTAACCTGGTTAGACAATCAACATTTGTTTTTTATGAAAGTCTAGCATATTTAGAAAAGATTGACATCGAAAAAAAAAATTCAATTTTTTTCAAAAAGTTTTTGTTACCTTAGTGACATCACTAATGTTTCAAACTATTTTTGATAAGCTAAAACATTGAAGTGGCCCATTAAATATGACATTTTATTATTGAAATAGTGGGTCTTTTGTTCAATCTTTGCATTGGTGTTAAAAAGATAATCTTTTTTGAAATGCATTAAGAAATATTTGATGATTAAGAAATTTCAACTTTTTTTGAAAAATGGCGGGAAATTTGAATATTTGAGAAATGAAATGCTCACAACTTTTTCTTCAAAAAATTTTTTTTGTTCAAAAATCTCTAAAATCATTTTTTAAGTCCTGACAAAAAGTAAATGAATGATAAAAAAATATTTTCAAACTTTAGACGGGGACTTAAAGTCAATTAACCTCAATACATGTACATTATATTTGCTATATACAATTTTTTAAATCCATGTATTTTTCTATTCTTACCCATATGATTCTGTGTTAATAGCAAGATGAGCATCACCATAGAGATGTATTTCATCCAGTTCATCAGTACCATTGATCACCCATGTACGACCACCGTCTGTCTCGATGCTGTCGTAGGATGATACTTCAGTAGTTTTAGGGTCTTTGTCACTGTTGTCTATGATCAATGTACGGTTTGTTGTGTATGGTTGGGTATCCTAAATATAAATAAAAGTTCATTTAATAATCGGTTATTTGTCAATGATCAGCTCAATGATTCAGTTGTACTATGACGATACATTTACTTGGGAGTCTAAGGTCAATTTATTTTGTTCATGTATCATGGCTAAGATCTTGTTTTGCCACCCATTACTGATAAGGATTCCTACCTCAATGTATGTGGTACCAGAACCTCCATTTGCTTGGGAAGATGTGCCACCAAATGTCTGGAAATGACCTCTCCAGTATGTGTGCTTCTCCCAGTAGACAGCGATTCTTCCACCGCCACCACCACCAGAGTAAGTGTTGGCGTCACCACCTTCCACCTGGGGAGTGAAAAAATGGGTGTCATTAATACATGAAGAAGTGCAACATTAAAGATCTATTGATAATGGTACCTAAACTACATATTGTTTCATCCTAGTCTAAATAACTCAAAGAATTTCGAATTCTTAAACTACCAACCAAAAAGAAACTACCTTTGTTGTTTTATTCTATATTGGGCCAAATATTTTTAAACTTATGGCCCAAAAATGGGCCTCATTTCACTAAGAGCTGTTTTTCAGAAAATGGGAATGGCCAAAATTTTTCAAAACGACTGGTCCAAAGGGATTTCCATATAATTAATTCCCCCTCCCCTTTGTCAATTCAGTCTAATCACCCCTTGACTCCAACCTACCTGCACAAGACCGTATCCCTCCATGTATTTGGTTGTGAGCAATATACTTCCACCACTGCCTCCACCAATGTGTGATGTACCAGCCTGTCCATTACATGACACGATCCCATCAATGATCATTGTGTTGGCAGTAGTAATCTTAAGCACTCCTCCACCTGGACAGAAATTTTCATTAATTATCAAATGAATTTATTTCTTACATAATATTATTCAATGTAATTCATTATCAAAGGCTTTTCAACATTAACAGATATACTATGTTCCAAACTCACCTCTTCCATTGCTAGCTGAGGATGAGCCACCTCCACTACCAAACTCTCTGGGTTCATAAATGTTTCCATAGACAGGCCCAGGTTGTTGACCTACAACAAATAACGGCAGGTATGAATGTTGGCATCTCTCTTTATGATAATTTATAATAACTTGGTTTATCAATTTGAGGGTTTAGAATGTACATGTACAAGTTGGTCATATCTCATATCAAGTTAGGAAGAAGTCAGAAATCCTATTACTAAATTATAAAATGTATCAAGTTATTTTGACAAATTGGCTATTTATTTGATACAGCAAACCTGTAAATGAATATTAACCATTACAACTCATCGCATCTCTGACACAATCAAAAATGATAAATATAAAAAATACTTGTCTTACAGCATGTATTATATGCACAGTATTTCAATAATACTCACTTGCAGAGTGGCTGTTGCCACCTTTGCCACCATAGCCACCTCCACAGTAACCTTCACCCTGTCCAACACCTGCCAAGTTGCCCTGGTAGTCAGCCTGGATCACACCCTCATGGTCCACATCCAGATAGATGGAGTATATGTACAGGGCTTTTGCTTTTATTTCACCTCCTCCCTCTACTCGGATTTTACCATCTCTGTCTCCTTCTAGATCATCTGCGATTACCTGGATTGAGAAAGTGATAGCTGAGATTAAGTCAGGTTGCAAAATCCCTTTCAATCATAATAATTCATAGTATGAATTCAAAGTGAACATCACAAATCTTGCATTACCATTATTTTTTATTTACTTTTAAGCTGTGTATGTACTGTAAATTTGACATTGAGAAGGTGACACAAATTGTACATGTCCTAAAGCCTGGTACATTTGATGAGAAATTAGAAAGAATTCAATAAGTAGGGGCATATCGTTTACAACATAAGGGGCTCTCTTCATATCGACTTTGCAGTACCTGTAGTGTCCATTGATCATCCAGGTCATTGTCATCACTCCTAAAGTCCAGTACACCACCATCCTGTATGGTTAACCCTACCATGTCCAGGTGTCTCAGACTGGGCAACTGCATTATCACAGTGGCACCTAGAATAAAGAGGAGCAATACAGCACAATGAATTTGAGATTTAACCTGGTGAGACACTTGAAGAAACAGTGGACACCAATCCAATACAGTATGTACACTAACATATTATGACAATATAACAGAAGGTACTATCTAAGTATTAAGTACATGTGCACATATAAAGAGAAAAGAAAAGTGAGATTGAGAAAGACCAATCTTATGACTAGTTTAGGCATTTCTTCATCAGCATCTATGTTTACTGTACATGTATAAACAAAAACTCTACAAAGAACACTGCTACTGGTTGACTTACCATAGCCAATGAAGACATGAGCATTATCAGACTGCACAGTGCCCCAGAATTGTCTGGTGCTACTGGTCAGGTAACCACTGGTACACATGGCAGAGTTAATACCAAGACCTTGTTGGTCGAGGACCTGTCTTATTTCGACCATTGCAGTAGGGAGGATGAATAAGGCATTCTCGTAGATATATGGCTGCCATGTCATGTTTACACGACGCCACTCAGAAACCTGGGAAATAAAGACAACAAAATAAGAAGAAAAATAAACATTTGAAACATCCAGGATCGAGAAAAATACTGCAGATGTTCAATATTTATGAGTTGATCATTTAAAATAGCATTTAATCTACGTGTCATGAAATATCTCAAGTACATCATACCTCTGTCCATTCTAATGTGTTCCAAGGGGCTACATGAAGATATCCAGTGTCATCTCCTACTATACGTGTTGAGGTCAGAGTAGAGTTACCACCATCATATGTGAGGTGTGCTCCACCATAAATGCCAATAATGTCAAAGGTCCAACTGCTTGCCTCCATCAAGTGGGCAATGGCACCTAAAGTATTGTTTTATCTCATCTTAAATGATGGTTTATCAATTGATATGACTAAGCGAGTTTTTATGTGTATCTGGGTTCTTCAAATGTTCCCAAATGATCATGAGGTACAAAATGGTAATTCTTTGTAATAGTAAATATAGTTTACATTCAATAACGCATTGAGAAATACTGAAAAAGTGGAAAATTTAATTTCTAATCTTTTTTTTAGAAGGTGTACCAAGTGCAAAATTGAATTTTTAATCTCTAGTTTTGTTCATGTATGTTAATTAATGAAAGTCTATTTATGAAAATCAATGAAACCCATGCATGACATATAATGGAATGATTCATGTTGAACTTTACCTGTCTCTATATAGGAATCATACTCTGTTTGTGTTGCTGTTGTTCCAGAAGGCATGGTTACCTAAAAACATTCAGTTATTAATATCAATAAACATTTTCATTTTCTTACTTGATCTACATTAGAAATGAGACAAAAATGATACACTAAATGTACCTTTTAAGATGCTAAAAATCAAATATAAACATTCAGATCATTGTTCAGCTCGTTATTCTATTTGGCCCTTGATGTAAGAGGAATATCACTATCATTTCCTTATATTCTCAATAGTTTTGGATTATTTCAATGGCGTACACACAGATTATTGAATATATTGTAAGGCCTGTGGCTTCAGAGTTCAGAAATGCAATGTTTTATGAAAAGAAGACTGTATTTAAACTCACTCTTGGAGACTGGCAACCATTGTCAACACGCAACTCTTTGTATTCAGGCAGTGAGGTCTTGTGGAAATAGGTCATTCCTGGTCCACCAGGTTCTGAGTTTCCACTTCCACCAGCGGGACCACCTGGTGGTGAAAAAATAAAGTTAGTAACAGCCACTTTGGTGTCTCATCAAAGAAAAAATACATTGAATAGTAAATAGTAAATAGTAATTATCAATGCATGTTTTTAATTATCAAGGCATGTTTTTAATTATCAATGCATGTTTTTAATTATCAATGCATGTTTTTAATTATCAAGGCATGTTTTTAATTATCAATGCATGTTTTTAATTATCAATGCATGTTTTTAATTATCAAGGCATGTTTTTAATTATCAAGGCATGTTTTTAATTATCAAGGCATGTTTTTAGTGACTGCATGGCAAAACAAATCTGATGGCTGAATTAATCGATTTGAAGCACCAACAGGGGACACAGATTTTGTACAGAAAACACCAAAAACAATAATCTATATCTCATATCTGATAAACCCACTACCTTTTTCCTGAAACATAATGTAAAAGATTAGCATGATTTGAGACAAGGCAATTACATAAGGAGTTGATAGTTACAAGATCAGAAAAATATTTTACCTTTTGATATGGCATGACCACTGACGAATCCTCCACTTTGATAATTGACAATGATACGTCCACCAGAGCCACCGCCTCCATAAGAGCGTCCCTGGCCACCATTGGATGTGATGTAACCAGTACCAGTGAATGAACCTGAGATATCTGCATAAAAGCAACCTCCAGCTCCTCCACCAGCATGCCCATTCTGGAAGAAAAGATGTATTCATTTACGGTGGGTGCTTCATTGTTATTGCAAAAACAACACATTTGGCCCTGAGCCTTGTGTATGAAGTAACCTCTACCCTCTAAATTGGACTAATTAATGCTATGATGTACTGGAACGAATATGAAATATATAAAGGAAACTAACCACTCCAATTGCGCCATTCAGGTTGATGTTCCCATTATTGACAAGATCCTGGATGGTAGCTTTGATGTATCCACCACCACGTCCTCCTGCATGACCACCAGCTGTTGCACCACCACTTCCCCATTCAGTGAATGTATCAAATGTTCCTATATATACCACATCAGTGGTGACGTAGTGACTTCTCCCACCACGACTGGCGTGGGTGGCACCTGTACCGCCAGAACTATGTGGAGTTCCAGCACCTGTGGTAGAATATAATAAGTAATAAGTAACTGGACATACACAAGACCAAATAATGTCACCTGTTAGGTTATTGAAAATGGTTATCACTTTCTGGCAATGACATAAACATTGTTGATAGTACATGTTTTTAGTTTCACGCATACTGGCATTTAAAGTAACATTAAATTATTAAAGTATTTAGGGAAAAATGAATCTGTTAGATACATGTTAGTATAAATGGAGGAAGAACTTTCAATATTGTCATCATTCTAAGGGATCCCATTGAGAAATATTGGACGATTCTATTCATCATATTATGTGTAGTAAAAACAATATATCTAAATTATGATGGTTTACATCATTATGTGTGGTCCACATGCACTGAAAATAATGACAAAATTTCAAGAAACTTTTAGAGAAAGTTTTGTAGAATATTATATAGTGCATGGATTATACTATGAAATAAAAACTCACCAGGTCCCTCATCAGCTGTATAACCACCTTCAGTGACATCTATAGTTCCACTGACAGTTAATGTTGTTGCATCAATTTCTAAGGTTCCTGCACGTAGGTTACCAGTTACAGTAATAGTGTCCCAAACGAGTTCACTCCTGTAACAGCCTGCATCAGTAACTACTGGACATTTGTAGTCAAGATCTAGAGTACCACCAACTGTCAAGCTGTTGCCAGAGAATCTTTCAAATTCTCTATGTGTTGTCATTGTTGCTCCTGATTTAACATTAACAGCAGCAACAGTGTATACTAGATCCTCCAGAGGCCAAAACTCAAATTGACAGCCCGATACCATATCGATAGATGCCATAGATGTAGTCAGTTCTAACAGTCCACCAACGAATCTGCCACTTGAATGCTCGCACAACAAATTGTCAATGTTGAAATTTGAACCTAAACCCGACCAGCTGTTACCATTATGCGTGACGTCATAATCCAGGTTAAGTCTTCCATTCAGAGTGATAGATTCTGTGCGGGCGCTGCTCTTGCCTGTGAATTTCACCTGATTCATGAGGTACACAGCTCCTGTGTTTGACACTGAAAAAGTGTCCACTTCAAGGTCGCCATCAATGCTTCCATAAACGGTCCCACTGATAGAGATAGCATTAATCTGGATGGTACATTGATGAAATCTGAGTGAACTACTTGATCCTGTGGTGAGAGTATTTGCAGTGATGGAAGAACTACCGCTGTATGGACCATTATTATTAACGGCTGTGTCCTTGTCAAATACCATTGTTGCACTGTTCCCAATACTAATGGACAAATCCTCCCCAACTGTACTTACTAATATATCAATCGGGTTGAAACTTTCAAATGTACCATCCATTTCAATCTGGTTTACCTTCAATGGGTCATCAGCTTCCATAGTGATTTTAGCATCATTATCTACTCCTAGATAAAGCCAACCACTACCAGAGGGGCTGATGATGGACAGCCTTCCAGCATAGAAGTATCTCTTGATAGTAACAGTGTTTGCAGGTAGCACTGATCCTCCTGTCCATGAATGGCCTGACTGAGCATCACTGTCCAGTTGGCAGTTGCCATTATCACCAACAGTAAATACATGCACTTGCTCACGTTGTGTTCCAGCAAAGGTAATTGGACCTTTTGCCAAAAATGTACCATCAATTTCGATTTCATCACACTGGAAGGTGCCCCCTGGGATGAATTGGATATCACCAGTGTTGCTCTGAGTAAAGCTGGCACAGTTTGTCACAGCAATTGGGCGATCACCAGTAGTAATCGTTCCATCTAGCTCTATTGTCTCAATCTCAAATGTAAAGAGATTACCAGAACCAATATCCAAATCACCGGTTGAATGTACTGTGAGCTTGTCTATTTGTAATGTACTTTCATCAGCTGTTAGGGTGAATGGTGCCATCACATCTAGAGTGTTTGCATTTGCTGTTGAAACTTCCCCCAGGATTTTGGACCATTTTCCTATGATGGCATCTCCATTAAGAACAAGTGTGTTTGATGCTTCAAGGACAATTTTTGCATGGACAATTCCTGTACTAACAGTCAGTGTTTTACCAGAGACTTGAGGTTGGTACAGAATAGCTGAAGTATTGTCTCCTTCTATTGTACCAACTGTCAGATCATTTTCAAACACTGCAAATGCTCCATTGGTGACAGTAATTATATCAACAGCATTAACACTATCATCAAAATAAGCAACACCACCTGAAATTGAAAACAAAAAGATACTTTTATTATTTTAAAAATTCAATTTAATTGTCAAAAAGCAACATCACCTAAAATTGAACAACAAAAAGACATTACTATTTTTCAACATTTGAATTCACCGATACAGGATCTAAAATTCCTTGGTGCAACATTCTAAAGATTTTATTAGTGTATGGGATCTGAACTGCTCTGAACTACTGAAGGATTTTGATTTTGAAATGGAGATGCTTTGCCACATTGATTTCAATGGGGGGGAGTGCACATGTACTTACCTGATGTGTAGGGGTCATAGTGATCACAGTCTGGGGAAGAATATGCTATAGTTGGTATCTTTCCCATGTTGTCCACGCTCACTTTAGACACACCCAGTGCTTCAGTTCCACTGAAGTACACCGTCCCTGGGCCACCAGGCTCACCTAATAAACAAATAAATCACAAATTAGGCCACTGCAGGTTAATTCTCTGTTAAGAAGAAATTAATTTTTGTTAACACTTAGAGGTTTATTTCAATCATATTGAGGATAAGATAAAAGAAATGGGGTCCTGGAAGTTAGTTCTCTGTTTTAAAATCATTTTTTGAAAAGGCATGAAAGGTATATACTATAGGTACATGTAGTAAGTGAAATATATTTTTCTGCTTACCAGTACTGCTTGGATCACAAGAACCAACTGGTGGTGCATCAAGTTTATCTAATGAAGCTTCTGAAAAATAAAATTACAATATCCCTATATACTATTTATAGTAATTATAGTAAATGAAAAAAAAAAATAAAAATCTCAGATGATTTCTCTATGTACAAAAAGTAGATATGTCATAACACTCATAATTGCTTATTTTTTAATTGTAATGTTAAACCAATTTTATTTGATAAAAAATACAGTGTAAATAAAAAGTAAAGTGCTCGATGCTTCAGACTATATATGGTTGGCAGTGCAATTTAAAACTTAATTTAGAAGTATTTTCACTTCAGAAAAATGATTCAAAACATTGCACCCCTACATCATATTTTTGTCTTCTGTGTATGGAATAACAAGAAAAACTTACGAGCTGTGTATCCATAGAAGCCTACTGTCAAAGACACTGCACTGTAATAGGTGATTGGAAAAACCCTGAAGCCATTTGTGTAGACTACTGTATCCAGCTCTTGCTTGACAGGACTGTTGGCATCGTTGTTCCCATTAAACGTAGTCTGGGAAGACTCTGACGGAAGATGCTGGAAAGAAACAAATTGAAAGATATGAATAAACAAATAGAAAGATATAAATTCAACAAATTGAAAGGTATAAATTCAACAAAGAGAAAGATATAAATTCAACAAATAGAAAGATATAAATTCAACAAATAGAAAGATGTAAATCCAACAAAGAGAAAGATATGAATAAACAAATATAATAAGATATAAATTCAACAAATTTGAAGATATAAATTCAACAAATAGAAAGATATAAACTCAACAAAGAGAAAGATATAAATTCAACAAAGAGAAAGATATAAATTCAACAATGAAAAAGATATAAATTCAACATGTTGAAACATATGATGTTTGGTCTTGGAATGAACATATGTGACACACACTATTTGTTGTGATCTCTGATAAATCTCAGCTACGGCCCACAGGTAGTATCTTACGAGCCTCTGGGTGTACATATAAATGTATGTATAAAGTATACAAAATCATACTGTGTCAGTCGCTTAATGCTTTTAAAACCTTGATTTAATATTTGTATCAGTAAAGCTTACCTTGTATGCAACCCATTGATTGGTGGTGACATTGTAGTACTGCAGCTTGAACGTTTTAGTCCATTGATTGTTACCACCTCTTGTTTCAATGTGGGTAAAAAATGAGGCCTCACTATACCTCAGCTCAAAATGCTGCCCATTGTTGCCATTTGATCTCCAAGCATTGGTAGATGTACTGGCTTTGAGGTTACCATAACTTACGGCAGAACCATGTATAACGCTCGATGCACCATTGGAAGAGGGACTGAGCATAGAATATTCTGTGCCTGAAAAACATCAATATGCACTTTGAGTATAACATATCTACCTAGGTGATATCCTAGAAATCAGGGCCCAGAATCTTTTTTTAGTTTTGGGCCCCAAAGTTTTGTAGGGCCTCAAATAAATGGGACTTTTTGGGCATAAATTGGCATTTTAAAGCCTTTTTAGGCCAATTTATCAAACAATGGGCCTTAACATTTCAAAATTTGGGCCTAACTTTTGGTTTTAGGGGCCCAAAACATTTTTACACACAAGCACGGAATTTTTTTTCCAGACTAAGGGAACATGGGGCAAAACGGCCCTAAAAATTTAATTTTAAGTTGTTTTGTACGGGGTATTTTGTTATCTGTCAATCATTGTGCACTTTGATGTTCCACTTTATTAATGGTTTGTGGTTTACATTTTTCGAGTGTTTTATACTTTCCTAGGACTATCTTCTGTGATTTTTCAATGGTCAAAAATATTGTCGAGAGTGGGGAAAAACGGCCCATGGGTGGGGCAAAACGGCCCACCCTCTGTTACATGGGTTTTAAAACCAAAATTAATCAATTACAAGACTCGTCCACACACATATTATCTCAGACATTCAAACCTTTGACAGATAAAGTATTCTTAACCCCTACCATAATTCTAGTCATTCGATATGTGTCGGAAGGAAATAAGGTACAAGCCAAATATTAAAATCGTTATATTTGAAAACCAATTGTTCTTGCACAATAAGATTTTTGTATGTTATAACATGTGTGGGCCGTTTTGCCCCAAAGACATGTGAATTTTCAAATAGACGTCATTTTAATTTGCCTAATATTTGAAGCTCGAAATTTTTACAAATAAAGAATAAATGTGCATACTCTATGTAAAATGTCAAATCAAAACGGTATTCTATTGTTGCCGGATTTTTTTAGAGATTCTCGTGGGAGGGGTTATTTACAAAAAAGAGGGTGAAAAGTAGAATTACTTCTTACATAAAGCGAGACGCTGCTTGGTTAAAAATGGGCGGTTGAGAAGGTGGCAGAAATTTCAAAATTCGATTATGTGACTTTTGAAGAACCATCTTTTTATCGTTCAAAAGATATTTCGATGGGTGACTTTGCCCCAGGGGACCGTTTTCCCCATGTTCCCCTACGCCATGGGCTTTCAAGAGGTCTGTGGGGTTAGTTCAGTTAAATTTGTGGGGGGGGGGATTCTGTATGAATGTTTCTTGTGTATGTTTCTCATCATCATCATGTTTAGGAGAGTAAGCTTAGTCCTGACTTGTCTTGTATCATTGAGGCTACCATTATAATACCGTAGTTTCCAATCCATTACAGTCACAAGTCAGTGAACCATGGGCTTTCAACTAAATGCCAGTACACAACACTGTGATCATCTTGAACCTTCTTCACACACATTCTTCCACCAAATATCAGAGTACATTTCTGGTCTCTGTCGTTTACTTGCCCGGCCTTTGCGTACCAAAGGGTTACGGCAGGATAGCATAGTTTTAGTTTATGATGGAAAATGATATTTCATGTTCAGCACTTCCGGTATTGCAGTAGAATAACGAACATACACAACTTCAAGAAAAATAAAATGGCTAGTGAAGTAGCCTCCTGAGTAGCCAAGTTATGCTATTTTAATGGAGAGGTTAAGCTTTGCATATATTGGAGAGGTCAAGCTAACGATGTTTTTCACAACGTAACCGTGAACGCAAAGTACAAAAATTAACAAAGGAATGTATCGAGCGCTCATAGTTTTATGCGCGCTTAGTCTACTTCAGATACTCTTTCAGCTTCAGAGTTTCGGGTTTAGAACGGGAGATTTAAAATTTGACGTTGGGTCAACGGGAACCATTTTACTCGTGTCTATTGAACACTATGCTGTAAATTTTGATTTCGATGTACAGTTGAATTCTTGCTGAACACGATGATGTATGTCATGCATGATTTAGCGCCAAAAATCTTACGAAACGAGCTCGTTTAAAATATGTATTAGAAAACCAGCTATAAAACTGCATCAATGACATACTATAGAATCATTACACGCTATGGTGTAGTCTAAACAAACACTGGATTTGAACGGCTATTTATATGAGAAGGCTACATGAAGTTGTATATGGTCGAGTGATACGTACAGGTTCAGTTTCGATTATATATGCAAAGCTTAACCTCTCCAGTATCGAAACTGAACCTGTACGTATCACTCGACCATATACAAATTCATGTAGCCTTCTCATATAAATAGCCGTTCAAATCCAGTGTTTGTTTAGACTACACCATAGCGTGTAATGATTCTATAGTATGTCATTGATGCGGTTTTATAGCTGGTTTTCTAATACATATTTTAAACGAGCTCGTTTCGTAAGATTTTTGGCGCTAAATCATGCATGACATACATCATCGTGTTCAGCAAGAATTCAACTGTGCATCGAAATCAAAATTGACAGCATAGTGTTCAATAGACACGAGTAAAATGGTTCCCGTTGACCCAACGTCAAATTGTAAAATATCCCGTTCTAAACGCGAAACTCTGAAGCTGAAAGAGTATCTGAAGTAGACTAAGCGCGCATAAAACTATGAGCGCTCGATACATTCCTTTGTTAATTTTTGTACTTTGCGTTCACGGTTACGTTGTGAAAAACATCGTTAGCTTAACCTCTCCAGTAACTTGTTTAAAAGCAGAATCAGATCTAAAGGGGTGACAAAATTACAAGCAATATACCAATCTATTCCTTACAATCTCAAATATAATATCTCCCAAAAGATTCACGATGTTATAAATTGGTGAAGTTATTATGAATTCAAAGTGCTCCAATGGGTGAAAAATGTTCAAATTTTCCCAAGCAATAAGAATGGTAATTATTCTCATAAAAAATAGTACATCATTGTAAAAATATTTAGTTTTCCTGAAATAAAGCGTGCATTTTGGGGAGAAAATAGACATGTCAATGAATGACTTGAGCCAGAAATATTCGAAAATTGAAACAATTACAATTCTTTGTTGGCTCGCTCTGAGATCTGATTCTCTCTTTACGGCGCGTGCCTATAGAATGTATACTCCCAACCCCCTGTCATTCATATTTTTGAAATACGCAGCAAATTTTGAATGTTTCACGTGGAGTATGTAGGGTCTAAAAGTTCTAATAGGCCTACTGATAGGGTACCGAATATGATAAGAGGTGACTTAAGCTTACTCCCTATAGAATGCTTATTAACATTATGCTGGGCTATATAGCCCATGGCTATTAGTAGCCTACTTGTTAATATAAGCTTAACATAATATATAAGAGACATATCATTTGGGGGCCACTCCATTGTGTTCTCTATAAATTCCAAGCATAGGCTGTCTTATTATCATAGCAATGATTTTGTATGTCCATTGATTTAGGCTACACAAAAGAAATTGAAGACACCAATAGTTTAATTTTGATGTTAAAACTGAATATAAAAATAGGCTAATAGGCGTGTCTATGGCTATGTCGACAATATACAAAAGGCTTATAAGCCCATTTAAAGCAGATATAATTTAACAGCTGAACAGAATCAATGGTGATCCGCTCGATTAGCCTACGCTGGTTACCGAAACGGTTCGTTTTGGTAACAAAATGTCGGAATGTCGAAGGTACGATTTATTAGCTTCTTTAGAAAGCTTCTTTTCTTCATCCTAGACTGAATTTACACTTCTTAATGCTGAAAATATGTATGTCAAAGAAGATGTTAAGCCAAATATTGACCTGATAGCTCAGAAAAAAATTCGAATTCTCTCTCTACAATCTTTGTTGCCCCTTTAAGTTACAGAAACGGTATGGGTTAAAAGTGCAGATCTTAACTGTTTTTCGAAATATCGTTTCTGTTACTTAAGTGAGGAATTAAATCGACGATTCTGTTGTCTTATGAACTATTTGTTCGCAAATATGTACTTTTTCTTAAACATATGATGCTGATATACGTTTGTGATAAATATGTCGTGGGAATTCTGCCCACAACGCGTGAAATAAGGAAAAAAGAAAAATCGTACCTTCGACGTTCCGACATTTTGTTACCGAAACGAACCGTTTTGGTAACAAGCGTTATCGAGTGGATCACCTGTGAGAATATAGGCTAATTTAAAACCTTAACAATGAATGGAACAACCGAGGTCTTAGATTTCGGGCAAAGATTGATGGCCACTTCCACCTAGATATGAAAAATAGCACCCCGGGAATAGCACTAGAGGCTTGCATAATCCGTGGATAATCACCAGTCTTTGGGAAATAATATAAAATACCAAAAGAAAATTATTGAAAATTGTTCATATTGAAGAGAGGAATCCACAGACCTTATTTACTCTCCTAATTTTTTTTTCAATTTTTCCTAGATTTCGTAGAACTGGGCCTATTTTTATTTACGAAAATATATTAAGGGAAGTTGAAACAAATTCAACTTTAAAAACCCAAGAGTTTGCATTTTGATCAATCTCAACTGTTAGGAGCTAAAATTCAATAATTCTACCATGTAGGTTTTGCCAAAAGTATAAGTTTTTGCATTTCTTAAAAATATTTTTAAATCTGAATAAATAAAGCTTTTATAGCCTAAGGAACATTTCCCCTCTTCCGACACAAACACTGCATAGGCGTAGTCAGGGGGGGGGGGGGGTGTACGGTGCGGTGTACGCTTATGCGGTATACCCCCCTAATCAATAAAAATAGAACTATGAGAAAGAAGAAGAAAAGAGCTTTAAAATGCTTTTTATTTGGGGTTTTTGATTTTGAAGGAAGCTGCATCAATTTTTGTAAAATTCAAAATAAATCTCATTTTTGGCTTGTTTATGTCACAATCGCACCCAATGACTAGACATTTTTTGGCGATCGCACCCCTCCCTTGACTCAAAGCCGGCTACGCCCCTGTACCGGCGTTTCTTGGTTTTAGCCCATGAGTGTTATGCGAGAGAGAGAACCGATAAATCGAAAAGAATTCCCTCTTAAAGGCCCATGGGGTTTTCAAATGTTACATGCGTAAAATAATCAAGTTTCTCTGTGTGTTGATCATTTGAAAACAGAAAGTATCAGAATTTTGCAAAATCAAGTCGCAAACATAGCAAGAATAGAAAACAATGTGCAATATACACAAATTCAATGTTTACAGTGAAATTTGGAATAAGCTTAGATCTCTATAGACATTATTTAACAACAAAATCGGACAATTTTGTAATAGAAATCTGACACGGTTATAAAAGTCCATTATTGCACAACGTGAGAACCAAATGAGGGCACTTAGCAGATTCCAAAAATTCAACTTTCGTAACTTTGATTTTGCAATCATGTGATTTTGTAATTTTGAATTTATGGCATTGATGCTATTTGAATCAGTTCTATGATCCGAATTAGATATCTATGGTTATTTTTATTTCGGATATCATAGGATTAACTTCGTATATTAGGTCTACATTGTCCGGTCTTCTGAAGTTGTACAACGGATTAGCGGAGACCTCACTGGGTTTTATTGTGAATAACTCTATGAATTGTAATCATCTAAAGCAGGTAAGTCGGATTAGAACTAATGTAATATTTTATTGATATTCTTCTTTGACTGAAGTTTGAACGCCATTTGACCCGCTTAGAATAACCTGCAAGTATTCTCATTTAGCCAAACTCTTGTAAATAAAAATATATTTTATCTATTTTTAATAAATGCATATATTTATGACTATGTTCTCAACACATCCATTATTCATGGTGCAACTGGTCATCCACTAATCATCGGGTTAAATGGTTACTTTTCAAATATGAATGTTCGACATGTTTATATTCTAGACATATCTTAACGTAACGGTTTCAGCGGGCTGAATAATCCGGGGAATTATCCAATAATGCCTCTATAATCTTTGGCTAATGTCAGCTTACGTATGTTGACAAAATGCTTACAACAGCAAGAATTTTCTCAGTTTATGCAACGAAATCACAATTTACATAAATTAGTTTTACTTTAATTTTTTATAATTTATTAGTCACCTTTTCTTGATTTTTTTATCAAATTGCCCAGACGGACGAACATTAAGTGAAATGGTGAAAATATTATTATTAAATCCTACTTCAACGAAAACCAAATACGTTACATCTGAAACTTATAAGATCTTGTTTGAGTGCAAGATCAGATCTATCGAGCTAATTCAAAACTCTGTTAAAATATTTTCGCCTCTTGTCATTGTCATTCTTTTCATATAGATATATTTTTAAAAAAAATTCCAAAGTTAATTCCTTCCTGAAAAATTTTAAATCTTAAAATTGGTGTGTACATTTTTCTTCAAACGCAGATATCCACTATTTTGGCATGAATTGAGAGAATTTACACTTTGAATCTAACATCCATTTTGTCATCCCTATATTTGATTGTGCCTTAAACTGCCAAAAACCTTTAACAGTTTGTCCAGCCTGAAGTGACAGGATGGAGAGAAGGGGTGGGGGGGGGGGGCACAAGTTCGGTTGCCCCGAATATTGGAACAGAAGTCTGCGAGAGAGAACGTTTGCATGTGTCTATATTATGAATTACGTTTTTGTTTTAATAGAATGTTAGGAATATCTTAAAGCCAATGAGAAGACTGAAAGAATTGATTTGACATCAAGGAAAACGGCAATGCGCAACAGGTTTGGACACAGATTTAAGAGAAAGGGAGCGAGTCTTTGTTCTAGATTTAATGAAAAGATTATTCATCGAAAATATATGTTTTACAAGTTATTGTCTCAATCAAGCAACTTGCAGATCTTAACCACAGACTAGATCTCTGAATAAACTTCCTTGCACGTGCAGATTTTCATTGACCTTATGTTGTTTTCTCGTGGACCGAATCACGTTTTCTTCATGTTATCATATTAGTTATGATTATTACTTTTTAGTTCAAGTTCACATAGCTTTTCATTATCAAGATCTCAATCAACCAACTGCTTCTTCATTGAATACAACTAACGCCTTCTATGGTAAACATGTATTAGCACACTTACCACCACGTCCTCCATGGGCTAAGAGTTGGCCGTCAAAGGAAGATGACGCATGCGTCACTTTGATTCTTCCTCCACCGCCACCTCCGCCATCTCCATTACCGTTCCCTCCCCTTGCTGCGATACGACCAGATCCTGTTACAAGACTGTCAGGCGCTTCAATCCAGATGGATCCACCAGAGCCGCCACCACCATTTCCAGAGGAAGCGTCATCGCCATCAGCGCTGAGGATTCCATCGATTGTGATGTCACCGCTACCAGTGTTTGTAATTTTGATGTGACCACCGCCCCAACCTCCGTTGCTGGTTCCTCCGGCTCCGCCGACTTTGTTTGGTTCGTCGACCTTGTCTTTGAAGATGGATTCGGCATCACTAGCTAGAAAGGCTCCGGCACTGGCACCACCTCGACCACCATAGCCACCTAGAATATACAATGCAGTTGTAATGACCCAAGGGCGCCCCGGGGAATGACTAACTAAAGAGGACAGTGTTACAAAACCAGATGCAGACAATGAAAGAACGTGTGCTATATTCAACACTCCATGTGGGAATCGAACCCGGGATTCCAACACAAATGATCCAGAACGGAAATCCAAACAAACTTTGTCTGCTCGGATTTAGTGTCATATTTGGCACAATTAAACCCTATCAATGTCCTTTCATTCTATCAAGTTGTATTGGTCTATTTTAAATGGTCAAAGTTTTATTCCATTTTACAAAACATGCTCTTAAAGACCGGCGTTGTGTCTGAAGGCTAACCTGAACGTATTGGGCATAATTATTCTCTACACGCGCATAGACATCTTGCGCCATGGCTTTCATCTTCCGTAATATCTCTTGTTTCAATGTTTCAAGGGGTGTTAGTGCAGACGTTAGCCCAGTAGATAAAAATCTGGTGGGAAATATCCGGTGAGTAAATAGCCATAAATCGTGTCCATTGGGGATAGACCAATGAAACTTATTAGGAGGAAGGAACATTGGACAAGGTCTAATTGTTACAAATATGATTTCAAACCCATGCTGATTGAATAACTGAGATATTAAAATACATTTATTTCGGTTACCCTTTTGGCTCACCCTGTAGCGCATTTTCTTTTAAGTTTGAGCCCAAGTAGTCTAAAGGGTAAAATCAAACATGCAATTAAAACATGGGGCATTCAATAGATTTAGACATAACATACACCATCACTTTGGGAATTGTAACTGTTGCCTTACCTCCGGATCCGGCGGCGTTGCCGTTTTGATCAGTGCTACTCGAAGAGGCGCGGCCGAAGCCATTACCATGTAGTATTCCACTTTTAGTGATCTCAAATGAATCTGTTACGGAGATGGTTACTTTAGTATTTTCTGTTCCTATTTCTCCACATTGCACAGTACCACTTATAGAAACTGTGTCAAATGAATAATCTCCATCAGTTAGACGGCAAATAGTTCCTGACGCTACTGTGAAATCACTGCTAGCTATGTTACAATCACTTACTGCCGCCACACGAATCGGTTCCCAGCAGAAGTAAATTGCAAGCAAGAGTGTTAACACACTACAGTCTATTTTTTCATTTTTCTTCATACTTTATCTATATATGTAAAGTCAGTATAAAGTTTTTTTTATAATTTTTCTATCGCCGTTCCGCCATCTTGGCCGCTCTCTTCCCTTCTGATGTTAAACTCTACGATCGTAAGTACCAATGCAATTAGGGATTAAAATTCACATAATGTTCGTTGAAGCCGTAATCCGCATTCAGAATTGTACTGGATTTTTAGGGAATTAACCTAAACGTACGAAGTGATTTAAGTCGTAATAATAGAGTTTACGTTTTGGATTTCGATGAAAAGCGATATATATATGTTTGCATATGTTTGCCCAGATGTTCCAATCGTAAACATCCACTGGTGGCACAGTATAATCATGTCTTGAAATTTAGTAAAATAGTTTCAGTCTAGTTACCAAGGAAATCACACAGAATCATAATTTATTGCCTGTTATGTATATTCTATTGTGATAGCTGTTGATGTAACGCTTCATTGTAGTATTAAATTTCATTTGCTGCTTAACTTCCTCATCGAGGACCTCAATGGTAACCTTAACTATCAGATCATGCAGTAAAATGGACACTGAGATAACACGCTTTAAATTAAGGGCATTAAGCACCCAATCTTCTTTATGATTGAATACGTCGATCAGTTATTTGCAAACTAATGTTTTAGATGTTTACTTATAAATAGAATAAAAATAAAATATATGTTACAAAGAGTATATGAAGATTATCAACCTCTATCTAGTTTGTGATCGTTCAATATCAAAACCTCATTTTGACCCATTGCTAATAAAATGGCCGCTTCGTTAGCCTACCCAAAGACAATTTTCTTTGTATCTCTTAAGAATTACAATATTCACGCCTGGGTACCGATAACCCAAACACACAAATGAAAAAATCATTTCAGTAAAACCTATATACGAAAATTTCTCTTATCCGAACACCTGAACATTTTTTCGATACGATTTCTTTGTTCTGCCATAGATAAGCATTGTTAAAAACTCGGAATTAGTGAACACCTACTGACTGGAACACTTCTTTCGTCGGGTAGCAGTGGCACTCGGGTTTGCTGCCCAACATGAAGACTAATAAATAGGACATTAATCAGAAAAAGGTACATTTCCTACTTCATTGCCCTCTTACACTTGAAGCAAGGCAACATTACATTGAAAGTTCTATGGCTGACCGAAACTCATTCAACTTTTCAGATAAAAGTAGTCTTGACAAATTAGAAATGATTCTGTTTGGCGATTCAAATCTGACAAGAAATCAAAATTCAATTATTATAAAGTTATCAGCAAATTTTAGATAATTTAGGATTTTTGAACTCCTTTATTCTGTTCATAATTCTTCATTTCATCTCATTCTCATTATCAATCTTCTACCATTATAGAGAGTAACTTACAGTATATTCTTCTATGTTTGCTGTATACCAAGCCAAAAATGTCTGTTGACCTAGGTTGGGTTTCATTCACATTGTTTGTAATATTATATGTATTAACTGTTCTTGTAAAATGTGATTCATATGAAATAAATAATCTTGAAAATAGGCCACTTTATGTTTTTTTTCACATTTAGGTTTGATACTGAGATTAGGCTGTACGTTATATTAACGCCATCTTGTTACGTGAACTATTTAGTACACGAGTTGAGCAAGATAATCACTCGATGTTGTTAGACTTCCTTTATTTCATGTGCTGGCTAAAACAATCAATGGACAGTGATAGTCAGATGATGGTACATCATAATACAGCACAAGAGCACATTCCAGCAAGCACTGTATTACAAAGCGAGCCCAGCAAATCACATCCGAGTACAGCACTGCAAAGCTTAGCAGGCATGGGGCAAAATGCAAATCAACTGACCAAATAACATAATTTACAAGTTTTTTGCACCATACACCGATCTCTAAAATGTGGCGGGGGTTTTGGCTATTTTTGACCCCCCTATGGACGGAATCAACCAATGCATTTCTTAATAGGTTTATTACACTCTGTTATAATCGTTTACTATCATTGGTTATAAAATTTTCGTGTTCAATAGTTTAATAAGCTTTAAATTTAACATTTCAAGAATACGCTTTCCTTTGTTTATCTTTCAATAGTGAAACGAAAATGTTCTGTTAGTTGCTTAGATATGTTGTAAATAGTAAAATTAATCCGTTTACGTCTTATTTTTGTAAAACCATATCCAATAAAGTAGCCCGAGAAGCCGAACTCAAAATTCTATTCATGATGTAAGAAATCTAAAAGTATACTGACCCCAAAGGGGGATTGAAAAAGTTGGTTTGAAAAGTTTATTTATAAAACGTGTAAGTACCACGTGAGGTATAAAATGTAGTAAAATTGTGTTTTTCGAAAGCAAAGGAAAGGGAATCTTCAAATGGCATAAACAATTTTTGTATTCCACAAATATTTTTAAAACGACTGATATACACGACGTGTAAAAGATATTTCTGATTTTTCAAAATTTCAAAAATATTTTGATTTTCAAACCTCCAAATAGCAAAGAATACAGGCAACTACACTCCCCTTTTTAAGTTTGGCAAACATTTCCCGCATAGGCTCACGTGTTAAAGCCTCTCTATGTTGGAATTTTTACTTTCACAACAAGCAAAAGCAAGGCATTAACATCCCAGTCACATTTGTCGTACGGCAGCCGTAACACCCAAGTCACATTTGTCGTACGGAGGGCGTGCGTCGACCGCAGATCAAACTACGCTCGCCTTGCGGTCTCCGTACGGCGTATCCAGTTTTTTACAGGCCCACGGGGTACCATCGAATAATTTTGGCAACGTACCGGAGAACGACATTTTACTAAGAAATGGCAATAATTTAGCACAATATATTTTTTAACTAGAGTTCTACTTTGATTTTGACAAAAGTAAGTATTCCATGCAATGGCTATTTCATTCATGAGTTTGTAGGAATTCTGTTGGAACCCAGTTCTGATCAAGTACGAAGTTATTGAAATCGGCGCAGTCGGACTTTACTCAATCAATCAACTTAATCAATACGCATTCGAACAATCCCGTATGTTTTTAAATTAGTATATGTGCTTTAAATCATATATTTTAATTTTTTTGATTAAATAATTCAACTGATCTGCTCCGGTTACGTTCCCAGCTCCGGTTACGTTCCTAAGTAATATTTTTAAAACTTTTTTTTAATTAAACAAATCAGAGTCGTGTGAATCAGAAATAACCGAATTATTCAAAAGCATAAGGGCTATTCTGTACTTTTTTCAAAAGTCTATACTTAAATGTTGTGAAAAGTTATAATCGAAAAACCATCTTTCGGAGTAAAGTCCGTCTGCGCCGATTTCAATAACTTCGTACTTGATCAGAACTGGGTTCCAACAGAATTCCTACAAACTCATAAATGAAATAGTTATTGCATGGAATACTTACTTTTGTCAAAATCAAAATAGAACTCTAGTTAAAAAATATATTGTGCTAAATTATTGCCATTTCTTAGTAAAATGTCGTTCTCCGGTACGTTGCCAAAATTATTCGATGGTACCCCGTGAGGCCGCAGGGTCGCCGTAGAAATTATAACTCGGAGTTATAATATTTGTTCATTTCTGAGGTCCCCGTAGAAATCAACTGGCTCAACAAGATTGAATCATTATTTGTCAATGTTTCACGATCACTTTTCATTTGGTATTACATCCTAGCACTATGAATAACATTTATAAATTGTCCTGATGTAAATAAAATGAAAAAAGTATTATTTATCAACAGAAATTTAAAATTCACCGTGCGGCTGCCGTGGGAAATGTGACTGCAAAAGTATGAGAGCGCAGAAATTCTACGGCGAGCGTAGAAAAGCTACTGGCCGCAGAAATGATAGACCACACGGCAGCCGTGGGAAATGTGACTGGGGTGTTAGTCGACCGCAGATTGATTAAATCAGTGAATTTCTGCGGCCTCCCCACTTTTTTATACAGGCCGCAGGATAGTCGTAGAAATTATAACACGGAGTTATAACAATCTTCATATCTGCGGTCCCCGTAGAAATCAATAGGCCATTGCCAGACTGCAGAACGGTTGCACGGTCTATTTATAAATTGGACTGATTTAAATTAAAAAGAACAAAACATTAACGTTTATCAATAGAATTTCAAAATTCGCCGTGTGGCTGTCGTAGGAAATGTGACTGTAAAAGTATCCGACCGCAGAAATTCTGCAGCAAGCGTAGAAATGTTACTGACCGCAGAAATGATAGACCGCACGGTCGCCGTAGGGAATGTGACTGGGGTGTAAGATGACAAAATGTCACCACCTAGTTTGTCACATTATTATGAGATCAATCTGAGTCAGATCTGAACTTCTGAGAACTTGTAGATGATTTTGAATCAATTTGAAGCAAGTTTAAAAAAGACCTTTTGACCTTTTTATTTTGAGAAGGTCAGTGCCTGTCAAGTCTCTAAAAATCTGATTTGTATTTCTGAGATATTGTAGATGATTAAAAAATAGTCAATTTGAAGCAAGTTGAAAAAATACCCTTTTGACTTTTTGAGACCTTGAGAAGGTCATTGCAGATCAAATCTAAAGTCAGATTTGAAATTCTGAGATCATGTAGATAATTTTTGATTATTTTCTCAATTTGAAACAAGATGAAGAAAGACCTTTTGATCTTTTTTGACCTTGAGAGGGTCATTGAAGGTCAAATCTCAAATCTGAAGTCAGATTTTACCTTCTGAGAACTCGTTGATGAAAAAAAATTCTAAAATATTTTCCTTGATTACAATACCTTAAAGTGTGCGCCTGACCCGGCTACGTATAACACAGAGTTTATACTGGCGGATTAGACTAGTTCATTTTTTATATGTGTGTGAAAGCTTTCTCTTTTTTGCGTTTTTTCGTTTAGTACGGTTTTGTTATAATTGCCGAGGTCATATTACCGGGATAAAACAATGATTATCGTTGACTGCCCACACACAAAACATACGTTGAGTGTACAGTGTTATTACAAACAACAGGCTTTAGAATACAAAGCGTAGTGTGATAATAAGCTGTACACTACCACTGCTGCATGTACATATTACTAATTTACTAGGGCTCCCAAAGAGTGGATAGGGAGGTTGTGTTTGTCACTTTTAAATTCTACATTTCAAAATTGTCATTTTACATGTCATAATTTGTTGGTTT